CAGCCAGCAGTCTCTTGGCTAGTCAGCTCTGTCCCCGTTCCCTGGAGGGCCCGGGGGTCAGCTGGCTGTCAGAGCCCAAGGGAGCCCTTCAGCTATTTTGTTCGGGGGATCCCACCCCAAAGATAGAAGGGAGGCAAAGATTTCTGCCGGCAAAACCAGTCCTGACGTCTGCTCGTCTCCCGAATAGGGCTTAACTATTGGGGGAACCCCAGCTCTCCTCCCCAAGTATCCTGGGAATCGCTGCTCTAGAGACCATTCACGGGGGGAGGGGGGTGTTGTAGGGAAGCAGGGCTGCTAGCGGCTGAGCTGCTCCGGCTTCCCTGCACGAGGCTCGCCCTGTGCCGGGACTGGAGCGACCTGGCTCGCGCCGGCCGGCCCCAAGCCCCCCTCCCGCCCCGCTCTGGGTTAGGAGCCGCCTGGCTTCCCAGTTTCCTGTGTCGGCGGGACGCGGGACTCTGCAGAAGCGTAGTTCGGGGAAAGGGAGGGAAGGGGCTCCCTTTCATTTGGTCTCGGGGGTGGGGGGTTCGGCGAGTCTCTCGGCGCCGGCCAAGCCCAGTCCCGGCTGCGCGGCTCCACTCCAGGCCGGCGGACGAGCGCAGAAGAGCAGGGGCTGTCCTGGCCAAAGCAGAAAGAGGCGGCCCGGGCAGGAACGCCAAAGCCCCGGTGGCCCAGGGACACGGCGCCTCCTCCCCAAGGGGCTCCCCCGGTGCGCGGGACGGTTGCCCTCCAACAAGCGCGACAGACGCCTCTTTGGGCCGTTGCGCGTAACACCGGACCTTTTGTTAAGCCTGTTGTGCAAGCGGAGTTCGAGTCCCGAGTTTCACCCCTCCGCGGCCCAGGCCAGGGGCTTCCAGCAGCCCGGGCGGGGCAGGGCGGGAGTGGCGTTTGCCTCTCAGCGCAGCGGGGCCAGACGAGGCCCGCGCCCTTCGCCTTCCCTCGGCTGGCCTGCAGCCCTTGGGCGGGCAGCGCCAAACCCTTTCCTAGAAGATGCGCCGGGGTGGGGGTGGGTGGGGGGCCAGCGCAGCCTTGTTCGAGCGAAGCGATGCTTCCGGCCGCCGCTCTTGCGTCGCCGCTTGTTTCTGGTTTCGCAAGGAATTCAACAGGCACTACGAAGGAGGCCATGTGTGAATTGCTGAGGCTCTAAGGCGGCGGCTGAGAGGCAATTGGCTGTCGAGATGAAGGCTCCGGCCTAGAACCCACAGACGGCGAATTCTGGTCCTGCATGAAGCACGAAGACGGCCGGGCAACCTTGGGCCAGTCCCTCTCTCTCAGCCCCGGGAAGGAGGCGATGGCGATCTGCTTCTGAAAAGAATTGCCAAAACTGGCAGGCTAGTTTGCGGCCCAGCCGTTCCCAGGCAACCACTCCTTGCCAAAGAGGGGTGAGGGTCTTTTCCGGAGGCCAGAGCAGCAGCCAGAATGCAGCAGCTTGGGCAACAGGAAGGGCTGTGTGACTCTCCCGCTCAGAAGGGCCCTGGCAACCCCCCAAGGCCATCCTGGGCCCTCCAGAGCCCCCCAAACTCCTGCCTAACCCCCATGAGCCACACTGGCTGGCACCCAAACCGCTGCAAAGCCAACCCGTGTGTGTGTGTGTGTGTGTGTGTGTGTGTGTGTGTGTGTGTGTGTGTTTTGCGGGTGGGGGATGGAAGGCCCTCTGCTCGGTTCCAGAAAAGGCAACAAACATCTTTATGTCCACAAGAACAAATCAGGGTAACAACAACAACACTTAAACTGCTTCGCAGGCCCACAGGATGTCGGTCACTCCCTCTGCAAAGGGAGACGGTGGCACCTGCTGCTTTTGGGAGCCGAAGGGCTGAGCCAGCCGCCAATTACTAACTTCCTTCAGCAAAACAGGTGAGAGAACCGGGCGGCGGCCACTGGGACTCATGCTTCACCCAGCCCTTCATGGAAGGCCACACGGCAGGGGCCACTCTTAGCAAAGTGGCATCCAGGAGAGCTGAGGCTCAGGGAGAGCGAGGGGCTGATTTGTACCAGGAGACCAAAGGGGCACAGCCAGGTCCCAAAGCTGTAATCCTGGAGGGGGCCTGGGAGGGAAAGAGCATCTGTTCCAGGTATCAAATCCTCCAGCTGAGACAATTAAAGAAAAAGGATTTGTTTTATGCTCCAAGTGGCTCCGTTTAGGAGAAAAGTCTTTTTAAAAAGATTCCACCCCTTCCCCAGCAACAGAGAAGTGTGAAACCATTGGCCAAGTGAAGCATCACCTGCGGGAGAATCCTGTGACTAGATTCTGGGCCAGAATCATGATCTCCTGGGGCTTGTCTTCCAGCAGGTGGAAATCAGGATAGACTGGACCTGGTGGTACCATTTTACCCTCCAGTTTAAGGGGCTTTGGGTAGCCTCTCAAAAAGCAGCCTCTGCCAGACCACTGTGGCTTCCTTGGCTCCATCTTGGCTTTTGCACTCAGCTCCTCCTAGCCTCCCCCCCAGTCTCTCAGGGAAAGGGGGGCTATTCCCCACATCTGGAGGAGGGGGATGCCAGAGGAGTCCTTGTAGATGGCCTAAGGAGGGTCTCTGCTCAGGGAACAGGCCAGCAATCTGCCCAAAGTTGACCTGGCTAGGGTGTGCTTGAGGCCCAGGGCTGATGCTGAGCCTTTCCAGGGAGGGAGGCAGAGCTGGCTGCAGAAGGAGGAAGGGCAACTGAGCCTTGCTCTCTAGGATGATGGGTATGGAATAACAGAATAATAGAGTTGGAACGGACCTTGGAGGTCTTCTATCTAGCCCATCCCCCTCCTCCTCAAACAGGAAACCCTATACCTGTGATAGCGAACCTAGGGCACGCGTGCCTGAATTGGCACATGGAGCCATGTAAACCTGGCATGCGTGGCATCACCCGTTCCTCTTCCAGGTTTCTGCCGTGCATGTGCACGTGACAATCAGCTAGCCTTTGTGCATACAGCAGTGCTGGAAACCGGAAGAGCTGGTCTTTCATTTCTGGCGTGAGCATGCGCACCGGCCAGCTGATCGGTGCGTGCACATGCGTCCGGGAACCAGAAGTATCCTATGCGGTGCACGCATGCCCCCTGGGCAGCTCCTCTTCCTGGTCGCAGCTCTGACGAGTGTGCATGTGAAGTGCCTCTTTTTCAGTACTTGGTGCCCCGCGCACAGGTGCATGCTCCCTTTTCAGCACTCCGTGCCGAAAAGGTTCACCATCCCTGCCTTATACCATTTCAGACAAGTGGTTGTCCTCTTCTTAAAAGCCTCCAGTGATGGAGAACCCACAACTTCTGGAGGCAACTTCTCTTCCACTGGTTAATCGCTCCCACTGTTAAAAAAATTCTCCTTAATCCCAGGTTGCTTCTCTCCTTGATTAGTTTCCATCTGTTGCTTGTCTTGCCTTCAGGTGCTTTGGAGAGTAGGTGGACCCCCCTCTTCTTTGTGGCAGCCCCTCAAATGTTGGAAGACTGCTATCATGTCACCTTCCTTAAACTAGCCACGCCCAGTTCCTCTAACCGGTCATGTTTTAGCCTTCAGTCCCCTAATCACCTTTGGCTGCTCTTCTCTGCACTCTTTCCAAAGTCTCAACAACTTTTTAAAACTGGATGCTGTATTCCAAGGTTGGACTTACCAGGGCATGGAGTCCACTTGGATGCCCCTCCCCCTCAAAAGGGACCCTCAGCCTTCCCCTCTATGGTGGCAGGCTCTCCCCTTTCCCCGCTGTGCCCCACATCTGATGAGGCTTTTCACTGAGGCATCCTCTGCTTGCAAGCAGACCCTCCCCCAGACCACTGCTGGGGGGAGTTGGTCACAAATAAGGAGGGGGGGCACAAGGCAACTATTTAAAAAACTCCCTCTCACAGGATGCTGTTGCTTGGGCAAAGTTCCTGCTCCGCAGAGCTCAGCTGGAGAAAGGCCAGCATGGACCTCAAGAGAGCACCTGGCCACAGACCGGCTCATTTCTGCCTCACTGAGCCTTTTGCCCCCCGGAAATTGGGGGGGGGGAACTTTGAGGGATCCTCAGCTCGGAGGAGCCCATGTGCCACGTGGCCCCACTGCATCTGGGGAGAATGTTCCCTCCACTTCAGGTAATAAGGAATTATGCATTTTACTGTTGTGAGCCGCCCTGAGTCCTTGGAGATAGGGCGGCATATAAATTGCATAAAATAAATAATAAATAAATAATCCCTTTGCCTGGGGTTGGGTGTCTTTTGGGAGAAGGCCTGGCCCAGCATCTGGCAACCTACCCAGCACACAGCCGGTTTTCTGGGAATCTGCACTTAAGAAACAGATTTGTGGCGGAATCACATTCCTGAGCAAGCCGGTCCCAGTTCCCAGCAGGGAAACTGCAGCCTGAGCCCCCCCTCCCCCCGCTGTTCCGGGAAGTGGGAGCACAGGGCAGGGCTGGCTGAAGGGGGGAGGCGTGGGAAGGAAGCTCCCCCCCAAACCTTGCAGAAGACAATTGCAGCAAGGCCCCCCACACACACCGGAGGCCATCCTTCAAGTCTTTGGGGCTTGGCAAGGAAAGGCTGGTGGGGACCATGCCAGCTCTGCTCTGTGGCAAGGGCAGCTGCCTGGCACTGCCGTGCTTGGCTTGCCATTGGCTCCTCTGCCTCAGATCCAAGTGAAGGAATAAGTCTAGGAACATTTTGGAACATGCTTTTTTTTTTCCCCAAGAGGTGAAACTGCAAGAGGTCTGTTGCAATCTGGAACCTGCTCCAACCAACATCTGTTCTCACACACACACACACACACACACACACACACACTTTCTGCTGAATGAGGCCCCGGACTAAGCAGTAAAATAAAGAGAATTTTTTCCCCAGAAGAGTGTTTGGGGCCTCCTTTGGGCCAAGATGCTCCAAGGGGAGCAGAATTAAGTGCACCCCCAAGTAGAGCAGGGAAATCCCCCCCCCAATGCCACAAGGCAACTCCAGCTGCAGATATTGGCACAACAGCTGGGCCAGATCCTGCACAAAAGGCACACCTTGACCCTTCCCCACCCCCCTTGAAGGCAAGACCAGCCCCCAAGAAATATTTGCTCATGTGTTACTTTCATAACATAACACCTGTTTATTATCCTTTTAATCAGAGAATAAATTTGCATTTGGCTCCTGCATCTCCTTTCATCTTCAGAGAAAAGTCGAAAACAAACATGCAAATCTTCCAAGATAAATAAAAACCCTCAGTATCAGGAACTTTTTAAAAAGTAGAACAATCCTCTGCAGCTGATGGTTGGAGCTCCATCCTCTTCGGACAAGCTGGCAATCCGGAGGGCTTTGGGCTGCCTCGCTATAATTCCTCGGGGGGAGTCCTGGGAGAGGAGCACGCAGGACCCCTTCCCCGCCCCAAGGCGGAACTTCCTCCGGGCGGCTTGGCTTTCCAGCTGATCCCGGCGTTTCTCCTGGGCAGGCAGCCCCCTTGGCACTCGTGGCAAGCCAGGCAGCAGGAACAGCGCCTCCACCCACGGGGAGCCTGGCGCCCACGCGTCCCCACAGCCGTCATCCCGCCGCCGCCGCCGCCTCCTCTTCCTCCTCCGGAGCAGACAGCTGATGGAGCAAGCAGCGCAGTTCTCCTCGGGACCAAGTCAGACCTCCTGCTGGCTCTGCTCCGCTCTCCCGCGTGACTCACCCTCCGCTGGCCTGCCGACAGTCAGGCGCTCGTGTGATTTGTACAGAAACAACATTCTTCCCTTCGGACTGTTGCACACGCGACGCTCCGCATCAGACACCGGCCAGGGCCTCAGCGCGCCTGCAGAGCCACGTAGGGCACCCACTGGTCGTTGCACCGGCTCTCCTGGCAGAATCTGGCCACCTCCGCCAAGCCCTGGCTGCCCCACGAGTCCGTATGCGGGGTCTGCGGGAGGAAGCCAAAGCCGCCCCTCAGTTCCAGGCCAGGGAGAGCCGCCCCGGAGTGTCTCCTCACAGCGAGAGCCGCGCAGTCGCCGCCTCCCTCCGCCGCCCGGCTCACCGTCACCAGCAGGCAGTGCAGGTCCCGCGGCTCCGCGCCGCCGCCGCCGTCGTCCGGGGGGTTCTCGCCCAGCACGGCCGCCAAGCGCTCCAGGCCGGAGGCGCGCAGGATGTGGATGTCGTTGGCGCAGCAGAAGGCCTGGATGAGCGTGAAGTGGATTTGCAGCGCGATGTCCGCCTCGTCCGCCGCCAGCAGGCAAAGCACCACGCTGTCCGGGTCGCTGCGGGGAAGGGCGGCGGGGTCAGCGGCTCCCGGGCAGCCGAATCTCCCGGCGACGGGCAGCTGTGCCGGCGGCCCCGGGCCCGGCGGTCCCCCTCCCTTCTCCCTCCCCCCGGCCGCGCTCCCGGCGGACGGAGAGGCACTCACGCGTTCATGAGCTTGGCGGCCTCGTAGACGCCCACCGTCAGGCAGCCCTGCCGCTGCGCCGCCACCAAGAGCCGCTCCAGCGCCGCGCCGACCGAGCTCATCCTTGAAAGCAAGCCAGGCGGGGGTCAGAGGCGCCCCGGGAGCCTTCGCCCACGCCGCCCCTCTCCCCCCCCGCGCCCCGGGGGCCGGACTCACCTCCCGGCCGCGTGGTCACCAGGCAGCAGCTCCTCCAGCGTCATGGCGAGGGCGGCTCCGATCCAGCCGCGGTCCGAAGCGGGAACCCGGCCAATAATCCAAAGGCTGGGAAGCGGAAGCAACCGCCGACCCAGGCGGCGGCTCCACGGCGGCGGCGGCGGCGGCGACCGAAACTATGCGGGGCCCCGCGGTTGACAGCGACTGATATACCTTATCCGAGGGGCGGGTTCACTCCGTCCGTTCCCGCCAGCGATTGGCCTGCCAGGAACCCGCGAGCTTTGCCATTGGTCCGCTAAGGAATCCCACGGGGAAAGGCGAGCGTTTGCCTTTGGGGAGGAGAAGCGGCGGAGTTTCGGCTGAGTCTTCCCAGCAGCGGCATTTCCTGGCCGGGGAGCGCGGGGGTGGGGGCTGGTTTTGTAGAACTCGTGGAGTTCCTCGGAAGCGACGGCGAGGAAGGAGCGCAGCTCACCCTCCCCTCCCCCCCGCTCCCCGGGCGATCGAGTCTCTAGGCGGCTCTTCGTGGGGCTTCGAGTCAGCCAGGGGGATTTTACACTGGGGGGCGGCAGGACCCGGGTGATAAACCGCTAGAAACCCCCGGGGATCCCGTTCTTGGTAGGAGGGAAAAGCCTGCGCGGGGCGGGGCGGAGGGTTAAGGGAGATGCACGTGCAGACTCGGGCAAGCGGGGCTGGGGGGTGCTTCTCCTTACAGACCCCCCCCTTCTTCGGCCTTTCTCCACTTTTGTCCGCCCGGTCCCCCCCCCCCCCCCCGCAGAAATGTCCAGCTCGGCTAATCAGCCTCCCGCCCGCAGTGGGTGAGAGGTCGCGGCGGCCGGGCGACCCCGTTGCAGGGAAGCCGGTCACACGACGCGCGTTGCATCACCGCTTTCTTCGGTCTTGTGACTGCGCGCAGCCGGCAGGAAGGGAGAGCCGTTTCTTCCCAGCGCATCGCCTCCGGGCCTGGATGTCCCGACCTCCCGGCTGAGCCACGCTTGGAGACTCCGGCTCGCGCGTAGAGGACATCCACTGAGTCACCGTGCCTGGAGCGCTGCGCATCGGCGGCCCGGCCTTTTCCCAGGGGGATCTGAGGGGGAGAAGCTGGAGAGAAGCCCTTAAAACCCACCCGAGCATTTGCAGACGGAGGGTGCACTGCAACTTGTGCTGGAAAACCAGGTGCAGAGAGGCCGGTGCTGCAGCCAGAGTGCCAGGAGACACCTCCCCCTCCCCCCCCCCGGCTCGGAACTTCACCGAGAAAGTGCCTGGTGAATTGAACCCCCCCCCGCGCTTCCTTCAGCCCCACCTGGAGTTTGAAACCCCTCAGGGCTCTTGGGTGAAGTTTTCAGAGGGAGGGCTGAGAAAAGGTCACCAGAAACAGCCGTGGGTGGTACCTGCTGTTGTTGTGGCTCTTGCGCCTTTCCCAGCCCCTGGGTAGGCAAAAACAGCTCCTCCCTGCTGCAAACTTCTCTGCCCCCGAGTTGGCACAGGCCTTGGCCCCCTTTCATTGGTGCCCCCTCTCAAGAGAGCAAATTCACTTGGGGCAGTTTGCCTCCTTTGCTGACCTGGGTGATCAATGAGCCAAAAACCTGGCATTTCAGTGCCCCCCAACGCCTCTGCTTTCACACAGACTGGGTCAGTCAGGTGGCAGTGCCCACTTGTCCAGAGCCTTGGGGAGCCCGTTGCTCTGCTCCCCCCTTCCTATTAGCAGAGAGGAAGCAAAGGGGGGGGAGGCTGTTGCCTTTGTCTTCTGGCTGCTCCTTGGCACAGCTCACCTCTCTTGAGCCCGTTGCAGTGTTTGCCTTGGGCCGTTGTTTGTGTGTGGGGGTTTTGGAGGCAGCTGCCCCAATTCCACAGAAATGGGACAAGGGAGCCAGAGCCGTCTGGGGAGAAAGCAGGCCAGCCAGATTCTGAAAGGTTGTTTACGTTCACAGTTGAGGAACAACGCAAAGAGAAGTTGGCTGCTGCCGCCTGCAGCCCAGATCTGAACTGCACCAGAGCGCTGGGGGTTTCCAAAGAAAACCGCTACGAAATGTCAAAGGAAACTCTGCATCACATGATGCTCTTGTGATTCCTACAAGCCCAGCTGATGCCCCTGAGCCCCTCCCCGCCTCGCGCTTGGAGCTGAGACCCACACAGGTCTACTGCAATAAAGCACAACAGAGAATCCAGCATTCTGTTGGAAAACTAAATGAAGCAACCCTCCTGGGTACTTGCCTTACTCCTAGGAAAACCAGGTCTTCCCCCTGCCTGCTGCCAAATCTCTCCCCACCCCCCACACACACCCAGTGTTGTGGCCCCCTCCAGCCTTCCCCCCCAGGGACCCCTGCTCTTGCGACTGCATCTGCCCTAGGAGAAAGAGCCGCTGAAAAGGAGCAACAGCAGGATTTCTCCACCACTGTCTGAAGGGTTGGGGGGGGGTCCTCTTCAGCAGAACAAACCCACTGGCTCTCCTGACTCCACCTGTAGCCTCTTCCTCTGGAGAGCAAGACTGGGGGGGGCAGGGGAGGGAGAGGGGAGCACTAGCGGTCACCTGAGCAGCACAGGACAAAAGGCCTCCCCCCTCGGTCTCCAGCTGAGGGCTGAGGACCACAAGAGTCACAAGGGGCAGTTCCTCCTCTTGCTCTCCCTTGCCATTTGGGCAGCCCCTAATAACAGTTCCTGAATGGGCTGGCTGTGGAGGAAGGGGTGGAGGGTCACCTCTTCCTGGCTCAAACTATCCCTCTCCAGATCCTGAGTGAAAACAGACCATCCTCCAGGGGTCTTATCAATGAGTTTTCTGCTGAAATGTCTTAAAAATACACAGATGTCATTTTTTTATGTGGAAGGACCAGTTTATCTTCATTTCTGGTCATGTGTGAGGACTTTGAACTCTACTAAAAAGAGGAGAGTAGCTGTGGCATCCAACTAGGCTGACCTTCAAGGTGGCACTTCACCTCCACGGCTGAGGAGCCCACGGCCAGGACACCCAGCCAGGCCCCTGGCATGCCCCCTTGTTCTGAACTGGCCCCGGGCCCCTCGGAGCTCCTCAGGCCAGGGAGATGCAAAACAGCAGCTTTTCAAGTGGGGCCCTTCCTCTTTGAGGTCCTCCATTTGGGCAGGACCGTCCCAGGAACAAATGGGCTTCCTTTGTCTCCGGCTCTGATTCACGTGGCATTTCCAGTGGGCTGAAGTCCCCACCCCCGAGGTCCCCGAGGAGTGGAGAATGAGGGTGCCAAGATGCCAGGTTGTGTCTGGTGCCAGCCCAGAAGGTTATCTTGGCTGTTGGCTGCAGCATTGCCCCCAGGGGAAATGGGCACAGTGAATCAAAGGCCACGGCCAGACCATCCCGCCCCGCCACCCAAAATTGGAGACAATCGGAGAGGGAGAAAAAGGGACGGTTCGGTTGCCATGGCAACCCCCCCCCTCCCCAAGCCCCGGAGCAAAGCCTCTCCAGCGAGGGGAGCAAAGCCTGCTGACTTCGACGCCTTCCGTGTCCGAGACTTTCGCGGCTGTGCAACGCCCTGTTCTTTCAGTTTTCCAATAGCTATAATGCCACTCCCTGCCTCTGGGCGGCAGTGCCAAAACCAGCTGTAGCTCTTCTGTCCGCTACTCTATCATTCTGGGGTGCTTGGCTTTCCTAGGCTTGAGGGACGGAGGAAGCTAAACTACGTTTCCCAGACTTCCACGGGACAGTCACAAGGGCGCTTCCTTCTCGCCCGCCCCACCTCGCTTGTTTTCCTTGGCCCGCCGGCCTGAAGTCGAGGGCTTGTGCGCGTGCGCTTGTAGGCTCGTGCAGTGTCATATGCCGCCCTGGCTCTTTTTCGTCTCCCCCCCTCCCGTATTCCCCCCTCCCTCTCTTGTTGAAGCTTGGCCTAAGCGGGAGGCGGGGTGGGGGGGCTGCTTTCCGCTTAGGATGCTGACTTCACAGCTGCCCCCCCCCCCGAGCCATCTCCCTTTCATCTTCCGCGCGGGTGTGAGGCTTTGTAAGCCTAAAGCTGCAAGGGGGAAGGTGGGGGGGGGGGGCTGGCCCCGGAGGGGAGAGGGCTGCCAGCGCGCGGGTTGGCGGCTTCAGCACCACGGCCAGCGCCCGTCCTCCTGGCGCGCGCCTCTCCTTCGGGCTCCGGAGGGGCAGCGCGGGGGGAGGGCGCAGGCAGGGCGGCCATCGGGGGCGCGCGAGGGAAGGGCCGGAGGGCTGCCCACGGAGCGTGGTTCGCGGGAGTGACCGGAAACGCCATGCGAAGATGGAAAGGGTTTTCCAGCCGCCTTTAACGCCGAACAGTTAACGGGCGGGGGGGGGGGGGGCGCCGTCGCTTTCCCAGAACGGCCGCCCCACGCGCTTCGCTGGCGCCGGGAAGGCTCCGCTCGGTGGGTGGGCCCGTACCTGGAGGGCTTTCAACCCTTTGGGCGACGGAGCCGGCCTCTCGGGCTAGTTCGGGACCGCGAAAGTCGGCTGTGGCCCCTGCCCTTCGGAAGGACCCCTTCCCACTCCTCCAATGGACAGAGAGCCCCGGCGCTGCAGGCCTCTCGGAAAGCTGGCTCTCTTCTGGGGGGGGGGAGCTGAAGAGAGCCCCAGGAGGACGGCTCTGTGCCTTTCGCTTCTGGTCGCCATTTTATTGATGTAGTTGCTGTGCATACCAGGCCTTGTTTCCCTTTTTCTTTTCTGTTGTTCATTCTTCTCTCATTCAGTTGGGTACATACAGCCACTTCAACCTGTTTCCTCTGCTGTGGAAGTGTGAATCATAAGATCAATTAATGCCAGAATAAAAACAGTTGGAATATGTGAACTGACCAAGGAGAGATCCAATCTAAAAATAAGGAGAAATTTTCTGATCCTGAGAACAATCAACCAATGGAACAGAAGTTACCTTCAGAAGTTGTGGGGGCTTCATCACTGGAAGCTTTCAAGAAGAGACTGGGCTGCCCTGTCAGAAACGGTGTAGGCAGGGTCTCCCGCTTGGGTGGGTGGGGGTTGGACTAGACCTACAAGGTCCCTTCCAGCTCTGTTAATCTGTAATCTCTGGTGAAGGAGCCTGCAGTCCAAGGAAGCCAGTTCTTGCCATTACGACATTCTTCTTGGCATCTTTCAATAAAATATTTCCCAATTTAAACTGCTTCTTGTCTGGCTCCTGGAACAAGTTGGAATAACTTTCAACTTTCTGGAGAAGTTACCTTCCCTCCTTGTAGTTTAAAGTACAACCAGTCCCCCTACTACCACCAATAGCCTCCCACTGGCCAGTACGCTCTCAGCCAAACAGTGTCGACTGGCAGCCCCTAGGGGGAGAGCCTTCTCTGTGGGGGCACCTACCATCTGGAATGAGCTCCCCCCAGAGATACGGAGGATCCCGGATCTGCGCTCCTTCCACCGTGCTGTGAAGACCTTTTTATTCCATCAGGCGGGCTTGGCCTAATTTCTTCCCTTTTTAAATATGTAAATTTTAATCTGTTTTTAAATTATTGGGGAGTTTTAATCTGTCTGGGCCAAAATGATTTAATTTGATTTTATCTGGTTTTTAAATTTTTTGTATTTATGTATTTTATTGTTGGCTGTTCACCGCCCTGAGTCCTTCGGGAGTAGGGCGGTATATAAATCAAATAAACCTAAACCTAAACCTAAACCTAAGAATTCCTTGTCTACGAGATTCTCTTTCGAGGCCTTCAGCTGCCCCACCTGGTTGTTCTCTGCATACGTTCAGGGGGTCCCTGTATCTGTTCCAGCTCAGAGCCCTGCAAAGCCCCAAGGTGGCTGCTCTTCATCAGCAATGACTGCCCCCACAAAGACACCCTGGTTGATCCTTGGGTGGGGATCCACTTCAGCAGTGGTGGGATTCAAATAATTTAACAACCGGTTCTCTGCCCTAACGACTGGCTGGGTAGGCATGGCCAGATGGGCATGCGACTGGGTGGGCATGGCCAACTCGACATCACTCATCACACCCAGCCCTGCCTCCTGGCCACTTGCCTCAAAGGCAGAGGTGGGATTCTGGTTCTGACCAGTTCAGGCTAATCCCACCACTGGGGGGCCCTGCCCCCAGCCTTTTTTCGGCCCTTTTTGAAGTCCACAAGTCTTAAAGTTGCCAAGGTTGGATACCCCTGAGCTACATGGTCTGATAGATCAGTGTTTTTCAGATTTGGCAATTTTGAAGATGTGTAGAATTCAACTTCCAGAATACTGTCCGGGCAATTCTGGAAGTCCAAATTTTTTAGGATTACAAGTTTGAAAAACCCTGTCAAAAATGGGCAAATTAAGATCCTTTTTAGGGATTACATATTACAGATTATCCTGAGCAGCATATCTATGAAGGAAGACACTAATAGAAACATGCTTTATGCATAAAAATATAGAAAGGCATCTAAGGTTCACTAATCTCTCCACCTTTATGGACCATAATTTATGAGAAAAAGTTCGCAATGATCTCAACAGAAGTTTTCCTCAGCTCTGCTTTGCCTGAATATGCAATATCTATGCTCTGTCATTGAGCTGTGATCATTCTGGCCCTAAAAATAGACACAAAGTTCTCTCAATCACAAGAATTGTCCTCCATTCTCTTAATTTATAGTATGGGACCCTAAAAATAGACACAAAGTTCTCCCAATCATTAAACTGTCCTGTCTTTATTTATATTCTGGAATAGTCAGATAATGAGGAAAAGCTGAACAGGAGATATACATGGACAGACATTATTGATCCGATTGATACTTAAGATTCTTTCCCTACCCCACCCCATTACTGATGTACTGATATGAGGAAAAGGTCCAGGTGGGTGGAAGGATTTTTGATTTTTGACCCTCTTTCAAGCTTATTTTCTTAGAATCGGTTCTAAAACTGGACATAAAGTTTATTAGTACATAAATTGTAATTGGAGCAAAGAAGGAAGCAGAGGACTTTAGGAAGACAACATTATGGCAATTCAAGTTTTTGAGGAAGTTTTGTTTTCCTTATTTTCATATCTTGGCTTTAAATCAACCCAGACATTACATTTGTTCAACGTAATCTTATACAATTCCCGCCCCCAAGTTTTGCTATAGTCCAGGTGTTACTGTGCTTAGTAGTGCAATTTAATACTATTTCATACAGTTGTATAATAATCCAAATTCAGAAGGGGAAATATGCTTTGGGGTGAGACTCACGTTGTGTTTGTCAGCAAATGTTTAAAAGATTTGTGCAGTGGGGCCCCAACTGGGCAAAATTTTAACCACCGGTTTGCCTAACCCAGTCCAAACCGGCTGAATCCCACCTCTGCACTTTTGTGACCCCAGGGCTTTTGGGATAAGAGACCGACAAGCTTTTTATCACCTTCAAGAAGTGGCTTTACTGGCTCACAGGGAGTTTCTCCAGTGCCTGGGCCTGGACCCTCTTCCGGCAGCATTTCTGCAGCAGCCGAAGTGCCAGGTGTGCTGCAGCAGGGCCCGTTATGCAACCCAGCAGGTTTCTCAAGGCTGCAGTCCGAGCAATGTGCAAAAGGAGCGGACGCTTATAGCTGATGCTCTCAGCTGGAAGGAAGGTCACTGCAGGTTTGTAACATGGTTCTGGGTGTTTGTGTGTGTGTGGTGTGAACACAGCCAACTGGGTTACCTCTGCTCTGGGGAAGAGGGAGACGGCCTTTCAGGCTGCCATCGCAAAGAAGCCCCCATGGCTCCCCTGGGAAGCAGCCCCCTCCCCTGCCTTTGTATAGGCCCTCTACACCTCCTGCAGCACCCAAGAGGCCGTTTACAGGAGACGGGAGACAAAAGGAGACCACAGGGAGACTGGGCACAAAATGCAGGAGGCGGCCAAAGAGAAGCTCCACAGGCCCAGAGGGAGGTGGAGGGCCGGTTCAGGCATCAGGCTGTCTTGAGCTGCTCCTCTGCCCTTGGCCTGGCGTGCCAGGGAGCTCTCAAGCCACAGACTCACAGGTGCAGTTGTGAGGGCACCTTTGCTTGCTCTTCCCACTGCCTCTAGCTCTTCCCCTGTCCCTGGATTGCCACATTTGCAGGCGGAGCCGCTCTCTGCCCCATCCAGCTTCTCTTTTGCGAGGAGGCGGGCCTTGCCTGGGCACAGGGCCCGGGATGGCAGCCCCCCCCTTCAGGGGTAGCGCCTGAGGCAGGAGAGAAAGGAATGAGTGGAGCTCCCTGTGGAGGAACAAGCAGGCTTTCCAGGGCTGCAAAGGCTCCGTTACAGATGCACCCAGCAGGAGGTGCGGCACCTGCTGCCCCAGAGGGAACCAAACGAGCCAGCCGGAGACCCAGCCCCTCTCCCAGGCAGAGAGCCACCCTGGCCACATCACAAGGCCAGCCTCAGGCTCCCAAGAGTCAATTTATTTCTTCTTTTAGGCGTGGGAAGGTACTGGCCCCTGCTGCCTCTCTCCTCTCCGCCTTCGGAGCAGCAGCAGCAATCCGAGGCCCAGCACCACGGCCAGCCCTGCCACCAGACAGAGCCCATCCTCCCATCGCAGGAAGCCCTCCGGGGCAAGCGCTCCGGACCCTACAGGGGAAAGAGAGTGCCGGCAGGGGGGGTCTCAGCTAGCCGCAGGTGTGATGGGGGGGTCTTCACTCTGGGCAGTCTCACCTTCAAGGCGCAATCTGCAGCTAGGAGGAACTCAGGGCTGCTGCTGAAGGTCACCGGCCAGCAGCCCCCACATTCGAGGGTGGGAGGACATTGCCCAGGGCCCCCCCTCATGGTGCCCCGTGTGGGGACATGTTCAGGAGACCATGTGACGCAGCCAAACACGCAGACCCCCCCCCCAAGGGGCTGTTCGGGGAAAGGTGACACCCCCAAGGCCTCTCCCCTTAGTACCTTCCAGCCGGGAGGCCTGCATGGGCTGGCTGAAGAAGTCCACAGGCCCAGCGGAAGCCAGCATCAGCGCCTGGCCTGCCTGCGAAGGAGCTCCTCCCCAGGCATCTCTCTGGCCTGGGGCAGAGAGGAAGGGCTGTGTTTGTGAGCACCACAGTGTGCTCCCCATAGCCCCCCACCCACCTGAGAAGGACCCTCTGCAGCCAACCAACTCACGTCTGCCCTGCAGGCCAGCCTCACAGCGGGTGCCGCATGGCTCCTGGGCGGAGGGCACGCAGGCTGAGGCGCTGCAGTGGAAGTAAATCTGTGGGGAAGGGGGCAGAGGTCAGGAGCAGTGGGAGGACGTTGCCCCACAAGCAAGGGCCACAGGTCAAGTGCTGGGGAAAAATGGTCCCCCGAAAGTCTGATCTCCCTCCCTTCAGGCAAAGGGGTTTATGGCTCCAGGAGGGAGACAGTGCCTCTGAGAATGTACAGAAAACCTCTTCCCTTCGCTCAGCGGCACTGAGTCCAGGATGGGCTGCTCAGAATCAGAACTCAGGACAGGAGGAGATCTCTCCTGCTCTGCTCTTGCCTTCCTGTGAGCAAAGGGATCGGGACCCTGCCGGGCTGCCACCCCCCCCCCCCCGCTCTGGACAGGCCCCAACCCTACCGGGCCGCTGAGCATCTGCCAAGTGTCTGTGTCCACAAAGGTGAAGGTCCTGACCACGAAACGCTGATGGTGAGAGGGAAAGGGCAGCCCCGAATCCCACTGGATGGGCACCAGCTGGGCCTGGTAGTTGTGTCCTTGGTAGGGGCACCTGGAGGGCAGAGGGGGCAGCCCTGTGTCACTGGCAGCTCATGCATAACTGGCCTCTGCCTCTAGGAGAGAACCGGGCTTTGAGTTATGACGGCTGCAGAGGGAGACCGGGCGGAGGTGCAGGGCTGGTGCCTCAGGCCAGGGAGGGGTGTGGGCTCCTGCCCACCACAAAACGCTTGGCAACCGGCCAATCCTGGCTCTGCGGGAAGCTGGGTTTCTAAACCAGGGGAAATTGGGAGCTCCGATTCCACCCCGTTAGGAAAGTCGCTTTGATCGTGAGACAGAGCCCCCCCCCCCATAAAAATGTAGAGAAATAAAGTCCTGGGCCCCACAGAATCGAGGGGGCTGGGCTGCATGGCAGTTCTCCCTGGTCAAGCTCTGGCCAGAGACTGGCGGAAGCAGCCAAGCCACCCCTGGGCACCAGGCAAACCTGTTAGTCAAGGCATGTCCCCCCCCCCGAGGCCTGCCCCCCTCCCCTCAGTCCCAAGTCACAGACCCATTCTGCAGGAGGGGCCAATGAGGTGCCCGGAGGGGGCTGGCGCTTGGGGTAGCCCAACAGTCATGGAGGAGCAGAAGGAGTGCCGGATCCCTCCTCCCGAGGAGGCGGACTTCCAGGGGAATGGGCTCATGCAGAAGCTTCACCACCGGGTAGTCCAGAGGGCCGTAGTAGGAGGAGTAGGTCTCGTCTGCAGAGGAAGGAGGCCCCTGAGATGGGGCTGCCCCAGAGGGACAGCAGCAGGCAGACCCCCCCTCTTGGGTGGGCTTGGGGGCTGACCCCACCTACCTCCAGCGATCCGCATGTCTAGAGCGAGGGGCCCCTGCTGGGCAATGGCGGCTGGGGGAGGAGGGGTGGCCACCAGGACACTCACCGGGAGGGGCTCCTGGGCGGAGTAGCTGCAGCGGATGGTCAGCCTGCAAGAGAGCCAGGGCTGTGTGTGCTTCTCCGGCTGGGGCTTGTGGTCACTGCTGCCTGGTCCCCTTAGGGGCACCAGTGAATCAGGGAGGCAGAAGGCACCTTGAGGTCATCAAGGCCCACCCTCACTCAGTGCAAGAAGGGGCCTGGGAAGACGCAGCAAGCAGAAGCAGCAGGAGGCCCAGGGCTGCCAAGCCCCCTGGCTGAAGCCTGGGTCTGCCTTCCGGGGAGGGGGCCGAGAGCCAGTCCAGTTCAAGGGCTCTGAGGGCCAGAGGGCAGGCAGGGGCCTCCGGAGAACAGAGGCTTGCTCCCCCTCTCTCTTGTGGGGACTTTCCCCGTCTCATCCTAGGGCTGGGATCCTGTCCCTGGCTCTCCGGCTCCTACCCTTCCTTTCCATCCCCAACCCCCTGCTGCCCAAGGACCTCCCAGCGGCCACCTGAAGAAGTCGCTGTCCCGGGTGATGGCGCCTGAAGAGGCCCGGAGGGTCCATCTCTCTGCCGAGAGCTCGTTCTCGTAAATCTGGTGGCCTCCGGCCTCCTGGCACAGAAAGAGCTGCCTGAGGGGATCCCTTTCTTCCCTCTTTAGCTTTTCCCTCCCTCCCTCTCCTTCCTTCTTTCTTCCCACCTTCCAGGGGTGAAATCCAGCAGGTTCTGGAGAACATTTTGAGCTGTCTGGAGAACCAGCAAATACCGCCTCTGGCTGGCCCCAGTGGGGTGGGAATGGAGATTTTGCAGTATCCTTCCCCTGCCCCGCCCACCAAGCCCCACCCACAGAACCGGTAGTAAAAAATTTTGGATTTCACCCCCCTCCCTCCCTCCCTCCTCTCTTTCTAGCAGAGCCTGTCTTGGAGCGAGGGGTCTTTCTCCAGAGCGGGCTCCTCTGCTTTGGTCCCTCAATGGGGCCAGTTTCTTCCACACCAGAGAACTGGGGAGCTTCAGGCAGACATTTGCACGTGTGGAAGTATGAAAGTATGAAAGTGTGGAAATATAGAAATGGCCAAGCATTTCTATAGCGTCTGAGCAAAGTTATTGGGGTGGGAGGTTCTCTGGCCGGCTAGAAAGCCAATCTAAGTACAATCCTTCTTCTTCTCTCTTTGACGCCGGCCATTGTAACGCTCACAGAGAAACTGGGCCTCAGCCCCCACGGAGAAGCTGCGAGAGCCCGGGGGCCCAGCCCCTTTCAGCCCTGGGAGCGGACTTGGTGACCTCCATCCAGTCAGCTTCTCCCAGGCCCGCCCACCTCACAGGGTTGTTGTTGTATCGCACCCTCCCCTCTGACCTTCAAGATCGTCCCACACGCAGAAAGAGGAAAGTTGAACACAACAAAGACTTTGTTCCTGGAATGGGGGCCACAGGCCCTCCCCCGAAGGCTCAGCAGGTGCAGGGAATCCAAGCTCAGGGCCGGCACAGCGGCGTCTCTCGAGACGGCCAGGGAGAAGGAGCCCTCTGGGGTGCAGCGAGCCGTCACTGTGCAGGAAAGGAGAGTGGGGGTGGGGGGCGTCTGTTGGGTCAAAGTTCAGGTGCCCCCTTTCCTCCCACCCCTGGTGCAGAAGGGCCTTGGGCAGGACAGGGGTCTGGCTGCAAGATCTCCTTCCTTAGGTGGTGGTGGGGAGGATGGCTATCCAACTGACTATCATCGCCCAGCTCAGCCAGCTGGAGAGAGCCAGCTTCATGGTCCTGATATGGGTCTGCCCCGCTCGTCCCCTTTGTCTCTCTTGGCAGGGCTTCCCCTGCCAGGGTGTTCCCTGGACCCTTTTCCCAATCCCGGACATGGGGCGGGGGGGCAGCAGAAGATGACTTCCCAGGAGGGTAGCAGCATTCCCACCCCCAGTGTGGAGAAAGGAGCCCCCCGAGCCCCTCCTCTACCTCCACAAGGACGGTCCATTCACCTCTGCTTTCCGTTTGCCAGCCGCCCTTCGGGGGCCCTCAGAATGGCTCAGGGACCCATGTAAACCCAGAAAACTGGGGCTGCCAACCCCCAGCCAGAGTCCCCTTTTCTTGGATCAGCCGTTTGGGGCAGCCGAGCCCACCGGGTGGGTCCAAAGGCACCAGATGGAAGAACCGGCAGAAACAGCTGAGCAGAAGGGTGCCCTAAGTTCCTCCAGATGAGACTTAGGGGTCCGTAAAGGGACTTGGGGGCACAGAAGGGAGGTGATTGGCTGCCTCTTGAGGGTCTGCTGCAGCTGCTGCCCCTCCAAGGGGGGGGTGTCCCAGGATCTTCCAGGAGCCCCTCCCTGGCCTGGGGCCACGGTGATGCCCCCTCCCTCCGACCCCTGGGATCTGCCAGCTCACCTGTCTTGCCGTAGTAGCAGGGGGTCACCCTGTCCTGGGGATCGAAGCAGCAGCCCCAGTGGGAGCACTGGCTGTGGCTGAGCCAATGGGAGCTGCAGGGAAGTCGGTCCGCCAGCTGCACCGCTGAGCACCGGCTGGGGCTGGGGGGATCCAGGACTGGGGGTGGGGGAGAGGGCAGCCATGGGGCACCCGCAGCAGACTCACAACTGCTCAGGAGGACCCCACGGGCATCTCCCCTTGTCCTGCAGTAGCATCAGGAAGCTCTCATTTGGGGGCCACAGGGACCGGGGCCATCTCTCTGCAGAGGCGGTTGGCCCAGGAAGGCTGTGGGAATCCAAAGCCCCCCCCTTTGGCACCCCACATCTGATGGTGCCAGTGGGCCTTTTGTAGCCTCTCCTTCTCCAGCAGACTCCGGAGCCCACCCTAATGGCTGCACCCCTTTGAGGAGGCTGTGCTGCTTGGGGTCCCCCTCCCAACTTCCCTGGGCCGCTGCATTGAGAAGTGCTCCTCGGGGTATTCTGCCGGGGGCTCCCCCAGAACCCTTCCTGCAAGGGGCTCCCTTGCTCAAAGCCAAAGAGGGTCCCTGGTTGAAGGGAACATAGAAGCTGGGGGCTGAGAGGCCCCACAGCGCTGCTCCATGGGCCCCGGGACAGAGAACCCACAGCGGAGACCGGCCAGGCCAGCAACCATCACATGTTGTTCTCTTGGGAGCCTCTTGGGAGCTGCCTCGTTTGTGCAAATGGCCCTCCCTGGAGACACCCTGAGCCAGCACCCTCATTTCCCTTGCTGGGGGTGAATTTGGGGCTCCCCTGTGGGGCAGCCGTGGGATCTTGGAAGTGGCTGATCTCCCCAGCCCTCCTTTGCTCCCGGCTGTCTCAGGACCTACCATCGGGCAGCACCACTGCAGCCTGAGGCTCCAACCCCATCCCAGCGGGGGCCACCTTGGCAGTAGTAGCCATCAGAAGCACTAGGAGTGTGAGGTAAGCCATGCCAGCTGGCATCTACCTGGCAGGAGGCAGGCAGAGGTCTGGGCCTCCTCCAGTTGCCAGGGCCAGGGTGGGCTTCTCCCACATCAACAGGCCCCCTTTGTGACCTCATCTCCCCCTCCTGGCCTGCAGCAGCTTTGGGCACAAGGGCAGCTGGACAGGAAGCCCCCCCAGGCCTGGCTGTGGCGGGGGAGGCGGATGATACTGGCAGGAATAGCTAACACCCTAGAAGATAGGCTCAAGATCTAGATGGATCTTGACCGACTTGAACATTGGGCCCTATCCAACAAAGTGAAATTTAATGTAGAGAAAAGTCTTACACTTAGGTAAGAAAAACCAAAAGTACACATATAAACTGGGGGAAACCAGGCTTAATAGCAGTGACTGTGAGAGGGATCTGGGAGTCTTAGTGGACAACCAGCTAAATAGGAGCCAGCCGTGTGCAGCGGCAGCCAGAAAAGCCAAGGCAATCCTAAACTGCATTATCAGAGGGATACAATCAAGATCAAGGGAGGTACTAAGACCACTCTATAAAGCCTTAGTAAGGCCACACCTAGAGCACTGCATCCAGTTTTGATCACCACACTATAAAAAAGATGTGGGGACTCTGGAAAGAGTGCAGAGAAGAGCAACCAGGATGATGAGGGGACTGGAGACTAAAACATATGAAGAACTGTTACAGGAACTGGTCATGGCTGGTCTAGTGAAGAGAAGGACCAGGGGAGATAAGATAGCAGTCTTCCAATATTTGAGGGGCTGCCACAGAGAGGAGGAAGGGGGCCAAGCTGTTTTCCAAAGAACCTGAAGGCCAGACAAGGACTAATGGATGGAAACTGACCTAGAAATGGGGAGGAACTTTCTGACAGTGAGAACAATTAACCAATGGAACAGCTTGCAACAGACATGCTCTAGGAACCCAGGCGACAGGGGCAGCGTCTGGAAAGCCCCATCTGTTTTCCCTGCCAGCCTCTTTTCCCAACCCTGGGAAACACCCCCCCCCATTGTTTAGAAGTGGGGAGAAGACCCCAGGCCTCTTCAGGCTGGCTGCCCTCAGAAAACCAGGCCCCCCACCCTGTCTTGCATGGGGCTCCCCAAGGCAGAAGCAGCCTCTCCTTGCCAGAACAGCTTCATGTGAAGGCAGTCTGCACAAACACCCTCTGGCTCCAATAGAGGAGAATCTTTGTGGCTCAGGGTTGAGCTGAGGGGTCCCTGGTGGTCTCTCCTCATGGTGGTTTTCTTGCAGACGTTTCATTGCCCAAACTAGGTAATGTCATCAGTGCTAGAAGGGACGGGTTTTTTTGTTTAGGTAAACCCACTCCTTACTAGCACTGAAGTTACCTAGTTTGAGTGATGAAACTGCAAGAAAACTTCACCTGCTCAAATATCACCAAAGACACCCCCTCCCCCTCCCCACCCCCGGACTTTCTGCCTCCCTCCCTCCCTCCCCACTGCTCAGGGGCAATCTTCATGCAAAACCAGACTATTAAAAATATCAGCAGAAAAAAATCAGAATATGCAAAAGCTGCCAGTTAAGTTTAAATTTGACGCCCCCAAAGGACACTCTGCACATGGCCAAGAACAACCTTTCTGCGAACGGTGTTTCCAGAGGACGCTTTCTTTTAAAAACCCCTTAGTTGTTCTGGGGGAAACACTCTGTGCGTGCTCGGAGGGAAGGCTCTGCCCAGCCCGGCCGGAGATTGAGAGGAGGGGTCTCTCCCTCAGGTCACAAGCAAACTTTCGGCCCAGGGGAGCCAAGGCGGGGCAGGGAGGTTTATTCCCCCAGCCTCAGGCAACCCTCCTGCAGGCCCCACGGGGAAACGCTGCACATGCACGGAGGGCGCCCTCGGGTTCGGATCCTCTTCGGGAGGCTGCTGTTGCTCCAGATGCGCGCCTTCTTTCAGACTCCGCAGCAAACCCTCAGGAACATCAACGCTTCCGTCCTTTTGCGCATTTCCTCCCGTCCCACTGGGTCTGGGCGGCATCAGCCCAGCACTCTGCCCACGCTCAGAGGCGCCCTTTCCTCCTCCGGAGCCTTCCCCGGCGCCCCCCCCCCGTGGCCACGCCCAGCCGCCCCTCTCGCTCGCTGACTGGCGGGCTGCAGCGCAGGGGGCGGGGCCCGCGCGAGGGCGCTGGCGGGGCCCGGCGGGTGGGCGTGGCCAACGGAGGCCTCGGAGGCGCCAACCAAGATGGCGGCGGCTGTGGCGGCCGGAGGAGCCGGAGGCGGCGTCCGGGGCAGCCTCTCCATGGCCCCCCTCGCGGCTGCTGCCCCTTCGCCGCCTCCCTCGGAGCGCTTCTCGCTGGTGGTGGTCTTCGGCGCCGGGGGCGGCCGGCCGGGGCTGCGCAGGGCGGTGCTGGCGGCCGTCAGAGCCGGTGAGGGGGCGCCGGAAGTGGGGGGAGGGGCGCGGGCGGGGGGCTTCGGAGTCGGGGCGCCCTTCCGCCGCCGCCTCCCCTCCCCCCACAACGCCCCGCCAGGGGGGCCGGCGGAGAAGCGGCGGAGGGGGGGGGCGGGGGGGGGGGGGGGGGGGGGGGGGCATCCCCCCCCCGGAGGGCCTGGCGGACAAAGGGCCGAGCCTCCCTTCCGCCCTTGGGGCTGCTGGGGAGGCCCTTCGGCTTCGTCCAAGGCGGGCTCTGCAGGGGCTGGGGAAGGAGGGGGGGCGGCGGGTCTTCCTTGCAAGGGCTGCGGAGGGGGCTCCCAGGGGAGGGGAGGGGAGGGGAGGGGGCTGCCTCCTCCCCTTGGAGGGGCTCTGGGTCATCTGCGGTTGGGGTGGGGGGGGCGGGGGGCACCCCCCTTCTGCCCCCCCCCCTCTCCTGGGCCTGCCCCCCCCCAGGTGTGGCTTTCAGGAGGGGGCCGCATGGAGGAGAAGCTGCAGCAGCGTCTTCGAGGGCAACTGAGGCTGGGAAATTTCCAGATGTTGTGTTGCTTTTCTGGCATTTTTTTGTCCAGCTGGTCTGGATTTATGTTCCAGGCATTTTCATGAAAGCCTTTTGGTTTTGTTCGCCACTTGGAGACCCTGAGAATTGGGTGCCTTTCACAGGTTTAAATAATAAACAGAAAAGAGCGCCGATTCCCTTAACTTCCCCCCAGGATTTGGGTTCTGTCTCCCCGATACTCCCCTATAGTTTGGCTGGAGGCAGAGCCCAGCCAGCATCTCCTGGGATAGAAGGAGCCCTTTTGAGGGTGCAAAGGATGCTGGAGGGCTTGAGGACGGAGGAGAGGCCGGGCTGGGCTTCCTGCAAGGAAACCAGCTGGACACAGAGAATAAAGAGCAGTTGGTGGAAGGAAGTTGAGGTCAGAACCGCCTTTGCCATTCCTGGCCCTGCTGCGTGATCTCATCTCTGTGTGATCTGTGGGTGTCACAACGCCCGGGTGCCCTGGAGGGGCAGAATGGAAAGGCTTGAGCTCCCTTGTGGCCTCCAAGCACCCCGTTTCCCTTTGAAAGGCCGCAGGAGTTGTCTTTCTCGGGCATTTGGGGTGCTGGAAAAGCAGTTGCTTTCTCTATTATTTCTTTTTTAAAGAAGAGCAAATCTTTGCAACCAGCATTTTTTGGGTGGGAAAAGGAGAGATCATGTGTTGCTCAGGGCTTCTCAAAGAGAAGGTCCTCTGGGGAATACGGGGCTCCCCCCACTCCAATTCCCAGCTCTTCTGTGTGTTGGGGGAGGCTGCTTCAGCTCTTGGGGCTGTCTTTGCCATTTGTTGGCTTTCCCAGTTGGTGGCAGCCCCACCGGTCCTCTCTGCTGCAATAGCGGTTGGGGAAGTGAGGTGGGGAAGAGGGCAGCACCAGGGCCTTGGCCTTTGTTGGGATGGTGACTTGTCCTTGAAGCAGTGGGTCTACTTGGACCTTGTCCTGGCCTCCTGCTGGGGCCGCATAAAGAATCCCTTTCCTCCAGGCGTCCCAGCCCAGCAGCAGAAATAGGGGGACGATCCCAGCCAAGCAAAACCAAAATTAGCGGCCGGGCGGTTCTTGGAGGAGAGCCTGGCAACACCTTTCCTTCTGGGATTGTTTTCAAGGCAGCAAATTGCTCCCAATTGCTGCTTCCCCGCCCCGAGGGGAGGGAGGTTCCCCCAAGCTGGAAGTCTGCTTTTGTTTTCCCAGTGCACCTGAGTCACCTTGGCAGGGTGCGAGCAGGCCAGGGCCAGGTGCGCACCTGTTGGGATGCGCCTCTTCTGTGGAGGGGATGGGAGCCTTGCTCTCGCCTCTTGCCAGGAAGATGCCGCCGGTTGTGGCTTCGGGTTCTCGTGTGGATTTGGACGGGCTTTTCATTTGCTGAAGAAACAGGAGAATTTCTCACAGGTGGAAGACATGTGGCCTGTTTGCTTTGCACAGGGTGGACTTTGTGCAGGTCCCCTGCAACTATTGTTAGAACCACCAATCCCTTGAGCCTTTTCTGAAAAGAAGAGGTCCCAGGGGCAGGCAGTGGGAGGGTGGGTGGGTGAAGTAGAGGGGTGGGCCAGTGGAAGCCCCTTGCGAAAGGGAAGAATCCCTGACTGAGGAGGCCGGCATTCCTCTCCCTTGAAAGGCATCTGAAGCCGGGGTGGCTAGAAGGCTGCCGGGTTTGGGTTCCGGTCTTTAAGGCAACAGCTGCTCTTTGATCTCCATCCTGGGCAGCTGCTCATGCTGCCTTGGCGACTGGGCCTCTCGCTCTGCTCCTAATCCCAAAGGCCTGTCTCTGTCCGGCTGCTTTCTGGTTGGTTTTATTGATGCTGGCATCAATCTCTGCGGGAATAGAAGTGGTTAAACTGCCTGCTGGATGCCTCAGGGGAGCCTCCTCTCTCTTCGTTCAGGGATGCTCTTAAGGCCCTGACTGAGCTCCCAGGTGCCATTCCTGCTCTTTCCTCCCTTTAGCTGAGCCAGGGCGGCTTCTTGAAGGGAGGGGAGGGTCCCAAAGCTGGTGGGGCCTCTTGTAGTGGGGTGGATCGGGCAGGGAGATCCTCTTGAAGGGCTCCTCTCTGGCAGCTGCCCAAAGCAGGTTCCTTGTGGGCTGCATTTCCTTCCCAAAAGCAGTGGACATGGGGCTCCTTGTGGGAAACAGGCAGCCTGGTTGATGGTATCGGTCTCAGCTTGGAGGCCAGCATTGGGTGGGCATGTCAGCCACCTCTTGGCCTGTTACTCTGAATGCCTTTGGGCTCACCACCTTCATGCCCTGAACCAGCCATTGTGGGACTGGCCCCGTAGTGGAGGAGAAGGCCCAGAGCCTCTTGACGGGTAGGATGTATTCTGATGAATGGGGGCAGGCAAAAGACCTCAAGGCAGGGAACATTCTTTGGGCTTGGATAAGGAGGCCAAGCTCCCATGTGGAAAGTCCTTGGAAAGTAAGGCTGACTTGCCTTCTAGAGACGGAAGGGTCGGATTCTGCTCTCTTTGTGGAAGGCAGGGAAAGCGGCAACTTCATAGAGGGAGCGAGCATCACTGGCTCTGCCAAATACAGAGGACGGAGGCTCTGGTCACCCACAGAGAAGTACGCGAGGATGGCCCTCACTGGACCCCACGCAGGCCGAGCAGAAGAGAAGGGATGCCCTCGGGAAAGGCCATTGTGGTTTGCGGGTGCTTGTTCCCGGGTGCCAGCAGCTGGATTCCTCCGCAGGCTGCCTGGAGCTCAGCAAGGAGATGATTCTGCACGGAAGCATGGGTTATATTTAGTAATCCTTGCTGGAGGAAATGAGGAAGGTAGGACTGCCTTGAAACTCAGGCTAGAAACCGGGAGACGGTGTTCTATTCCCACCTGAGGCACAAAGCTAGCTCGGTGATCTTGGGCCAGACAATCTCTCTCAGCTCCAGGAAGGAAGCAATGGCAGAGCCCTTCCAAAATCTTACCGAGAATACTGCCGGGACTAATCCAGGCAGTTGCCAGGAGACAAGACTGACTGGAAAGGGCAAAACGCACAAGCAGACAAGAACCCACCATGACAGTCCCAGGGAAGGAAGGGATCCAGTGCCCGAGCCGGTGAAGGTCGCTGTCCCCCATGGCAGCCGGGAGGCCTCAGCATAGCCCTTGAATGCTTCCCTCCCAGTTTCTGGAGCTCCTGGTGGGTGCTTTCAGCTGGAGCCTTTCAAGCCACGGTCTTGGTGGGCCAGCTCTCTTAAGCCGGGATACTGCCTTGAGCAGCGGGCATTGTGTAATTTGGAGATACAGAGCTAAGCTGCTCTATTCCTTCTCTTCAAGCTTGTTTTAGGAATTTCTCTCCAAGTCTTTTTTTTTTAGGACTTCTTTTGACTTGGGTTTATCGCTGAAATCCTCTCACAGTTCCCTTAAAGGAGGTGAAAAGCAGTCAGCCCTCTCCTCTCTGTCCCTGGGCAACCGTTGCTTCTGCCTATCCTGTGTTCAAGCCTTTGTTCCACGTTCCAGATTAATGTGTAATCTGATCAAGAGAAGTCTTGGCAACCTAGCCAGGAAAGCTCAGATGACACACAAAGAACAGTGGGCCCATCCTCCCCAGCTCCTAAGGGTGCCCCCAAATACACAAGGACAGCATGGCTCATCATCAAAGAGTCGTGGTGGTGCAGTGGTTAGAGTGCAATACTGCAAGCTACTTCTGCTGACTGCCGGCTGCCTGCAATTTCAGCAGTTCAAATCTCACCAGGCTCAAGGTTGAGTCATCCTTCTGAGATCGATAAAATGAGGACCCAGATTGTTGGCAATAGGCTGACTCTCTGAAATGCTCAGAGAGGGGTGGAAAGCACTGTGAAGCGGTATATAAGTCTAAGTGCTATTGCTATCATTCAATTGAAAGGGTAGCAGGGACCCCAACATAGAGAAAGAAGTTGCAAAAAAGCTTGGACATCTCATGGGGGTGGGGGAATGTTCTCTCAACTACCCACTGCAATCCCTAGAGAAAACCAAAGAACTAAAAATAGAAGAAGAAATGATGGCTGCATTCGATGTCACAGCACTCTTTACGTCTCTAGATCCAGACGTACCACCACACCACACCCATGAGGTGAGCAAGTGTGTTAAGGCCGAAATCATGGCCCCCATCGGCCTCCCAGCCTCTACGTTTCCTATAAGCGCGCCCACAAATCGGAGGGACGCCCCTGGGGTTGCCACTCTCGGGACTCACAACTGCGTCTGTAACGCATCACCTGGCAACCATAGCGTTCAAAAGCATGGGCCTGGGGTGTAGACCACACCTTTGTCATAACAAGAAAGACAGGGAGGACCCATCTAACAGTCAACAACCTCTTCAAAGGAATAAAATTGACAGGGGAAGAAGAAAGCGAGACGCTGCCTTCCTGGATATCCTTACCTGTAGAGGGAATAACAGCAAACTAAAAACCCAAGTTTATTGAAAAACAACCCACAAGTGCTCCATTGTCAAAGTAACAACTGAACTTCCCAGAGCACAAATGCACCACAGCAATCCAGAACACCAGAGAAAGGAAAGCACCCGAGACCAGGTCTATGACAATTTGCCATGGCCAACTCACCGCGGGACAATTCACTGCGGGACAAGAATTACGCTAATGTCAAAGAAATGGTGGAATAGAATAATTAAAGGATGCAAAAGGAGGGACAGAATGAAATGTGAATGGCAAAAGTTAAAATAATTTTTATTTATTTTAAATAATTAAATAGAATTGTTCAATTGTCCCGTAGCAACTGTGTCTTGCAGCAAGTTGGCCATGGCAAATTGTCCCATTCTCTCCTAGACCAGCTAAATAAAAAAAACGCCGGGGAATTTCTGAAAGCTTGGCATTCAGACAAATTAGCCATCAACAAACACACAGAGATAAGTCATGCTTACAGACCTTTGACAAGAGAAAATAAAAAAAGCTAAGAAGGAAACAAAAAGACAAGAACCTGTCCTCTCCCACATTCAGAGAAGCAGGGATTTCCACCAGACAAACAAGCAGAAAACAATGACATAATCCAGGAGCTAAGATTCACAATGAGCCCAGATTCTTTCCTTAAAAGGCGACAAAACACTGGAACTTTCCTTCACCTCAGATTGGTAAACAAGTTTTCCAAATGCCTGGCTGTTACACATGAGGTTTGGCTTAAGAGGCAGAAGCTAGGGATAATGACTTGGAACAACAGAGCTCCTTTAAGTACTACCCCAGTTCCAGGTGGTATTTACCTTGGGTTAAGTGCAGAGTACAGGAAAAGCTAAGCGATAAATGGACTTGTTTCGTACGATGTATTCTGACAGCTTTGTTGAGAGGCAGGAGGCCGTGTGGTATTGCGGCAACATCATCCTGTTGTGTTGTCAACCTGCAGCTTTCTAAATATTCTATGACCTAACATGCAAACGTCGTTTTCTTTGCTTTGTGGATTAGGAGTTCGGCTGGGTTTAAAGATAGTTATGTTAGCACTAGAATGGACAGCTCGTTTTTAGCCTCTCCTAAGTCCAGTTTCTAATAATGCCATAAACTGAGCTGAAGCTAAATCTCCCCTGTATTTTGTTTTGTTTTGTTTTTGTTTGCTGCGTAGGCAGGACCCAGATCCTTTGTAGGCCCTGCTTTTCTAGGTAGGCTGCTGCTTGGTGGAGGCTGGCAGAATTGCGGGATCTTCTCAAACATCCCACTGGGAAAGAGGTCCCAGAAAGTGCTGCCTGGCACTTCCAGACTCTGCTGAACGATCGGGATCTTTGTCTGGGCTTCTGGCTGGGCTGTGGTCACGGTAGCCACCGGATATCAAGAGGGCTCTTCCTTTGTCCGGCTTGGCTATGTTTGACCACCCCAGGTCGGTCCCCTGCCAGGATCTGGCCCTGACGGTGCCAAATAAGTAGTTTCATTCTACCTCAGATCCAGGTGATGGTGCTTGGGGGGACCAGTCCTGTCCAGAAGTGGTCTTGACATGACTAATGTATTTAAAGGCTAGCCGTCTCAGGTTCTTGCCAGAATAAAAAAACAGGGAGTGAATTCATTAGATAAAAAATAAAAACTGGCTTTAGGTGTGCCTGAGGCTCTTTGTCCTTCCTTGACCACCCCAAGCCTTGGGGTTGAGGTGGCCTGAGGAGCTGATTCCTCTCCCAGCATGCGCCCTTGAATAAAGCTGCTCAGGCCACCTCAGCCCCAAGGCTTGGGGTGGTCAAGGAAGGACAAAGAGCCTCAGGCACACCTAAAGCCAGTTTTCATTTTTTATCTAATGAATTCACTCCCCGTTTTTTTATTCTGGCAAGCACCTGAGACAGCTGGCCTTCCCGGTGTTCCCAAAGCAGGGCTAGAGACGCAGGGAGGGGGCAGCCAGTGGTCATCCTGGCAACCTCCAGCATCTCCTCCCAGGCTTGGCTCGCCTCTGAGACAGGATTCGCCCCTTTGTCCTCTTCCGCTGGAATGACGTGGCTGGACTTGGGGGCTTCCGCTCCGATGGACACTTGGGGCAGTCCTGTCAGTGTTTCCACCCGCAGAGCTGCAGTGCAGAATCGGGTCATGTGTTCTGCAGCACTAAGATTAGTCCCCCCCCCCCCCCCCCCCCCAGCCCCCCGCCGGTGGCTCCAGAACTGGCTGGGGGCTTCGCAGGGTCTGCGTTGCAATTTGGGGACGTCGGCTGCTTTTTCTGCACAGCTTCGCTTTTGAGAGGAGCTGATGTGCAGAGCAGAAAGGCTGGGCCTGCCGCCTCCCCCCCCCCCGCCCCCAGCGTGTGGAGCCTTTGCGGACAGACCTTCCATGCGCAGGGTGAGGGGGGTTTCTTGGGGGCCTAGGCAGCAGCATGCACAATGCTCTGAAGTCCACACGCCCCGCCTGACCTTGCCAGAAATGTTCAAAACCTGACACATAGTTGAAAAGACTCATTTTGAATTGGAAAATTTAAAAAGCTTTAAAGAGACTTAGAATTCCCCCATTGGAATTAGAAAAAAAATATCTGGCTTTCCTTTTGTCTCACTGTTTTTTTCAAATTCTGAGAGGTGATACTTTTCCTGTTGGACTGCAGCCCACACAGACTTTCTGTCCTCTCTGCAACTTCACACGGAGGCAGCCAGTGAAGAAAAAAATGAAGAGCGGCTGCTGTGTTGGAGCAGGCTTTCCCCCTCGGAGAGGAGGAGGAGAAATAGTTCCCTTTTTCTGCTCTGCTTCCTCCGTCCTGACTCCCAACAGGAAGCCACAGTCAGAAACCAGTTCCGGGCATCTTATGCTGGTCTGAGAACAGAGGTTGGAGCCCGTCTGGGATTTTGCCTCTGCACTTCCTCCATTCAAAAGAGGCCAAAGAAGCCTCAAGCCCCCGATCATAGTGGCAGCCTCAGCAATATTGCAAGTAGCTACAGCCGTGGTGGGAAGGCCACAGGCAGCATCTCCCCTTCCCCTCCCCAGCTTTTAAATCAACCCCACCTAGGAGGCGAGAAGGCCCTTTGCTGGGCAGCGGAGGGATGTCTGCTCCTCTTAGGAACCCTTTGCTTTTCATTGCAAGCGACACGGAACAATATTGAGATGGTTTCATCTGGAAGGAACCCCAGAGGCCTTCTAGTCCAACCCAAGGCAGGAGCCGTACGCCATCCCAGTCAAATGGTTCTCTGCTCTGAGGGCTCCTTGGTGCTCACTAAGCTTGCTTGTTTTCTTGCAGATGCTTCATTACCCAAACTAGGTTAACGTCATTGGTTGTCCCGGGAGCCAATGTGGGGTCTCAGCTCTTGAGTTTTTGGACTTCATTCCAGAGCAGATGTCCAAATTTGCCCCAAAGTGTGGCTGTAGGGTAGCCTGTAGGACGGAGGAGGAGAAGCCCCCGAGGATGCCCACGTGCTGGAGTTGCAAAGACTGTTAAGTCTGGAGATCTGAATTTGTTTGCTTTTTTTTTTTTAATTTGGTCTTCCAAGTCACGCTAGATTTGAAGTAATCGTAGCCATCATCTTTAGTTGTTTAAAAGAATTGCAAATATCCTATTTTTTAGTTTTCATTCTTTTTTTTTTGTGAAACATCAAAAAAGATACTCTAGTGTCTATGCAGCAAAAAAACCTGCATATGTTATGGTGGTTAAACAGAATGAGCAAGAAAAAAAATAGCTCTCTAGTGTCATTATAAGATTCCAGTCCTGAAACTCACCATTATATCTGGCCTAAATCGACCCCATTGCTCTCTACTTATTTTAGAATGTAAAGCAGCAGTGGTAATGAACACATCTGCTATCCTTTCCTTAGCTCCAAAAGAGTCATCGCTTATATAAACTCATCCCATCGTCCAAAGCCCTTCGTAGCATCGCGGGTTCCGTGCTGCTTTGTCCTCTTCAACGGCTCCCCCGTTTCTCTGTGTTAACACGCTCAGAGGTGAAGCCAAAAGGGGACCAAACCACAGGAGACGAGAGAACCTTCCGGTCTCTTGCAATTCCAGCACGTGGGAAAAAGTCCTTGACTTACAGCCGTTCGTCTAGTGACTGCTCTCAGTTACAACAGCACTGAAGGAATTGACTTACGACTGCTTTTCACACAGCCAGCCGTTGCAGCTTGGCAACTGGCATGTATTTATGACGGATGCTGTGTCCCGGGATCATTGAGTCGAGGACTGCCTGTGTTTCCTGGTCTCGGTTCCATAGAAAACGGGATCCTTGGTATCTGCTCCAATGCAGCAACTCTTCCACTCCCAGAGTTCCAGGTGCCTCCGAAGGGGCCGTGGAGGCGCGTGGAGGGCCTTGTACGGTCAGTGCAGGTTTCGGTCGGACAGGCCGCCAAGTGGCCCAGAAACAGCCGGAGACACGGCTTGCTCCTTGGTCTGATGTGCTGGGCTTAGCATCCTGCCTGCCTGCCGGTCTTTGGGGTTCCTCTGATCCCTTCAGCTAACCTCATTTCTCTGGAATTGGGGATCGGGGGTTACGAAATACCTGACCCCCTAAGGCCTCCATTGGCTGCCTCCATCATTTCAGGGTGAGCTTGTGGGGAAGGGGAGCACAGTCCCAGCCGGAGGGGCCTGGGGGGCGGGCGCCTGCCTTGGGACTGCAGCAATCTCCACAGACGCCCTCTTGGTCCCCAGGTTGGAGCATCAGGTGGGGAATGCTTTGTGTGCTCCAGGGTGATTCTTACACAGCTCTCTCATTTCTTTCTGGCAGGGATCCGTTCTTGGGATATCGACCTGACCGCCTGCAACCTTGATCAGCAGCTCAAGCTCTTCGTCTCCCGCCACTCTGCGACTTTTTCAGATATAGTGAAAGGTAAGGAAATGGGTGAGCAGCTGCTCCCCCTCGGGGCTTCCTACCAAGCAGCCTCCAGGGCCCTGCCAGAGGTCGCCTTGACCGGGGAAATCAGAATAACAGAGTTGGAAGGGACCTTGGAGGTCTTCTAGTCCAACTCCCTGCTCAGGCAGGAGTCCTTATTCCATCCCCGAAAAATGGCTGCCCAGTCTCTGCATAAAACATATAAAGAACAGTTGCAGGAACTGGGTATGTCTAGTCTGATGAAAAGAAGGAGTGACATGATAGCAGTCTTCCAATATCTCAGAGGCTGCCCCAAAGAAGAGGGAGTCAAACTATTCTCCAAAGCACCTGAGGGTAGAACAACAAGCAATGGGTGGAAACTAATCCAGGAGAGAAGCAACCTAGAATTAAGGAGAAATTTCCTGACAGAACAATTAATCAGTGGAACAACTTTCCTCCAGAAGTTGTGAATGCTCCAACACTGGAAGTTTTTAAGAAGATATTGGATAACCATTTGTCTGAAGTAATGTAGGGTATCCTGCATAACCAGGGGGTTGGACTAGAAGACCTCTAAGGTCCCTTCCAACTCTGTTGTTCTAAAAGCCTCCAGGGATGGAGCACACACAACTTCTGGAGGGAAGCCGTTCCACCAGTTAATCGTTCTTGCTGTCAGGAAATTTCTCCTTAGTTCTAGGTTGCTTCTCCTTGATTAGTTCCCATCCATTGTTTCTTGTCCTGCCCTCTTCTGCCTTGATATTGGCATGGGCAGATGGGGGGAGTGGCACTGGTGCAAGCTGGGTATGGGGCAGGGCTTGAAAACCTTTGCCTGGACTATGCCTGGGGCCTCGTCTGTCCTTTCTGCCCTGGCATTGCCGCCCCCCCTCCCCCACGGCCCTCTCAATCATGTCTTTTTGAGTTTGGGTGTGTCCGAGCCAGCTGTGCGACATGGTGTCCATCAAGGCGGGCAGAGATAGAAGGGAATGTGCTGTAGCTGCTTCTCTAGAGAGTCTTTGTCTATGTTTTCATCTCTCTTTTAAAAATAAATGTTGAAAAATTTAAAAATAATCAAAGATACTAAACTTGACATTCAGAAGAAAATTCAGAGAAAACAAATGGAAGAAGGAGATAGAAAGGCAAGGAAAGAAATAAAAGATTAAAGGAAAGAGTAATAGTTAAGGAGGTGACTTCCTCCTTAACACAATTCCTTCCTCACAATAATTCATCACAGGCAAACTTAATATTTCTCCTCCCCCCCCCTTATAAGGTGGTCTGCATATATTTCTTTTTTCCTTAGAGCCCACCCCTCATCCATTTGCAAAGCCAAGCATCAATAATAACGGGTTGCTAGCAAAAAAACCTGTAAAGGCCAGAAGCCTTGAGTTAGGTCTTGTTTTAACCCTGTTAATTTGATTTCTCCCCAAAGCTTTTACCAAAAGCCTTTAAGGGTCCAAATTTTTCTGGCCCCTTAGTCTATTTTTTTTTCTTTCTTAAATTCTTTCTTAGTTTTTTTTCTCTTTGTTTCTGTTTCTTAAAGTTATAGTTAACTTTATTTTTGTTCGAGACCAGAGGGAAACTCACCAGGGGGCTTTTCAAACTTCACCTTTTGAAAATCTCTAATATCCTTAATATAGTTAAATAGGGGAATTCCAGAAGTGATTAGAAAGTGTGGTTAGTGAACTCGGGGTCCTTTAAAAGACTCCGCCACAATTGAGAGCATGAAGATTCCCTTCATTTCTCCATGCTCAGATCTGTGGGAAACCACCATCCTGCTGCCTCATTGTGAGGAACTGCCTTTGGGCACATAAGTGGTCGACCTCCTGTCCTCTCTTCACCCAGAGAAGTCCTGCAGGACAGGGCGACTCTCTGGCCCTTTGGCGCTTGCTGTGCGCGTCTCCGCTTGATTGAAGATGGGCCTGGAAGCACCCAATGCTGCTTGTATCGCTGTGGCAGGAACACAGAGTGTCTATCTGTACTTGTGAAATCTTTCAATGGTTCCCTCTGCCTGCCTCTCTTTGGGGCTGCCTCTTCTCTCCCTCCCTTCCTTCCTTCTAGCGAAGGATCCGGTTCCATCTCGGCCCAACCTGCCTCTCAAGGGGGCTGCGGAGAGGAAGGAGGGAGGGAGAGGGCGAAGGAAGGGCTCCCTTCCTCCTCCTCCTCGGAACAACTGGCCCAGTTGTCCTGCGTTGGGGGTGGTCTGGTGGGGGTCCCATGGGTCAAAGGAAGAACAGCATTCGGTGTTGTGTACCTGCTGTGCAGCTGTGGCTTGGATGGCGTTGCCTGCTCACCTTCCACACTGATAACTTTTGTGGGTTTGGACTGTTTTGGTTCTTGTTTAACAAGTTAGCTTTTTGCATCGTAGCTCTGAACCTCTTCTCCCCACCCCAAATTCCGCCTAGGGTGCCCCTCTCTTCCCTTCCCGTCAGCCGATCTCTGAGTGCAGGGAGGAGGGCTTTCTACGTCAGCTGGCTTCGTTTAGCCTCCCACGTTACTTGGGGAGAGCCCTGGCTTGTCTCCCCGGCAGGGCACCTGATCAGCAGAAAGGGGTCTGGAGTGGGTCCCATCTGTTCTCTGGACCCTCTTTATTTTGGGCAGGCAGCCAGGGTGATGCTGGTGGAAGTGCCCGTCAGCTCTTCTCCCTTATCTTACCTGGGCCTGTGCCTCGCCGAGAAGCCAGGTCACTTCCTCCCGGAGGCCGAGCACCCTTCCCAGAGCCTGGGATCTTGGCAGGGGCAACCAGGGTGTGGCGCCTGGGGCAGTGCATTGGGGTTGTGGGCCGGCCAGTGTGGCTGTCCTGTCCCTGCCATTGGCCCGTGGGTTGGTCCCATGACTTCGCCCTTTCACGGGTTGGGTCATGTTTGGGCCCTCCTGGGTCCGGCATCTCGAAGGCCTTCCTTGAGATGGGGTCCCCCTCTCCTGCCCCCTCTCCTGTCTCGGACCTTGGCTACAGCAGAAGGCCAGCGCAGGCCCTGGCGGCCTCCGTGTGATGGGGGGGGGCTCCTTTCCTTGGCTGTAGGGCCGGTAGCGCCTGCTTTCTCTGAATAGTCCACCCAGCCCCTGTGGCCCAGACTAGCCTGGGCAGAGGGCGCAGACGGCAGACTAGCCTCTGCTAGCAGAATGCTCGCTCCAGTTCAGGCCCCACTCTGCTGGATGGCTGCTTTTTCATTCACGGCCTTGAAATCGTGGCCTTGTCTGGCTTTGGCCTGGCAGTGGCCACGTGCTCAAAAGAGCAACTGAAGAATAGCTTCCTTGACTTAACCTCAGGCCCCCCCAGGGCATGGCTGGATTTTGCCCCAGAAAGCAAACTTTTCTTTAAAGGAGAAACAAAACTGCTCTGTTGAGAGCTTTCAGCCATACCCTGGTCAGCTGCTTACATAGAACAGCCAGCTGTTCTTTCTGGGACCCCCCTCCCTTTTTTTTTCTTTCTTTCTTTCTTTCTTTCTTTCTTTCTTTCTTTCTTTCTTTCTTTCTTTCTTCCTTCCTTCCTTCCTTCCTTCCTTCCTTCCTTCCTTCCTTCCTTCCTTCCTCCCTCCCTCCCTCCCTCCCTCCCTCCCTCCCTCCCTCCCTCCAATACTCTGTTCTGAGTCTTTTGCTGATCAATTTCACTGGATAAGCTTGAATTCAAGTAATGGAATAATACTTACTTTCATAAATTTTTAGCATGTTCTTCTAGTTAACCAAACTGTGTTTTCAGACTTTCTGTCCTAGGAATATGCTCTGAATATCAGCAAGAGATCAAATGTTGTGTGATGAGCCAAGCAGTTGAAATTAAATGTTCCATCTGGGTTTGAAACAGACCAGCTTGGCCATTCCAGAAGGGTTGTGAACTCAATAATGGAATGGTTGTTTTGAGCTCCACAGACTCACAGTGACTGAAATGGTTCCCCCCCCCCAAAAAAAAAACTTTAAATGGTTGCATCAGAGACTAATGTGGAATGCTTTGCCCCCCCCCTCCACTTGGAGCTTTATCTGGGAGGTGCCGGTCTCCTTTTGGGTCAGGGGCTTAGAGTCAGTCCCTCCCTCAGACAGTTAAGTACAAACATTCCTTGTTTAGTGGCCAAATTTGGGGCTGGTCACTGCTCCGGTGCCCTTTGTTGGCGGATTCTCAGAGTGCATCAGACTGGCTGCTGCTGCTTGGAGGTCAGATGCTGGGTGAACCTCTTTGAGCTGAATGTCAGGGTTCCAAGTAACACCCCCAACAAAGAATAAAAGAGCCTCCCCCCCCCCCTGTCTCTCTCCAAGCTGCTTTGCAGTTTCCCAGCCATCCCTTTTCCGTCTCCTTGCAGGCTGGGGGCTTCCTGTCCCTCTGGAACTTGACTCTGTGCTCCGTACCCTGAGCTTTTTTTTTTTTTTTTAATTTGATTTATATGCCGCCTTTCGCCAGAGACTCAGGGCGGCTTACAGTGCGTTAAGCAATAGCTTTCATACTTTTGTATATTTATACAAAGTCAGCTTATTGCCCCCACAAACTGGGTCCTCAATTTACCTATCTTAGAAAGGATGGAAGGCTGAGTCAACCTTGAGCCTGGCGAGATTCGAACTTACTTTAATTGCAGACAGCTGGTGTTAAATTACAGTGCTTCTGTCTGCAGAGCTATCCAGGCTCCTGAGGCTTTCTGGGGTTCCTCCTCGCCAGCTGCCCAGGCGGCCTCTCCCTCTCAGGATGGCTCATCCAACCAGGAATAAATCTCTCTAGTGCTTGCCCGGCTGCCGGTCTTCTTGCTTTTGGAAGTGGGGGGGACGGACGGGGACTCTCCTGGGCCAGGGGAAGGCTGGGGTTCTGCCTCGTGTCCTCCCAGCCTTTCAAGCCCCTGCCTTCTGTCCTCCTCCACAGGCCAGCGTGCCCTCCACCATCGTGGCGATGTGCTGGAAACCTTAGTGTTGCTGAACCCTTCAGACAAATCCATCTGTGACGAGGTGAGCAGCAGGCCGAAGTCTTCCTGGGGCAGAACTCAGGCCGGACCCAGAGCTGCCGCTTCTTTGCGGTGGTCCCCGTCTTGGCAGAGGGTTGGAGACGGAGGGCAGGGCGTGAAAGGAGGTCTGAGCAATTCAGGAGGGCTCCGTGGCTGCCAAAGGAGAAGCAGGGAAGCTCCCCAGAAGGGGCTTTGGGGAGGACCACCCGCATGGCCCCCCCTTGGGCCATTTCCCCATGCCCTCATCTTGGACAAAAGCTGCTCTCTCTCTCTCTGCCCAGGCAGTTGGTGCCTCTAGCCTGGCAGAGGGGGGATGAGAAGGATGGGCCCACCCTCCCCACAGCCTGGCCCCTCTAGGTGTGAGGAGGAGCCTTGCAACTCCCCCCCCCTCCCGGCAAGGCTGGCATCCCCCACCACTATGGACGGAGCGCTTGCCCGAGGCACCCCATTCAGCCCAGACCACTGAATTGGGGCAGTAAATTAAGTGGCCAAAGCCAAACTCTGCCAAGGTTGCCCTGGGGCCTCTTTTTGATGAGCGGCTGCCAGGAAGAGCCAGGCTGCTCTGGTTGAGGCCTGGTGCTTCAGGGCTATGGAGGGAGGGGGCTTCTCCACTTGCCCCATTTCCCCTTCCTTTCTCTCCCTCTGCAGCTCCGTAACCTGATCACCGACCCTTCGCGCCACAAGCTGCTGATCTTTGCCGGGCCCTGCATTGAGGAGACGGGAGAGCTGGTGCTGCAGATGGGCTCCTTCTCCTTGCGAGACTTCATCCAGGTCTTTGCGGACAAAGAGGTGAGGCTTGGCCTCACCTGGTCGCTGAACGGGGCAGCCAGGAGGGCAGGGAGGGGTTTGGCTGGTTCCCGATCAGGATGCCAGAAAGTGGGGCTGGTAGGGAAGGCATACTGGGCCAGGGAAGGCAGCGGCTGACGGGCGCTCCGCTGCTCAGCACTTCAATATTTTATCTCTTGGATGAAAATGCCAAAGCAAAGCAAACGGAACCTGCAGACGGCAGCAAGGGCCTGGGGCAGCTAGGAGACCAAAGGCAGAGTTTAAAATGAAGGTGGGCCAAAACTAAAAGAATAAACGTTGGCAAAAACAAACATGCAGTTCTTAGTTTAGAGAGCAGAAATCCGATTCGGAAGTGCAGGGTGGGGCCCAGGTGCCTGGCCGGGTCACAGGACTTGTGGAAAGACGGGAATGCCCGCTGACTGCAGGCTCGCTCTCAGCTGCTTCTGCAAAGACACACGGCCCACAATCGACTTTTGCTAGCAGCAAAAATGAAGCTTCCGAATAACGGGAAGGGAGGCTTCCAGCTGACAACCCTTAAGGATCACACAGTCCCAGCTTTTAAAGACGTTTTGAACAAGCTGGGAAGCATTTAGAAATGGGCAACACGGAAGATGGTGAATATTGAGGCGAAGCCCCCTGAAGACCGATGTTTAGCCTCGAGAAGAGAAAATGGGGGGTGGGGGTGTATCGCCTCCACCCTCTTCCGTCCCCAGGCGGCCTGATACCACGAGGTCCCCAAGCGCCCGCCCCAAACCACTGCCCTGTGTCCCAAAGCAGAACAGAGCACCCCAAAGTGTGTGTAGGGTTGAAGTGGGGGGGAAGGGGGGAGAACCAGGCTCCAGTGGCCCCTGAGCTGTAAATGCAACCTTTGGTTTCCCTTGTGTGAGGAAGGGGCTCCCCACGAAGTAGGCACTGTTCAGAGAGAGGCCTCTTTGGGGAGGGGGTTTAAACTCCCTTCTCCCCTGACTCCCCCCCCTCCTCCTCTTCCAGGTTGGGGAGCTGCTCAGCTCGGCCGACCCCTCTGCTAAAGCCAGCTTGACCGTGATCTGCCCAGACTTCGGGGAATGGAAGGACCCTCGCCTCAGCCAGCACAACCTCTTGGACTTCATAGACCTGCACTTCAACCCTGGCTGCGTGCTGCCCCAGATGGAAGGCTTGCAGGAGTTCATGGAGTACCTTTCGGAGTCCCTGGAGCCCCTGTCCCCCTTTGACCTCCTGGAGCCCCCTAGCACGGTCGGCTTCCTGAAGCTCTCCAAGCCCTGCTGCTATATCTTCCCTGGGGGGCGAGGTGACTCAGCCTTCTTCGCAGTCAACGGCTTCAACCTCCTAGTGAATGGGGGGTCCAACCCTCGGTCCTCCTTCTGGAAACTGGTGCGCCACCTGGACCGTATCGACTCCATCTTGGTGACCCACGTGGGGACCGACAGTCTGCCTGGAGTGAACAGCCTGCTCCAGCGGAAGCTGGCCGAAATGGAGGAGGACCCTTCCTCCCAGTGTCCCCAGGTGGACGACTGGGTGAAGAACCTCATCTCGCCAGAGCTGGGGGTGGTCTTCCTCAACGCCTCGGAGAAGCTGAAGGACATCGAAGGGGATTCCGGCGTCTTGAAGAGCTGCGACGAGGCCAGTCTGACTCTGCAGTACCTGCACAAACTGGGCATTCGGCCCAAGCCGCTTTCCAGGGAAGCCGCTCCCAGGACGGAGCCCACCATCCTCTTTCAGAAGATGGGTGTAGGGCGCCTGGAGATGTATGTGCTGCACCCGGTGAAGGGCAGCCGGGAGCTGGAGTTCCTGATGCAGCAGTGGCATGGGAATGGACACCCCAAGGGGCTGGAGCTGCCCCTGCAGTGCGTGACCTCCATCTGCGCGCTCCTTATCTGGCACCCGGTGAGCCCCACCGAAAAAATCGTCCGGGTCTTGTTCCCAGGCTGCACTCCCCAGGCCAGGATCTTAGAAGGGCTGGAGAAGGTCAAGCATTTGGAGTTCCTCAAGCACCCTGTGGTCACTCAGAAGGACATGGACTCTTTCTCCATCTCCCAAGCCAAGCACAAGAGGGCAGAGAGTCAGGAGAGTCTCAAGTCCAGCTCTCGGCTCAGCCTGACCGAATCCAAGGAGAAGAAGGAGACAAAGCTGACCGGTGCCAGGGACCGGCCCAGGGCGCCTAGCGAGGCCTCCAAGGGCAGTGTTGAGGAGGAAAAGGCCAGGGGGGCCCAGCTGAAGACGGAGCCCTCGGTGGAGAAGAGCAGGCAGGATGCGAGGCCCAAGCAGCAGAAGGAGAAGCCGGGGGCCAAGAAAGAGGGGAAGAAGGCGCTGCCGAAGGAAGAGGCTCCTCAGGAGAAGGAGGTGGCCAGGAAAGAGGGGAGGCTGCCCAGGAGGGAGCCAGCCAAGAGAGAGGAGACCAAGAAGGAGGGGAAGCTGGAGGACAAGGCAGCCAAACTGCCCACAAGAGAGCTGCGGAGGATGCCAAGTGCAGAGGTGAAAAGGCCGGCCACCAAAGCGGGCACTTTCAAAAAGATGATTCCTGCTCCGAAAAAGGAGCTGGAGAGGCCAAAGAGCAAGTTGCTGAAGGAGACCCCCGGGAAGCCCCCGAGTGGCACCAAAGGCGGCCTCTCGGAGGGGTCTAAGCCCTCATCCTCAGAGAAGGACATGCAGGAGAAGCTGCGCAGGGGCTCCCGCCAGGCGGGGATGGCAGAGCAGGTGCCGGGTCAGCCCGGCGCCCTGGGCAACAGCCAGCTGAGGCCTTCCCCGTTAGGCAGCGTGGACTGCCAAGGGAACGGCCCGGAGCCCGCCCAGAACGGCCTGGGCACAGAGGGGGGCCCAGAGAGCCCTCAGCCTTTCCGGCATCTGGAAGCCGGCTCGCCTTTGAAATGGATTGGGCCCCCCTCCCCACTGGTCAAGACTCCCAAGAGCGACCAGAGCATCAACCTGGAACTGTCCCCCACTGACCTTCAGCCCCGGCTCAACCACTGCCCGGACATGGAGGATGCTGGCGGCAGCTCTGAAGAAAAGACCCTGGAGATGATGTCCCCGGCCAGCGCGGGGCGCACCCCTTCCCACCACTCCCCCATGGAGGACATGGCCATGGAGGAGGAGCCCGTGGCCCTCGGCAATCCCTGGAGGCCCGATGGCACCATCCCTGGTCCCCGAGCCTCGCACGACAACTCTAGCTCTTCCCAGGAGAAGCCCTCCAGCTGCCTCTCCCCGAGCCTCTTTCGGGACGACCTCCACGATGTGTCCCCCACGCTCACTACACCCTCGCTGCCAGCCGAAGTGGGCTCCCCCCACTCCACCGAGGTAGACGAATCGCTCTCGATCTCCTTTGAGCAGCTCCTGCCGCCTGTGAGTGAGTTCCCCCAGGAGGAAGGAGAGGGCATGCAGGCTGGGGGGCTCACCCCAGACCCCGAGCCCACATTAGGGAAGAGCGGGATGTCCTTGCCCATCCTCTCCTGTCACCCCCAGCGCCTGGATGGCCGGGTCCTGCCCAGATCCGGCCGGCGGTCGGATTCCCCCCACGACGTGGATCTCTGCCTGGTGTCCCCTTGTGAGTTTGAGCACCCCAAGTCGGACAGGTCCCCCTCGGCCAACTTCAGCCCCCGGGACATGTCCAACAGCAGTGACTTCTCCCAGGAACTGGCTAAGCCCCCATCGCACAGGAAGGGCCCCCGAGCCCGCCGGTCCCACCCTCTGCTAGACGAGACCCCGCCGACGTCCTTCAGCGAATCTCTCCCCACCCTCTCCGACTCAGACGCCCCACCTGCCATGGAAGAATGCCTTTCTCTCACGGCCGACGGCGGACTGGATTCGGACGATGACCCAGAGAGCCTAGCCCAGGCCCGTGACCCGCTCCCGGCTGTCCTGAAAGACCCCTGCCCTCTCCCTGCCCAGCCGGGCATCTGCATGGTGGATCCCGAGAGAGAAGGGGCCGCCAAAGCCAAGCGAGCCTCATCGCGGGGGGGTTCGGCCCCTCCCAAAGCAGATGCCCTCAAAGCCGCTGCTCCCAATGCCCGGGCGAAGCCTTCCTCAGCCAGCGTGGGGGAGAGAGCCCGGCTGCCGGCCCCCGGCAGAAGCGACCCCCCAAACTCTCGTGCTAGCGGGGACAACCGGTTGGCCTTCACCCAACGGAACGCAAATGCCTGGCCTCTCCCGGGGGGAGGAAGAGCCACCCCAGCAGGTAAGTGTTGCCCTTCCCGACTCAGAGTAGGTGCCCGAAGCCAGCCCTGCCAGGCAGGCCAGCCAGGAATCTGGGCTCTGGGGGGCTCAGGCTGCTTTTCTGCCGAGAGCCCCTCTGAGAACTGAGTTGTGCCCTGCCCTTTTAGGAGAATTAGGAGGCGCCTGAGCTGTTCTGGCCACTTCCCGCTGGCCTTGGCCTTAGGCTCCCCTCCTCGCTTAGGACCTGGAGCTGGAGCCAGCAGTCTTGGCCAGGGCCATTTCTCTAGACTTTGGCCTTCCTTTTGGTCTTCACGACCGGTCAGCTGAGGCCGGGCACTGCTTGCTTGCTTGCCTGCTGTGAAAGCCAGTTTTGGGGTTTATCCCTACAGCTGCTCAGAGGGGAGGTGGGCTAAGGAGGTCAATGGCCCAAAGTGGGGGGGGGGTCCCAGGTGGGGGGTCTGAGGCTCAGCTGGAGGCATTTTGTGGCATCCCTGGCGCTTGGGCCTCTGCTCCCCGTCCGCCTCTTGCTCTTCTTCCTCTGCAGGGGCCCGTCCCAGCCTGCCACGGTGCCCAGTCTACCTGGAGCTGGCCTACCTGCCAGGCTCGGCCAGCGCCCAGAAGGTGGACGAGGACTTTTTCCGCTGCGTCCGCTCCCAGTGCTACGTCATCAGCGGGGAGGACCACCTGAAGGAGAGCGTCCTGCGGGGCATCCTGGACGCCCTGCTCTCGGGGAAGCAGCACTGGGCCCACGACACCCAGGTAGTGCCCGGGAGGGAGCTTCTTCTCTGCCACCTGCACGGGGCCTCAGCTGGCACACCTGCTGCCAAGGGATTGTGAGGGGCGCAGGCTGAGGAAAACTATCTAATCAGGAGGGTCCGTTCCCACAGCTGGGAGGAGGGGGGGCTGAGGTCAGGCCTGAGCCGTTTCCTCCTCTTTTTAATCCCTTGCCCTGGTCCTGCCTCTGGGGCAAGAGGAAGAAGCCCGCTGTCTCGTGCTCCTGTGGGGCAGCCCTCCAGATATCAGAAGGGGCTGGCCTTTCCTTCTTCTACAGGCTGAAGGTCCCAAGTCTTTCTCCCTCCCCAGGCCCTCCACCCCAATGGCCGTCCTTGGCACCTGGTGTCCCCCCCCGGCCCCTCTTTCCTCTGAGTGGGGTTCTCAGAAGGGAACAAGGACGTCAAATGGGGGTCTGACCGAGGCAGCCCAGAGCCCGGACTGGCTTCTCCTCTTAATGGACCTTTGGGGTCCAGCTGGTGGTCACCCAAGAGACCCGGATCCCTTCCCCCTATCCAAAGTCGGAGCTGCACGTTTCCCCGCCCCCCTCGTCCCCGTTGAATTCCTACCCTGGGGTGGTGGTGGGGAGGCAGTCCAATATTTGATCGCTGGGATTTAGAAGACCCACCCCCAAACTCCAGAAGACTCTGATCTCATAGAAGACAGAATAATTTGTCTCCTCCCCAGTGGGAAACCCGAGACGGTTGGTCGGTCGGTCGGAGGCCAGAGGGGAGGGCTCTGGTGACAAAGGAGGAGAGCTGGGCTGGAAGGGGGGAGGATGAAGTGACTGTCTGGTCCCTGCCCTCCATTCCGAGGCTTTCTAGCCACCTGGGGTCAGATTAGGAGGCAGCTGACCGCTGAGCTGTGTTCCTCCATTTCTGCCCAAGGTGAGCATTGTTAAAGGGAACCCATGCAGAGAGGAGGGGTGCTCTGCAGGGGACTCTAGCAGTTCGGAAGAGGAGGAGGGGGCGTCCAGACTTTCCCGCTGGGTCTCCCAGTGGCCAGGATGGGCCCCCTTCGCGTCAGAGCGCCTTAAATGGAGGGGGGGGCGCAGGGCGAGCAGGGCCTGGGCCCTCGAGGGGTGGAAAGTAAAGCCTCTTCCTGTCTCCCCCCTGCTCAGGTGACCCTCATCCCGACCTTTGACTCGCTGGTCATGCACGAGTGGTACATGGAGACGCTGGAGCGGCGGCAGGAGCTGGGCGTGACTGTCCTGGGCAGTAACAGCACCGTGGCCATGCAGGACGAGACCTTCCCTGCCTGCAAAGTGGAGTTCTGAGCAGGACCGGAACTGAGGCGGGGGGGGGTGTCTCCTGCTCCCTCCACCTTGATGGGCCAGTTGGTGCGGGAAGAGGCGCCCCCTTCCAAAGCTGTGCTTCATTCCAAAAGAGCCCTCTGCCTTCTGGGGCTTGTGGGTGGGGAGGGGGGGCACCAGAGGCGCTTTGCGTGCCCCTTGGAGAATTGCATCCCGCCTCCCCATTTGTCTGGTTTGTTTGCATGTTCACCACCACAGCTTCTCCCCAGCCCAGGGAGGGAGGGATGTGGGGGGGAACAAGAGAGGCCGGGCTGTGACTCCCCCCTCCCCCCGTGGCGTGGTTGGGGGGCTGCTTCTCCTCTCTCCCCACCCCCACCCCCTTTGATGTGGGACTAGGTGCCTCCCCGCCTGGAGCAGCCCTTCCTTTGTCTCTGGGAAGAGTCCAGTTGTTCAGGCGGCCGGACAGCACAGGGTCCAGTGAGAGTATCTTGTGCTGGCCCTTCCTCCCCCCCCCCCCCCCCCCCCCTGGCTCTGCCTCCCTCCGCCCACAGAGAGCTGTGGGGTGGCAGGTGATCCTTTTGGGCCTCCCCTGAGGAGAAGCGAGTGCGATTTTGGGGGTCTCCGGCCTTCCTGAAGCTTGCAGAGGAGCGGCTTTGCGTCTGGCTCTTTCCTGGGGAGGCTGGGTGTGTGTGTGTCAAACAGTCCCAGTTCACCCCCCCCTCCCCCCCCTTCAGCCTCCCACTCCAGACCTCTTCTACCTCTTTATGTTCAAAACCTTGGAGGGTTGGGCAGTTTTTCTGGAGGCTTCAGCCACAAAGGCCCAAATCCAGCACATGGCGCCTCCTCCGGGGCCTTTGTGCAGCTCTGGAAAGACCCCCCCTCCTTTTAACGTTTGAAGGAAAGTTGGGGGAAATAAGCCCCTTGCAATGTGACACTAAATCTTTCGTTTTCTAAGGAAGGAAATGTGGTTTTTTTAATGCGTTTTTATATTTTTTTTCTAAAAAAAAACCCCACCCAAACTTACCATATGGAAGGTTTATAATTTATAGGATGGTCCCCTGTGTGGGAGGTTGGGTGGGCCTGCCCTTTTGCTTGTCCTCTCCCCCCACCCCCATATTTCCTCCTGCCTCTGGGGTCAGCCCTGTCTTTTGTATCAGCATGATGTGTGTCTAGAAGTATTTGGGGGTGGGGGGTGGGGAACGTTTTCACCACTTTTGTATGGAAGCCTGGCAGAGGAGGGCGGGGGAAGGGGAGGGCTGGCTGGCCACCTGGGGGTCCCCCTCTCCCTGGCCTCAGCCGACCTGTCCTCTCCCAGCTGTAGGGAAAAAAGGATGTGGTTGTTGTAGCCATTACACAGTTAACCCCGTGATACACAAATGTTATGTTTGTACACACACAAATGCACACCTGTGTTGAACTCTATTAAACCATTAAAAGAAGTACATAGCTCAACATGTCTCTCGTGAATCTCCGGGCCTCTTCAGGCGCTGCCAAGCCATCAGGGCCCACGGCTTCTCTGCAGGGAAGGGAAGTCTGGGCTCGCGGCCCTCCTGTGGGGTCCAGCACCTGCACCCCCTGAGCCTTCACTTTGGACCCGGCAGGTGGCTGTAAAATGGCTTGGAATGCGGCCCCCTCACCGAAGGCATGGCTGGCCGGGTGACACGGGGGGCGTTTGGGATCCTGCCCGAGGGATCTGGGGAAGGAGCTCCCTTCCTGCCCTGCAGGGGTGCAGACAGGTCACTGTGGGGAGGGGGGCTGTACATGTGGGTGGCCCTGCGGAGGTCAAGCTTCGCTGTGGGCCACCAGCAGAGCACCCAGAGATGGAGGGAAGCTGTGTGCAGCCTGGTGGAGTTGAGGGGGGGGAACTGGAGGCCTGGCAGTGGGTGGGGGTCGGGGGCTCCCATTGGGACTTCCAGCTGAGACTGGCCTCATTTTCAAGGGGTGGAGGTCGCCTTCTCTTCCCCCCCATCCCTGCTGGAGACGCTGCCTTGTTCCGGCCTGCACCCCCTCCCCAAATCAGCTGGCTCCGTTGCCATTGGTTGCACAACGGGGAGGATGGAGGGATGGAGTAGACGTGTTGTCATGGCAACTGCCTGGAAAAGATACGGTTTGGGAAGCATCTCTGGTGCACTAAACCAAGGCCTATGGGACCCCCGGGGGAGGGGCTGCATCGGAGTGGCGGTTTGGGAGGACTCGGATGTCCCGTAAGGTGAGGGAGCAACGGGAACGGCGGCCCGGATGGGGAGGGGGGACCAGGGGGCCCCGGTGGATGGAGCAACCCCCCCCCATGAGCCCCGGCCTGTTTCTCTCCCGGGACCCGCCGCAAACCGATGCCGGGTGGGTGGCGCGAGGAGACTCCCGGCATCCCGCGGGTGGGGCCAGCCAGGACGATCGCTGGGGTCCCCACGGAGGAGCCCCTCGGCAGGGGCGGCGTCCGGGCTCCCCTATCCCGACCCCCGCCGAGGGCGGCCCCGTCCCGTCTCGGGACAAGAGGGGCCGGAGGCGGGCGCGATGCTCGCGGGGGTCTCGGGCGGGCCGCCGGGATAGATTCGCCGGAGAGCCGCTCCGCCCGGCCCGACCTCGGGGCTTTCCGGAGCCGCGCCTTCAGGGAACGGGCCAGGCCGGGCAGGCTCTCGGGGGGCAGCGCCCCTTCCCTCCTCTAGGGAGGAGCCGCCGGGAGGGGCGCCCCATCCGTGCCGGCTCGGCGCCCGCGAGAATGGCGCTGCGCAGCGGCTGCCCGGGGAAACGCGGACGCTGCCGCTTTAAACATGCAAATGAGCCCGGGGGAGGGAGAAGAGCCGGAGCTCGGCGGCGCGCGCGGCAGCCAATCCGGGTCGAGCCTCCCTTCCGCGTAGGCCCCGCCCCGCGCCCGCCCCTCCTCGGCGGGGGGGGGATCCTTGGGCGGCGGAGGCGGGCGAGGCAGGTGCGCGATGCGAAGGAGCGCGGAAGGTCAGTGCGCCCCCCCCACGGCCCCCCCTCGCGCCCGGCCTCTCCCGGACAGAGGGGGAGGGGGATCCTGCGGCCCCCAAAGGTGGGGGGGGAGGAAGCAAGGTGGGGGATCCACGCGCGGCCGCCCCTGGCCGCCTGTTTATTGCGGCGCCAATGCGGGGAGCGGCGGGAGGGGCGGCTGGTCCTGGGGAGGCTGGTCCCGGCGCTCCCCGGATCCCCCGCAGAGGCTTCCCTGGCTGCGCTGCGGGGGGGCGGGGTGGGGCTGGACCTGGCGCCCCCGGAGCCTTTCCGGGGGGGCTGCCGCTTCCCCCCCCCGGGCGCCGCTTTCCTGCTGGGGGCGCCCGAGACCCCCCTGGGCGGACCTGCCGCCAGCCAGCCTCGCCCTGCGGGGGGCCCCACATCGCGGCCCCCGTTCCCGGATCGGGCTTGGTGGGAGGGCGCGGTAGGCCCGAGCGGGGGGGCTGCGGGGGCTGCTTCGGAGTACCGGGAAGCCCGGCGCGGCTGCGGGGAGGCCTTCCACTGCAGGTGCCTCGGCAGGAATGGGGCGGGGGTCCTGCGCAGAGCTTCCCGGCCACCTGTGGGAGAGCCCCGTGGGCCTCTAGGCGGGGGGTGGGCGGGCTGCCGCGTGTCCAGCCAAAGGTCCGGCGCGAGAGATAAGAGGGGACTTTAGACGCCGGGTCGGCCTGCGGAGGCGCCGCGAGCAGGGGGGCTCCCTCGGAGGGGCCGGGGCGGCACTTGGCCCCCTCAACTTTGGGGCGCGCGCCTTCCTCTCCAGCCCCCCCCGGCCCGGGGGTCGGGCTCTGCTGAGGGTCCCAGGGCTGCTGGCGGCGGATCGGGCAGAGAAGGGCCCTTCTCGGCTGCGTGGGAAAGGCCGATGAAAAGCACCGGTGCCGCCTTGAAGATGTTTGCTTTGGGGAAGTGGAGGCTTTTTGTGCTGGAAACGGAGTTGTGTGTTGTGGGTGCGTAACTTGCCACATGTTGGAAACAGGCGGGAGGGCGGGAGCTCCATGCCGGCCCCACAGGCCCTGCCAGCCAGTGCCCTTTGCACCCTCAAGGACACGTAGGGCTTAGCAAGGGGGGCTGATAGCAGAGCCTCCATGTGCAAGGGCAGTCTGCTCTGAGCAGCTGCCCTACAAAAAACCCGGCCTTCCTCTCCTGAAGCCGCCCCCCCTCCTCTGGGGAGCTTTGGGGTAGATACCTGGGGAAAAGCTCTCCCCATCTGAGAGGGCTCTGAAACTGAGGAGCACTGCCCCTCCCCCCCGAATTGTCTCGGGGTCCTGCCTGCCCCAGAGCTCGCAGGTGGGGCGAGGGGAACTCCTGCTTGGCCCCCTAGATGGAGCGGGGAGGAGGGCAGTCCTGCTTCTGCTTTGGGGCATTACTTTACTGTCTTCCAGCTGTGTGAAGAAGGTCCCCTTCCCCACTGCGGAGTGGGGGGGGGGAAGGGCTGTGCGGTTGCAAGGGCTGGGCCAGGGTTTTGCCCTTCTCTGCCCCCTGGCAGCTCTGCCCTCCAAGCAGCGAGTCCGATGCCACCCTGGAAGAAGCTGTTGCTTAGAGAGTCTGAGGCAAGGGGGAGGGGAAGTCCGGCTGCACCCAGAGCCTCCCTTCGGTCCCAGCCTCTGCCTGGTGGCAGGAAGAGATACCCGCTGAAAGGGAGCTGCTGGTCAGCAGGACAGGCAGACTGTGGCCCCTGAGCTCCAGTGGAAAAGACCCAGCCCAGTCTAGAGAAAACGGGAGGAGGAGGAGAGTAGCCATGGCATCCAACTAGGCTGACCTTCCAGATTTCGTGGCACTTCACCTCCTGGCTGAGGAGCCCAGGGCGTGGAAGGAGGCGGGGGCGCCCAGGCAGGCACCCTTGTTCTGAACAGGCCCCGGGGCCCCTTGGAACTCCTCCAGGCCAGGGAGATGCAAAACGGCAGCTTTTCAAGTGGGGCCCTTCCTCTTAGAGGTCCTCCATTTGGGAAGGACCGTCCCAGGAACAAATGGGTCTCTTTTGTCTCCGGCTCTGATTCACGTGGCATTTCCGGTGGTCTGAAGGCCCTCCTCCCCCCCCCCAGTCCCTGCTGGAGGGAGAGCCGTCCCAGTGGAGAATGAGGGTGCTGCAGTGCCGGGCTGTGTCCGGTGCAGCCCAGAGGGGCATCTTGGCTGTTGGCTGCAGAATTGCCCCAGGGGAGATGGGCAACGTGGCCCAAAGGCCATAGCCAGACCCTCCACCCAATTGGGGGGTCCGGTTCCTCTTTGTTTGAAGCAGAAAACCCACCAAATCTGGTGAGGAAATGTAAAATAATTGCATAGCAGTTTTAGCACATTAACATTTGTCAGGCTGAAGACTGCACAACCTCCCCTGAAGACTGCCCAGGGAAGGGGGACGCACCCCTCTGCCCAAGAGCTCTTCTCCTCCAGAGGATTTCTCCAGCATTCAACTGAGGGCCCCCCAAGACTGAAACCCAGGCGCTGGGCTCTCCCTTCCAGAAGGAGAAAAGGGGGGTTGTGCCCCTGTGGCATCCAGAGAGCCTGGCATGGTCCCCTCGGTCACCATGGTCCTTCTCCGGTCCTTCATTTAGTCCACCCCTATTCAGTGCCCGTCTCTCTGAATTCCTCTTGAGTTCCCAGAATGTAAACACAGGCCTTGTGGCTTGGCAATGCCATCCCTGGGGCCTTTTCTGCCCCCCCCCCCAGCTGCCCTAACCCTAACTGATGGCAGGACAAGAAGCAATGGACGGACACTAGCCAAAGAGAGAAGCAACCTAAAACTAAGGAATTTTCTGACGGTGAGACCCATCAACTGGTGGAACTGCTTCCCCCGAGAGGCTGTGGGTGCTCCATCACTGGAGGCTTTTAAGAAGAGGAAGGAGAGAGAGGGGCCGTTTGTCCAGAATGGCATAGGGGCTCCTGCTTGGACTAGAAGACCTCCAAGGCCCCTTCCCATTCTGTGGCTCTGTTTTCATGCTCCAGACGTTGGGCCATGTGGTGGTATGTGGCCGGCCAGTTGGGTGCCCAGCAAGCAGGCTTAGGGGTTCCTCGACTTGGACTCCATCCTCCCCACAGGGCACTTCTGTGAGGCTGCTCCCAAAGTGCTGTGGGAGCTGCATGCCACCGGCTGCCTGCCTGAAAGGGGGAGGGGTAAGAGCTGCTACAGCCTGGACTTCCTCCCCCCCCCGTCCCCCGCAGGTCCTGCTTTCACCCCAGGAGGCTTTCGGGCACAACTCTTGAGTCTGCTCTGGGCAGCCTGGCAGAGAGAGCTACATGGATCTTCCTGTGGGCATCGCTTCACCTGCTTTGCCAGTGTGGGCATGCTTTGTGGGGGGGGGTATGTTTCCAAGAGAGGGGGCTGGGATATTTCTTTCTTTCTTTCTTTCTTTCTTTCTTTCTTTCTTTCTTTCTTTCTTTCTTTCTTTCTTTCTTTCTTTCTTTCTTTCAATTTGTATACCGCCCTTCTCCTAGTGGACTCAAGGGGGTGAACAGCCAGAGCTAAAACACATGCAGATACAAAATTTAAAATTGTTAAAAGAATTATATAACTGGCCCAATTTAAAACAGTTCAATTTAAAACCCCATGACAATTTAAAACTAAAAAATTAAAGACTAAAAAAGGGGGAGGGGTTCACGCCAGCCCTGCTTGATGGAAAAGAAAAGTTTTCAGGGCACGGCGAAAGACCCGGAGATCCGATATCCTTCGTATCTCCGGGGGCAAATCGTTCCAGAGGGCAGGAGCTGCCACAGAGAAGGCCCTCCCCCTGGGGGTCGCCAGCCGACATTGCCTGACTGGCTGCACCCTGAGGAGTCCCTCTCTGTGGGTGCGTACTGGTCAGTGGGAGGCTATCGGCGGCAGAAGGCGGTCCTGCAAATACCCAGGTCCTATGCCATGGAGCGCTTTAAAGGTGGTAACCAACACCTTGAAGCGCACCTGGAAGACAACTGGAAGCCAATGCAGCTCACGCAGGAGAGGTGTCACATGGGAGCGCCCCCTGGCTCCCATAATCCCCCGCGCGGCCGCATTCTGCATCAGTTGGGGCCTCCGGGTACTCCTCAAGGGGAGCCCCATGTAGAGAGCATTGCAGTAGTCCAGTCGGGAAGTGACGAGTGCCTGAGTGACTGTGCGTAAGGAGTCCCGATCCAGAAAGGGACGCAACTGGCGAATCAGGCAGACCTGATGAAAAGCCCCCCTGGCCACGGCTGTCCTATGCTCTTCTAAAGACAGCCGTGTATCCAGGAGGACGCCCAAGTTACGAGCCCTATCCGTGGGGGCCAATAACTCGCCCCCAATACCCAGCGATGGCACCAGCTGGCTATATCGGGACGCCAGAAGCCACAGCCACTCGGTCCTGGAAGGGTTGAGACGAAGCCTGTTACTCCCCATCCAGATCCGCACGGCCTCCAGGGATATCCCCCTGTGCCCCACGGAGCCTGTGCTCCAAGCAGCCAATGGTTTGCTTCTCCCTTGGGGGCAAAAGGAAGAGGCCAAGACCATTTGTAGCTCTGCTTTTTGGGGGGTTCCCAAACAACTGGGGGGTCCCCTGCAGTGTGAAGTGGGGGGGCGGCTCTCCTGCTTTCTGGCCAAAGGAATCTGGCTCTGGAGCGTCAACCAGTGACCGCCATGGAAAGACCCCCCCCTTCCCTCGATGAACCAAGCTGCCTTCCCTCCGTCCATCTGTCCCTCCACATTGATTGGGGAGTGGGGCTTTCTGGTGCCAGCTGACCAGCAGCCTCTGCATTGGTATTCTTAGAAGGGGCCCCTGAACCACCTTTCCGCTCCCTCCCCGGCATCCAATGGTGGAGGGTGGGGGTGGGGGTTGAAGCTCAGAGGGGGAAAAGAGAGTTTAAAAATCAAGGAATGTAATAATCAAAATCCAGGGGGAGACCTGTGGAGTAAACGCTGAGGATGGATCGATGCCAGGGATCATCTCCCCTCCCCCCAGGCTTTCCCTAAAATGCCCCTTCCCCTAAAATGCCCCCCTCCTCAATCCTGGAATTTGCTCGGCCGCTGCTGCTAATGGCCTCCCGGCCTTTGGGGAGACTGCCGGCATCCTCCACTGCCAGGTGGTCCCACCCCCAGTTTGGCCAGCTTGAACCAGTGAATGAGCCTCCTCCCCATGGGAGACGTGGGGAGAAAGGGAGGTCTCGTCCCCCAGCCCAGTGGTCCAGCATCGCCCTCCCAGAGAGAGACCAAGAGTCTGGCCAGTCGGTGGCCATCGGGTGCTGCCTGTGACATGAACGCAGCTGGAGTGCAAATCCAGCCTGGGTGAAGGGCGAGGTTTGTTCAGGCACTGCTTCCTGTCCAGCAGATGGGCAGAGGCCGAGCCCAGCATCCGGTCTGATTGATTGATTGGAGCATTTATATGGCCACCCATCCCCCTCCTGGGTGGCGAAGAAAGGAATAAAAGCAGCGAAGAACAAAACACTCAAAGGAACAAATCTTCCATCTCTTGGTGGGGCCCCTGGGTCTCTCACGGATTGTGCCACTTTGCACCCAGTAAGAAACAGCTGCCAACCAACACGTAGCCCAAATGCCCACCCCCCCCTTCATCACCAGGGCAGGATGGCAGGAGGGACTGTGAGGTGGCACCGCTGAGTGGGGAGGGCCCAAACCCGGCACCCTCTTGGAACTGGTGGGGCGGATGAGGAACATCTTCCGGGCATGGGGTTTAGGCTCCCCCCCCCCCTGAGCTTCCGGGAGCCCATCGCAGAGCAGGCATGAAGAGAATGCCAGGAAGAGCAGCACAATGCCCATGCACCACTACCTCCAGCTTCCAAATGCTACTCAAGGGCAGCCCCTCTGCAGAGCCCCTCCTAGAGTGGGAGGCTGAGGGTTCTAGGCACGAAAGCTTGGCCCCTCAATCTTAGTCCATCCCACCTCACAGGGTGGTTGTGGGGGAAGCTGGAGGTGGAGGAAGGTGTATCAGATGCCTTCGCTGCCTTGAGGTATTCATAAACATAATGAAAATGGGATTAAAAAATCTAAAATAAAGAAGTTTTTGAAAGAGTGACACCCACAGCCACTCCCAGGGTTGAGGAAATCCCCCTCTTCCCCGTCCAGGGGCAGATGGGGGGGGGGGAGCCCATCGTGGCAGCCGCAAAGCCAAAGGAGGAAACACCTCTCTCAGGAAGTGGCTTTTCAGTCCCTGCCTGGCTGCCCCCCCTCAAACTTTTCCCCTCCCCCCCCCCCCCCCCACTCCAGGGAGACGGTCCAGTCAGTTTCCACCAGCTGCCAGGGAGAGCATGACCCAGACACAGGTGAGTAGCCAAGGCTGGGGGGAGGGGCAGAGGGGCCTGAGCCAGGATGCCACTGCCAAGCATTATTGGAAGATGCGGGATGGGGGTGGGGCAGTGGAGGGGCACAAAGATCCCCCCTCCCATTTGAAGTGGAAAGAACAAGATGGCGGCCTCTGAAATAACTTCCTGTTTTTGCTCCCGCCTGCATTGCCGGATGGGGGTGCAACCCCAGAAACGGCCCCCCCAGCTGCAGGCAGCGGCCTGCTGGGGTGCAGAGGGGAAGTGAGGGAAGGATCATCCATGATGCCCAGCCTCTGCCACCTTTCCTGTGGCAGGAAGTGGGCAGTGGAGCTCCTGTCTTTGAGGCAGGGAGGCCAGGCCAGGCCCTCCCCCCCTGCCCATCCACCTGCTTCCCCCTGGCCCCCTGAAGGCAGGGGCCCCTTGGAGGCCACCCTGGGAGAAGGGGGCCACCGGAGGAGCATGGATGGGTGCAGGAGGGTGGGCGAGGAGAGGGAGGGGCAGAGTTGTGGGGCTGGGATGAGGCAGCCCCCTTGATGCAGAGGAGCCTCTTCTGCAGCGGTCCCCCTACCCCTTCAGCAGGGGCCCCTTCCTCATGGGGCCCCCTGGGCAAGGGGAGCAAGAGATGTCGGGGTGATCCTGCAACATCCCAGGAGCAATCATCTGGGCCTCCCTGGCCTGGCCGCTTTGCTTTGGGCTCCAAGGGTCCCCCAGAGCGCTTCTGGGCTCTCTTTGGAGACCCCCTGCCTCACCTGAGTCTTCCTCCCCCAGGTTTCCAGGAGCTGAAAGAGGCCTGACCGCCCTGCCCCCGCCATGTCTTACTTTGCGGAGCACTTCTGGGTAAGGAGAACCCCTTGTCTCTTGTCCTCCCCCCCCCCGGCTTTTCTGCCCTCCAGCAGCAGCTAGTGCCCCAGGCTGGCAGTGCCAAGGCCTTAGCGGGCTTGGAGGCTCCTCCAAGGAATGGGGGTGGCAAAAGGAGCTGGGGAGACCGTTGGGACTAAGCTGCCCCCCCCGACAAACCCAAAACCCTTGTGAGGCTGCTCTCCTGCATTTCAGCAAGTGGGGCTTGGCATGGAGGGGCATTGAGCTGCGCCCCCCTCCCGCCCCCCCGGCCTTTTGCAGGGCTCGAATTCTCTCTGGGGATCTACGCATGGCTGCCCAGAAGGATCCCTCCCCTCTGGAAGGGAAAGGGGGGCCCTCGTGGGGCCACAGCAGGGTGGCCCCACAGTCCAACCCAGTCAGGGCGGCCTCCAGATCTAGGAAGGCAGGTGTGGGTAGCCCTCGTCCCCACCGAGGGAGGTGCCCTCCATTGCCACGTGGGACGCCACGCCAGCTCTCTTCAAAACGAAAGTGGCGCCCTGAGGCCGCCTCGGCTCTGAAACTCCCCACATCCTGTGTCCCACTGAGCCTTGCACAGAGGCCTCAGGCAAGTTTCTAGTTCTCACTGATGGGAAGAAACCCAGTTTTAAAGAGTCCCTGTGGCCAAAAAGGGAATGCGAAGAGGGCCCAGAGAAAGGGGGCCAAGGGGGAGGGGGAGGAACGTCTTCCCGTTCTCCCTTTGGGTGGAGGAAGAAGCAAAGGCAGGCGGGGAGGGCAGGTGGGGGGTGGGAGAGAGCTGGACTGGCAAAACTGTCTGGTTGATCCGCAGCCAGTGCAGTCCTGGGCTGCAATCGGGCAGGGGGGTCCCCCTCCTGCTCTGCTGTGCGCTGGCCGGGCTCCCCGGTTGAGGAAGGATGCTGATCAACTGGACAGTGTCCGAGGAAAGCCGAGGGGATAGGGATTGTGGAAGGGGCTGAACTGAGTCCGTGTGGGCTGATTTGCACCCAGAGCCTCGTCCTTGGAGCCCCTGCCATCAAAAGTGGCTGAAAGGGAAGGTGGAGGGAGGGGGGCAGGCCAGTCGGGGTGGGGCATTGCTTGCATGACTTTGGGCCCTGGCCCTGCCCCCCCCCCCCCCCACATTGGAGGGGCTAGCCACCCTCAGCTGCACAGCGTCAGGTGGAGGAGGCAGGGGGCTTCCTTGCCGTGTCCTCCCCAGGCGTGTGTAGCTATTGAGGCTGGGTGGGTGGGGGACTGGATTCACTGGGGTGCAAGGCCCCTGCTTGCCAGTGTGGGGTGGCCAAAGCCCCTTCCTTTCCCGCTTGCAGAGAAGGTCTCTGCCGGGAAGCCTTTTCAATATTCGGAAGCAGCGTTTTGGCTCTGGGTTTCCTTGGGATTCGGGGAATTCGGTGCTTCTCTCCAGATTGGGAATTCCTCTGCTCTTCCCAAATGAAATCTTCCCAAAAGATCCCGGAAAGATCCTTTCAGCCCTGACGCCAAGCAGAAAGGATCTGTTCTCGCCTCCCGGTTACCTTCATTTTATCCTTAACTGGCCCAAACAGATTCAGTGGTCAGCCCTGAAACTTCCTTGGGGGTTTGCTGTGCCCACCTCCTGCGCCCAGCCCACCCACCCACTCCCCAGCGGGTGCCGGGGTGGGCTCCCTGCCCTGGTCTTGTCCCGGCTGTCATGGCGGTGACGCTTGTTTGCTCAGTGGCTGGCACTGGCTGGCATGGGAGGCCCCAGTCCGGCTGCTGGGAGGGGCCCTCCACTCGGGGGCCGGGAAGGCGGGGCCAGAGCTGTGGGGCAGGCCTCCCTGGGTACAGAAGACTCACCCAGTCCCTCCAGCCCTCCCCCCACAGCCTCTTTCATTTTTCATTTCATTTCATTTATTGGATTTGTATATCGCCCTACTCCCGAAGGACTCAGGGTGGTGAACAGCCACAGAATAAAACACATAAATACAGAATTTGAAAACAGAATAAAACCGAATTAAACAATTTAGCCGAGACAAATTAAAAACACCCAATAATTTTAAAAACAAATTAAAATTTACATTTTAAAGGGGAAAGATTTAGGCCAGGCCGGCTTGATGGAATAAAAAAGTCTTGAGAGCGCGACGGAAGGTGCGCAGATCCGGGATCCTCCGTATCTCTGGGGGCAGCTCATTCCAGATGGTAGGTGCCCCCACAAAGAAGGCTCTCCCCCTGGGGGCCGCCAGTCAACATTGTTTGGCCGACGGCCCCCGGAGGAGCCCCCCTCTGTGAGAGCGTACCGGCCAGTGGGAGGCTACTGGTGGTAGTAGGCGGTCCCGTAAATAACCAGGTCCTAAGCCATGGAACGCTCTAAAGGTGATAACCAAAACCTTGAAGCGCACTCGGAAGACCACCGGGAGCCAGTGCAGCTCGCGCAGGAGAGGTGTTACATGGGAATGTCATGTCGCTCCCATCACCACCCGCGCGGCCGCACTCTGCGCCAGCTGGAGCCTCCAGGTGCTCCTCAAGGGGAGCCCCATGTAGAGAGTGTTACAGTAGTCCAGGGGGGAGGTGACGAGGGCATGAGTGACTGTGCGTAGAGAGTCCCGATCTAGAAAGGGACGCAACTGGTGAATCAGGTGAACCTGATGAAAAATCCTCCTGGTCACGGCCGTCAAATGCTCTTCTAAAGACAGCCGTGAATCCAGGAGGATGCCCAAGTTGTGAGCCCTCTCCGTGGGGGCCAGTGATTCGCCCCCAATAGTCAGTGATGGCACCAACTGACTATATTGGGATGTTGGAAACCACAGCCACTCGGTCTTGGATGGGTTGAGCTTGAGCCTGTTTCTCCCCATCCAGATCCGCACGGCTTCCAGGCACTGGGACATCACTTCAAGGGCATCATTGGGGTGGTCCGGGGTGGAGATGCACAGCTGAGTATCATCAGCGTACTGGTGGTACTTCACCCTGAAACCACGGATGATCTCGCCCAGCGGCTTTACATAAATGTTGAACAAAAGGGGTGAGCGGACCGACCCTTGTGGCACCCCACATATGAGGGGCCTCGGGGTCGACCTCTGCCCCCCTGCCAACACAGACTGCGACCGGTCGGAGAGAAAGGAGGAGAACCACCGCAACACGGTGCCTCCCACCCCTAACTCTTCCAGCCGGTGCAGCATGATACCATGGTCGATGGTATCAAAAGCCGCTGAGAGATCTAATAGGACCAGGACAGAGGAGCACCCCCTGTCCCGAGCCCTCCAGAGATCATCAATTAACGCGACCAATGCTGTTTCCGTGCTGTACCCAGGCCTGAAGCCCGACTGGAACGGATCCAGATACTTCGTTTCATCCAGGTGCTGGGGGAGCTGTCGTGCAACCACACTCTCCACAACCTTCGCCATGAAGCGAAGGTTGGAGACCGGACGATAATTAGCCAATACAGCCGGATCCAGGGAAGGCTTCTTGAGGAGAGGCCTCACCACCGCCTCTTTCAGGGCGGCGGGAAGTCACCCTCACCCAATGAAGCATTTATAATCCCCTGGAGCCAGCCTCGCGTCACCTCCCGAGAAGCCAGCACTAACCAGGAGGGACACGGCTCCAACAAACATGTGGTCGCGTTCAGTCCACCCTGAATCCTGTCCACGTCCTCAGGGGTCACAGAGTCAAACTCATCCCAGATAACATTCTCAGGACCTGCCTCAGTCATCCCCCCTGGATCTACCCTGGATCTATCCAGATCTTCCCGAATCTGAGTGATTTTGTCATACAGACACTGAACAAAATCCTCGGCTCTTCCCTCCAAGGGGTCCTCCCGCGCTCCCTGGTGGAGCAGGGAGCGGGTCACCCTAAACAGGGCGGCCGGGCGATTATCTGATGACGCCCTGGGGAAGAGGGGACTTGTAGTCCGACACAGCCCGGGGACAGGCGGCTCAGCCTCTCAGCCTTGGCAGCTGAAAGGTGTGCAGACTTCAACTCCCAGGATTCCCCAGCCAGCCTTGCTCCCATCTGTGGGTGGGGGGGGCTTTCCTTTGCTCCCCCTGCAGCCCTTGGGCAGCTGCCTCTCTGGCTTGTCTGCAAGTTGGTGGAGAGCTCCGCCTTGGGAGGGGCCGGGGGGGGCATCAGGACTGCTTGGGAAGACCCTCTCCCCGGATCCCAGTGTGGCCCCTGACTTTCCTGTCTTGCTTTCCCCCCCCCCATCCCCCATAGGGAGAGAAGAACCAGGGATTCGATGTCCTTTATCACAACATGAAACATGGGCAAATCTCGGCCAAGGAGCTGGCGGACTTTGTGCGGGAAAGGTATGCCAGGCTGTGCCCCTTCCCCCCTTTGCCCCGCCCCTTCCCCACCCTGGGAGGGCCCTGCCTCTCTCCCTGCCCTCTGGGCTTTGGACTACATCCCCCAGAATGCTGTTGTCCTGCAGACCTGGGGGCTGTTAGCTTATTGCTTTTCCCTGGAGGATGTAACTGACTGGCGGGGTGGGGGGAGGGGTTAGTCCCCAGAGAACGTCTCCCTTGCCTGGTTTTCACCCCCTTCCCAGACCCCAGAAACACCCCTCTCCCCCCCCCCCCCCCCCCCCCCCCCCACCCCCAATGTTCCCCTCCCCCCCCCCCCCCCCCCCGTTTATTGTTAAGAGCCACTCCAGAAAGCCCGGGCTCGCTCTCTGCTGCCCCCAGGTGGCCTCTCAGAGTTTTCAAGCTTTATACTGCTTTATAAAACCCTAGTAAGGCCACATCTGGAATGCCACAACCAATTTTGTTCACCATACTACAAAAAAAATGTTGAGACTTTGGAAAAATTTCAGAGAAGGGCAACAAAGATGATCAGAGGCCTGGAGACTAAAATATATGCAGGGTTTGGGTTTGGCTAGCCTAAAGAAAAGAAGAATTGGGGGGACATGATAGCAGGATTCCAATATTTGAGGGGCTGTCACAAGAGGAGGAGGTCAGATTATTCTCCAAGGCACCTGAACACAGGAGAAGAAACAATGGTTGGAAACTAATGAATGAGAGAAGCGACCTGGCATTGAGGAGAAACTTCCTAACTGAGGACAATTAACCAGTGGAACAGCTTGCCTCCAGAAATTGTGGGAGCTCCATCACAGGAAGTTTTCAAGAAGAGACTGGACAGTCACTTATCTGAAATGGCGTGGGTTCTCCTGCTTGAGCAGGGAGCTGGACTAGAAGACCTCCAAGGTCCCTTCCAGCTCTGTTCTATTCTAAAGCTTTGGAGATCCCAAAGGGGCCTTTTCAAAAGGCAGCTGGACTTCGTTTTCCAAGGAAAAATAGGAATCACGGCTGAGTGACTAAGAACCTCCAAATACTTCTCAGCTAAATGGCAGAGTGGGGGCTAAATCTGCATTGGAGCCTTAGGGGGCCCAAGTCAAAGTCCTGAACCTTTGAAGCCGAATTCAAGGCCAGCCGGCATGGACCATCCCTGCTTTTCAGCCACTGACTTCCTGGCAGCTCCCCAAATCCCAACGAAAGACATCCAGAAGAAAGCGGCTGAAAGAAATCAGAAGCGAAATTAGATGAATCCAGAAGAAATGGGGAGCTGAACTGTTAAGACACTTTTTGGGGCGGGGGAGGAACCCCGGGTCTGCTTTCTCAAGGTCTCAAGGGAGGCAGCTTTGAACGTGTGGGGCTGCAGGGCTCAGCAGGGGGGAATGGCAACCACAGGTGTTGGGAAGGGAAGTCTTTCAGTGCTGCCTTTCCTCTTTGGGAGAGTTTCCTTGGTTTAAAGGGAAGTTGGGTTTTTTCTAACCTGGTGGGGCTGATTACGGGCGTTTCTCCACTTACCAGCCCCATTGGGACCAGAATTTCTGTCACTAAACGAGGCAGTCGTTAATTGCCTGATTTTACAACCTTGGTTATTGAGACACTGCAGTCGTTAAGGAGCTCCCCCCACTGACTCTGCTGGTCAGAAGTCGCTTGGGAAGGTCAACACACGACACACACACACCATAAATACACGCTGGTTGCTGAGCTCCCACATTTTGATCACGTGACCCTCAGCAACTGTTGTAAGTGCAAGGACCAGCGGTAGATCACTGCTTTTAATGCTGCTGTATCTTCAGCTGATAGTTAAATGAATGGCTTTAAGTCAAGAATTGGCTGTAGGCCTTTTGGGCTTATTTCTGGAATAAGGATAAAAAACGAGTAGCAGAATCCAGTTGCGAAACCAGAGCCCGGGGGTCCTAGGCAGCCCCCAACTCATGTGCTTCTACCCCCTTTGCTAGAGTCTGTAGCTGCGGTTGCAAAACGGGAAAAAACCCCACCCTGGCCCAGCTGGCAGCCCAAGGAAGGCAGCAGAACTCGCTTCTGGGCCCCGGAGAAAGCCGCCGGGGGTCTCTGGTAGCCTTCGGGGCAGCCCAGTTACCTTGCCCTGGGCCCCTCTGAAGCGTGACCCATGGCCAAGGGCAGGGGACCCAGGATGTGCCGCCCTGGACCCCTCCAGAAACCCGGGGATCTGGTGGCCCATGGGGCTGAGGGCCTCGGAGGGGCCTATGTGTAGCCCCCCCCTAATTTTGCCCAGCTGGTTTCCCCGCTCCCTTCCTGAGAGCCAGGCCTTACTGAGTGCTGAGTTCCTCTTCTTGCCCACCAGAGGGAGCTGTGGCTCTTTGCTGACCCCATCAGGCCTGGCAGCTCAGGTGCAAATGTTGGCAACTGTGGAGGAGCAGACGGTCAGGCCGGGTGGGCGGGAAAAGGGAGGCAGGAGCAAGCCGGTCGAGAGTTTCTCCAGAGGGGCAACAGCGAGACGAAGCCTCCCCCCTTCAGATCTCTTCCCGGATCGCCGTTTATGTTGAGTGGGTGCAACGGGGGAGATGGAGGGGAGAGTGCTACCGCAAAGAGAAGAACAAACAAGCGACATCCGTTGGAACTGAGGGGGTAGGAGGGGCGGGGGGGGAACCAAAAAATTACAGTCGCTGACCGGCAGAGAACTGAAGCCATGCCTAACTTACCGGAGCCCCTCCCTCAATGGAGATAGGACAAGGAGGGAGATTAGGACACAATCAGAAAGAGGGGGAGGAAGAAAAAAAAAGAAAAAGAAAGACGTCCATAAATAATCTCACGAAGGCTAAAGAAAAGCTAATTTTGTTAAAAGAAAAAAGAATAACGTGGGTTCAAGTCTCCTGCTGGGAATTCCTGCTCCTTGCCCACCCCTGAACTGGAGGAAGGCTGCCCTGGAGGTTTCTCGGCTGAAATCAGAACGGAGTAACTTTCCCTCGGGATGTGGGAGCTGACCAGAGCGTGTGCAGAGTGCAAATCTGCTTGTACGCTGCTTCAAAACGGCAGGAGTCTCCAAGCGTGGCAGCTTTAGGATTTGTGGACTTCAACTCCCAGAATTCCCCAACCGGTGTTTTTCCTTCGAAAGTGGAGGAATAAAAATGGGCCCTTTTTATTCTAATGCACCTTTCCTTCGTCAGTGCCAGAGTTCAGACTCCCGCAAATAATACCCGTTTTTTGGCCCCTGCGACGGAATTGGCAGGCTTGGCCATGCTTAGTCAAAGGGGGCCCAGCCCCAAAGGCCGAGCTTCAGCATGGCTCCAGGAGAAACCTGCAGAGATGGGGAGGCTAATGGAACCCATGGGGCTGGGCGGCTGGGCAGGCAGAACAGACAGAGGCGGGTTCAAGTCCTACGTCCATAGACTCTGGCCAGCCGCTCTCTGTGCTAACCTACCTCGCAAGGATATCATCTGAAAGGGGGGTGGGGTGCCCGGCAGGGGATCCCCCAAGTGGTTGGTCCAAGGAAGGCCTTGCCCCATCTGCCAATGAGAGCAGGGAAGCATGGGCTCTGTGGTGCCTGGAAGATGGGCCTGTCCTCCAGGTCGCAGCCTGTTCCAGGGACACAGGGGTGACGGTGGCCTCTCGCTCTCTTTCTCTCCCTCCTGCCAAGGGCGGCTGTGGAGGAGGCCTATGCCAAGTCCATGGTCAAGATGTCCAAGATGGCCGGCAACAGCACGCAGCTGGGGTGAGGAGGGCCTGTGGCATTCTGGGGTGGGGGGGCTGCTCCACCCTCATTTGCGATGGTGTGTGGGGAAAGGGCCTGTGGCCATGGTTGCCAGTTATGTGCCCCCCTGGGCAGCCAGCAGGGCGAGGGTCCTGGCAGGTGGGCCCTATGGGGGTGGGGGGTGGGAGGCAGGGCGGAAGACCCCTCTGGAGGATGTCGGGGCAGAGATTCAGGCGCTTCCCATGTGCCCCCACAGGACTTTTGCTCCCCTCTGGGAAGTCTTCCGCATCTCCTCGGACAAGCTGGCACTGTGCCACGCTGAGCTGGTGAAGAAGCTGCAGGATCTCATCAAGGAGATTGGCCGCTATGGGGAGGAGCAGCTACGAGCCCACAGAAAGGTGACCCCCACCCCCGCCAAGTTGTCCAGGGACCATGGGGGGGGGACATCCCTTTGCGAGCCTCCTCCTCCCCCCCCCCGAGGCTGGCCAAGGGATCGGGCCCTGGGCTCTCTGACTAACGCTGCCAGGTCCTCTGGGGCCCCAGTGGGGGCCGGGGGGGCCCTCCCCCAAGCCAGAAGCATGAAGAAGGGCCACAAGTTCTGCTCCTCTTCCTCCCCCGGTCAGTCGAAGGACGAGGTGGCTGGGACCCTGGAGGCCGTCCAGCAGCTTCAGGGGGCTGCCCAGCACCTGCCTAAGGCCAAGGAGGCCTTCCACAGCCGATGCCAGGAGCTGGAGAGGCTACGCAGGGAGGGGGCCAGCCAGAAGGAGATGGACAAGGTGAGGGGGGGTCCAGTCCTGCAACCCTCCTCCTGGGACCCCGGGGGGGGGCAGTTGCCGAGGTCAATGGCCACGATCACCAGCCTTGGTTTGGTTCTCTGGTTCCCTGGCTGGAGGGAGGGGAAGTGGCGGGGGGGCTTGCCCTGACTTTGCCCCTCCCCCGTGTGTCCCCCACCAAGGCAGAGCTGAAGTCCCGAAAGGCCGTGGACGCTCTGCGGCGCACCGTGGAGAAGTACAACGTGGCCCGGGCTGACTTTGAGCAGAAGATGCTGGACTCGGCCGTGGTAAGGAGGGGGCGCAGAATGGGCCCAGCTGGGTGGGATTCGCACCAAGGCCAGTCCACTGTTGGCAGAGGGGGCTGACCGGTGCCCTCTCCCGTGCAAGGGGGGGACTTTGTTGGGCCTCCCCGAGTCTGCTCCGCTTATGCTGATGAGGAAAGGCCCTGGGGGGGGGGGGGGGGGGAGGTCCGGGTTGGTCTCTAGGCCCCCACCCTTGTGGGTCACAGAAGAGGAGGGGAAAGCTCCAGCCTGAGGGAACGGGGCCTCCGAGGAACTTAGGGGTGCAGAGCAGCCCAGCATAGACTTTGTCTGGGGGGGGGGTCGGTTTGCCGCCCCTCTGCCCCGTGCCCCCCCCCCGCCCCCGTGATGCAGGCATGAGGTCTGTCCAAGCAATATTCGGAGGGCTCTGCTCCCCGGCCAGACCCACAGCCCTTCTCCTGCCTCCCCCAGCGGTTTCAGGAGGTGGAGGAGTCGCACCTGCAGCACCTGAAGTCCCTGGTCGGCTCCTACATCCACTCAGTGGAGGACACCCACGTCCAGATTGGGCAGGTGGGTAGCCCAGGGCGTGGCCGGGTTCCGAGGGGCTCCTGGGTCACAGGGGAGGGCAGGTCTGGGCTGCACTGCATTAGGCGACCCCCGGCCTTCCAATGCTCTGCAGACCCCCATCGGGTAGGGGGTTATGGAATGACAGCCCAAGCCTGCAGAGGGCCCCTGCCTGCCCCACCCCCGGCTGGTGCCACTCTGCTTTCTTGCCCACTCCTCCCTCCCAGTGGTGGCAGGAGGCAGGCAGCCGGAAGGACCCTCTCATTGGAGGGGTGGGGGCTGTCTTCCCAGGACGAGGGAACCAGCAGGGGAAGGGAGGCTGTGGGGGAGACTGGCTGCCTTCTCCCAAGGGCTCTCTGAATGCAGGAGCCAGTAGTGGTGGGGCCGAAGGATGGACAGGTGCAGGGGGCACCTGGAATCCTTCTGGGGGCCTCAGGAGGGTCCCCCTCCCTCCCCCGCTCAGGTGCAGGAGGAATTCAAGCAGAACATGGAGAACATCGGGGTGGAGACGCTGCTACGCAACTTTGCCGAGAGCAAGGGCACCGGCTGCCACCCGCCAGGTGAGAGGCCCTGGCACCCCTGGGCAGCCTTCGGGTGCTGTGCAGCCGCCCCAGAGCCCTGCTGGTTGGGCCCTCGGAGCCTCGGGGGCCTCTGCAGTAGAGACAGGTGGAAAGGGAGGGGGTGGGTGGACGCTGGGTGAGCAGGCAGACATTTCCATCAGTGACCACGTCCAGGAGACTAAGGACCCCAAGGGGAAGGGCCTCTGGGGCCCCCAGGCACCCCATCTCTTTCTCAGAACGATGGACATGGAAGCCTCTGTGATGAAGGAGGGGCTGCTGGACCACATGCCTTGAAGTAGTTCTTGGGGTGGGGGAGCGACTTGGGGGGGTCTGCCCCCCTGCCTAACCTCAGGCTTCTCTCTGCCCCCCACCCCCAGGGCCCCTGGATCTGGAGGAACTGAGCATGATGTCCTCCTCGCAGGAAGGCAAGTACGTCTGGCTCGGATTTTGGGGGTGGACCTGGCAGACGCCTCCCCACCCCTTCCACCCTCCTGCCACTGGATTTCAGGCACCTGGCCCTTGGGCCGCCCGGGGGCCCCTCCCTCCCCCTCACCAAGAGGCTTCTGGGGCCCCCCTGGATTCAGCTGTGGTCCTGGGGCCCCCAGGGGTGTGAGGCCCCCTTGCCTGTCTCCCAGCCAAGCAGTTCCGCCCCTGGTAGGCTCCCCCTGGTCAAGGGTCCCCCATTTGTTCTCCTGCCCCTGAAAAGCCCCCCCCTGCGTCCCCCCAGGGCCCAAGCGCAGCCGCAGCAAAGCCTTCCGCATTCCCGGACTCGGGCGCAAGGAGCGCGGGCGGGACTTGGGGTGAGTATTATTATTATTATTATTATTATTATTATTATTATTATTATTATTATTTCAATTTATATACCGCCCTTCTCCTATTGGACTCAGGGCGGTGCACAGCCAAGGATAAAAACATACCAATACAAAATTTAAAATCAATTAAAAAAATTATACAGCTTTGGCCCAAAATTTAAAACAATCCAATTAAAACCCAATTTACACTTAAAAAGCTAAAAAGAGCTTAAAAAGGGGGGGGGGTTCACGCCAGCCCTGCTTGATGGAAAAGAAAAGTTTTCAGGGCACGGCGAAAGGCCCGGAGGTCCGATATCCTTCGTATCTCCGGGGGCAAATCGTTCCAGAGGGCAGGAGCTGCCACAGAGAAGGCCCTCCCCCTGGGGGTCGCCAACCAACATTGCCTGACTGGCTGCACCCTGAGGAGCCCCTCTCTGTGGGAGCGTACTGGTCAGTGGGAGGCTATCGGCGGCAGAAGGCGGTTCTGCAAATACCCAGGTCCTATGCCATGGAGCACTTTAAAGGTGGTGACCAACACCTTGAAGCGCACCCGGAAGACCACCAGAAACCAATGCAGCTCACACAGGAGAGGTGTCACATGGGAGCGCCCCCTGGCTCCCATAATCCCCCGTGCGGCCGCATTCTGCACCAGTTGGAGCCTCTGGGTGCTCCTCAAGGGAAGCCCCATGTAGAGAGCGTTGCAGTAGTCCTTGGCTGCCCCCCCCCCCCCCCCCCTCCTTCCCTCCTGGCTGTACCCCCCCCCCCCCGCCCCACTCACCCTTTTCCCCCTTTCTCCCCAGGGAGTCTCCGGAGGCGGATTCGGGGGTGAGGACGCGCCCTCCAAGGCAGTGCAGCTGAGTGGTGGGCTTTGCTGAGGCGGGGGTCCCAGAGCTGCCTGGACCCCTGTTCCCAAGAGCTTGCTGCCCACTCCTCCCTGTGTCATTTGGGGGGGTGGTCTGTGTCACATTCCACCCTCCCCAGCCATGTTCTCTCTCCACAGCCCCCCGAGGTGGACGAGGAAGGCTTCACTGTCCGGCCCGAAATGAACCAGAACGATATCCTTGGGGGGGCTTGGGGGAGTGGAAGGTGGGTCTGGGGGTCTGGATGTGGGGCTTGATTGGGGGGGAGAGCCCCAGAAGGCGCAGGGGCCACTGTACAAGTGGGCAGAGGGACCCCCATTGCCTGCCTGTCTCAGAGTGGGCCACTGAAGCTGACCTCGGAGGAAGCCCCTTGTGGAAGGAAGCCCCCCCAGCCATTTCCCAAAGATGCCAGTCTTCCCTCCCCCCAGGCCCAGACCCTCCCCCAACCATCCCTTTCCTTGACTCGGCTCCACGCGAACACAGCAGCCGCTTCTGCTCGTCCAGCGACTCAGATTATGACGATGAGGACCCCCCCAAATTCTATATCCGGATCAAGCCCATCCAGCCGCCCGAGCGAGTGGGCAGTGCCGCCACCTCGGCCGCCACGGAGCAGCTGAAGGCCTCAGTGGGCAGCCTCATCCTGCCGCCCTGCGTGGGGGTGAGTGGGACCAGGGATACGAGGGGGGCCCCCATTGCCTCCCCCTTCCCTGCTTATCCTGGAGGAGGGCCCAGAAGCAGCCCCCCCACAGTGGCAGGCGTGGCCTTGCACTCCTGACCCGCTCCCCTTCTCGTCTGCAGGGCACCATGAAGAGACACTCCTCCAGTAAGTGGCCCTCCCGCTCTGGGCCCCTGCCGTGGGTGGGGTCGGTCCATCTGGGCACCGAGGGCCATGGAGGGCTGCTCTGGGGAGCCGGTCTGCCAGGCTTGCAGGACAGACCGAGGCACAAGCCACACAACGAACCACACGACCGGGAAGGGCGAGCCCGGCGTCGGTGCGAAGGGAGTTCTTGGGTGCCTCCTCCAAGCCTCGGCCAATCAGGACTTTCCTGACCTTGGCCGGGCTCCAGCCTCCCCAAAGATGGGGCTCCTTCTGGGGCCTGGGAAGGTGCTGACCCCTCTCCGGACCTGCTGACCTGCAGCCCAGGCTTGGGGGTGCCTCTCTCTGCTTTCAGGGCACTTGAAAACCTTCCCTTCGGCTGCTGCGGTGCCCACCGACTCTGGCCCGGCCCCAGGCGCAGGAGAGCGAGGTGAGGCCGCAAGAGCAGGGGGAGGGGGAGGACCCGTGGGGTGGGGGCCCTCCACCCTCTGACCTTTGTGTTCCTGCCCCATCCTCACCCTCCTTCGGCAGGTGGTAGACCAGGGAGCGCTGCGACCCCCAACCTGGTGCCCCGGATGAGCAGGTATGCCCGCATCTCAGATAGCCACCTCTGCGCTGGTACCTGGCGTGGCACCCGGGAGGCTGGCTGCAGGTGGGCCGGCTTGGTGCCAGCTTGCTTGTTTGCTCTGGGGGTTAGGGAGTTGTCATTGGGGGGGGCACAGGGGGGCCGGCCAGGAGAGATCTTACCAGGAGGCCTGTTTGCAGCAGAAGCCCCAACAGGAAGAAACCTTGGAGTTAACCTGGCTTCCCGGGGGGGGGGGGATGAGGCGGGGAGGGTCAGTGGAGTTTCCTCTTGCCCCTCCACCCTCATCTCCTTTTTCCTAGGAGAGGCTAGAATGACCCCCCTCCCCCTCCCCGCCTTCTCTTTTCCCAGCTGTGACGGGCAAAGCAAGCCTGAGGCCCTTCCTGCCAGCGCCTTGTTTGGGCCCCCCCTGGAGTCGGCCTTTGAAAATGAAGCCTTCGCAGGTGAGCCCCCCTTTGCGGGGGGGGGGTCTTTGCAGAGGGGGGAGGGGGCTGGGTCAAGCAGCTGCAGCTTCCCCAAAGCCCAGCGGGGCCTCCGGCCAGGAGAGGTGGGGGAAGACGGACAGACACACCCAACCGGCCCAGGTGGGGCTTCTGTGCTCACCCAGCTCACCTCTTCAGCCTGGAGAAGCAAGGCTGCCGGTGGGAGCCCGAGGGAAGGAGGTGTGGCCTGGCAGAGGTCAGAGGAGGGACCTGAGGCGTCCGAAGGAGGAGGAGGATGGGTCATGGGGGCCTCCAAGGGTTGCTCGTTCAAGGGCCCTTTGGTCTGCTTGGCCGTCCCTGGGATTCTGGGGCTGCTGTCCAACCCCAGTGTCCAGAGGCCTCCATCCTCTTCCTCTCCTCCAAAGCCCAGCCTTCCTCTCTAGGGAGGGCCGGGGGGAACTTCCCCAATTCGGGTCTTTGTAGGAAGGGAGGCACCTGAGCCTCTTTCCGAGGCCTCGGCGGCTGTTTTATCTGCCGTCTGTGGTGGGTCTCTTGATGGCCGATTCCTCCACTGTCCGTGGTTGACCCCAAGAGGCAGAAACTCTGTGCCCCTTGGGTAACTTCACGGAGGCTCCCGAGGCTGCTTGCTCTGCCTGTGGACCTTCGGGGGGGGCCTTCTCGGTCCTTCTTTGGCCCTTTCTCTTCCCTCTCTGCTCTTGGACTTCCCTTCTTGCGTATCCGGTGCGTCTTCGGCCATTAGAGTCAGGAGAGCCCAGCGCAGGTTGCAGGTGTCCCTTCCTCCCGTTCCCAAGCCCTGCTCGTCTTCTCCCAGTCCAGCTTCCTTGACAGCTATTCCACGGAGAGGCTGATTCAGAATCAGAATAGAGCTGGGAGGGACCTTGGAGGTCTTCTAGTCCAACCCTCTGCTCAAGCAGGAGACCCTAGACCATTTCAGGCAAGTGACTGTCCAGTCTCTTCTTGAAAACTTCCAGTGTCGGAGCACCCACGGCTTCTGGTGGCAAGCTGTTCCACGGGTTAATTGTCCTCACTGTTAGGAAATTTCTCCTTAATTCCAGATTGCTTCTCTCCTTGATCAGTTTCCATTCATTGTTTCTTGTTCTGCTTTTTGGTGCTTTGGAGGATAGCTTGACCCCCCCCCCCCCTTTGTTGGGGCAGCCCCTGAGATATTGGTACACCGCCATCGTGTCCCGCCACGCCTCCTTTCCTCTATGTCCCAGTTCTTCCAACCCTTCTTTAATCATCCCAGTTGCTCTTCTCTGCACTTTTTCCAGCGTCATCTCCGTAATGTGACCAAAAGTGGATGCAGGATTCCAGGTGTGGCCTTACGAAGGCTTTGCAAAGAGCTCCTAATGCTTCTCTCGACCTTGATTGGATGCCTCTGTTTAGGCAACCCAGGACTGCATTACAGGAGCTTGTTTGGCGGCGGCTGCAGACGCCCATTCAAGGGGTCGTCCAAGGCCCCCACGGCCCCTCCCCCAGGGGCTCTCTTGGAGCCGGCTTTCGCCTAGTCCCAGGATGGGGAACCTACGGCACACGTGGCAGAGGTGGCACCCAGAGCCCTTTCTGTGGGCATGCGGCCCGTCGCCAGCTGGTCCTCGGGTATCCGGCGCTCTGGCGCACGCATGTTCCGGTTTGGGCACTCGGTGCCGAAAAGTTTGGCCATCCCTGGCCTAGTCTGTCCTTGCCCCTTTGGCGTCTCCTGCCTCAGCGTAAAACTTGGCTTTTCTCCATGGAATTAAATTTCCCATTGCCGGGTGGGGCCCGTCAAGACCCTTTTGAACGCGTAAGGGGAGGGGATGCAGCCCAGCCACCCGCCCCCTTGCCAGCCTGCTTCTCCGTCTTCTGGCCACCCGGGGGCTGCCTGGCCTGCAGGTGGGGTCCTTCCCTCCTCCTCCTCCTCCTCCTCCTCCCAGGAGCTTCCCCCCCCCCGCCCAACACGGTCAAAGCCTGCTTTTATCACGGCTGAAGAACCGATCGGCTTCCTTCTAGCATTTCTTGGCCTTCCAGGGCTGGGGGGGGGGAAGGGGGGGGGATATAACAGGACCAACCCGTTTTGGCCTGCGATGACTCACGTGGGGAAGGAGGCCTTTTCTGACAGCAGGAAAGCAGAGGCTTTTACGCAGGCGAAAGGGGTGCGGTGTTCCCCGCGTGTGTCTTGCGTGTCTCCTCCATGGGGAGAAATCTGGCTTGCCTCTGGCAAGTATGCGGAAGAGGATTTGAAAGCAGGGAGAGGCCGGGAGGGCCCCCCGCCCTGCGGCCATCCCTTCAGGGGACCTTCCCTCGCTGCTTTTTTTATTTTATTTTTTTAATTTGATTTACAATGCGTTAAGCAATAGCCTTCATCCTTTTGTATATTTATACAAAGTCAGTTTATTGTCCCCACAATCTGGGTCCTCATTTCACCCACCTTAGAAAGGATGGAAGGCTGAGTCGACCTTGAGCCTTGGAGAGATTCGAACTCACAGAAATTGCAGACAACTGGAGTTAATCCCAGTGCTATCAGTCTGCTGAGCTATCCAGGCCCTGCTTGTCACCAGGAAGAGGAAACGGCTGCTGTCCATGGAGGTTCTCCGTCCAACGATGACAGTGAAAGTGGGCTGGGGGACTCTGCCAGCCGAGGGGAGCTTTGCCCCTGTGTCTGCTGAGGTCTGGACGCCCCTCAGCCTGGGAGCGAACGGCAGGCAGTGCCTTATGGTAGCACGGCCCTTCCCCAAGCGGGTCCTGGGCGGTCCCCGTCCCCCTGAGGTGACCAGGGCCAGAAGTCTTTGATGCCCAGGCCTCCCCCTGGGGAACAGGCTCTTGCTTCCCTCGCTGGCCTTCCCTGGCATTAGGCACTGGCTTGGCGTGGTGCCCGCTCTCCCGCTCGGTGCCAGCTGCCAGCTCAGCCCTTGAGCTGCACTGCTCCTGGCCCAGCTGAGCTGCAGGAGGAATCTGCCCCCATGGCCGGAGCTGCTGGCCTGGAGCCGCCTATGTACCTGGGATGGGTGTGGATGCTCAGCTGGCACCCTCCTCTTCTGCCTCAAGCCCACCCCCCTCGATGCCACCTTCCTTTAGTGAAAGGCCGGGCAGGTGGGGTGAGGTGCCAGCTGAGCTCCGGCCTGAGGAAGGCTGTGGCCCCCTGAGGGATCCCTGGGAGCGAGTCCGGTTTCCGAGGCTGGAGAATTCAAGGCTTTTGGGGAAAGGAGTCAGCTGGGCCCAGCAAGGGGGGGAGGGGCAAGCGTTTGTGCCAGCGATTCCTTCCAGCTGCAGTCTCAGCTTCCTGCCCTATGGCCCCCCCCCCCCCAGCCCCTTTTCACAGCAGCTGGCTGGGCCAGAGAGAACCGGCAGAGCGGCAGCGCCTCCTGGATCTGGGCACGGGGGCATCCTGGTGCCCAGACTGCCACGCTGGGGAGCAGGTCTGCCCTGGCGCTGGGCAAAGGAGCCGCAGTGGGGGAGGCAGGAGGGGGAGCTAATTTGATGGATAGATCCCTTGGTTGTGGCTGGTCCTCACTCCAGAGCCGCCTGTGGGGGGTGCCCGTGCCTGATGCCCACTGCAGAGGCACCCTGGCAGGGGAGCTTTAGGGCTGCAAGGGAGCCAGATCAGTGGATTTGAGGGGGAGGTCCAACCTTGGGCCACCCCTGCAGGTGGGGCATGGGGAACTGGTGTGGTGAGGCTACTCCGCGTTGGCCTCCTTGTTCCTGGGGGGGGCAGTGGGCACAGCAGCCCCATCAGCCTCTCTACCCCAACATCGCTACTCTTTCGGCTGCTGGGGTGGGCACTGCAGCCCCTGACTCTATTAACTCTCTCCTCTCTCTCCTTCTGTCTCCCCACAGCCCCCAGAGCCTACCTGCTGGCCTCCAGCCCCTCCCCCTTCTCCTCCTCCTCCCCCGAGAACGTGGAAGACTCTGGCCTGGACTCCCCCCCCCACCTGGCCATGGGACCCTCCCCGGATTCCCGCCTGTGGAGCTCCCGGCCGGCCACGCCCCTGAGCCCCCCCGGGCCAAAGGACCCCCAAGGGGGCCATCGTGTTCCGGGGCAGCCGCGGGACCCTTCTGCCCGAGGACAGACCCAACCCCTGGCTGCCTCAGCCCTCAGCCCCCCAGGATGCCCGTTTCGGGGCAGAGCCAGACTGGGCGGGATCCGGGGCCTCGTGGCCCCCTGCAGGGGCCCGGGCCTTCTCCACTTGCTCCCCTGACTTCTCCTCGGAGGCTGGGTTGGGGGGGCCGGCGGCTCTGGGTGTCCCGGCCTCGGAGCCCGGCAGCCTCGGACGGGGCCCCTCGGACCGGGGAACGCGACAGCTGCCTCTCCTCCAACTCGGCCTCCTCCTCCTCCTCCTCTCCGGCCCCCCTCAGCAGCGGGGACTCCACCAGCCCCTCTCCCTGGGCCCCCCGGGGCCGCGACCTGGACAGCCGGGGCCCCTCTGCCTCCGATGCCTCCTCTGAGCACGGTAAGTAGGGGGCCGGCATGCCGAGGCCTCACCACCACCTCTTTCAGGGCGGCGGGAAGTCACCCTCACCCAATGAAGCATTTATAATCCCCTGGAGCCAGCCTCGCGTCACCTCCCGAGAAGCCAGCACTAACCAGGAGGGACACGGCTCCAACAAACATGTGGTCGCGTTCAGTCTACCCAGAATCCTGTCCACGTCCTCGGGAGTCACAGGATCAAACTCATCCCAGATAACATTCTCAGGACCTGCCTCAGTCATCCCCCCTGGATCTACCCAGTCAGAGTCCAGATCTTCCCGAATCTGAGTGATTTTGTCATACAGACACTGAACAAAATCCTCGGCTCTTCCCTCCAAGGGGTCCTCCCGTGCTCCCTGGTGGAGCAGGGAGCGGGTCACCCTAAACAGGGCGGCCAGGCGATTATCTGATGACGCCCTGGGGAAGAGGGGACTTGTAGTCCGACACAGCCCGGGGACAGGCGGCTCAGCCTCTCAGCCTTGGCAGCTGAAAGGTGTGCAGACTTCAACTCCCAGGATTCCCCAGCCAGCCTTGCTCCCATCTGTGGTTGGGGGGGGCTTTCCTTTGCTCCCCCTGCAGCCCTTGGGCAGCTGCCTCTCTGGCTTGTCTGCAAGTTGGTGGAGAGCTCCGCCTTGGGAGGGGCCGGGGGGGGCATCAGGACTGCTTGGGAAGACCCTGTCCCCGGATCCCAGTGTGGCCCCTGACTTTCCTGTCTTGCTTTCCCCCCCCCATCCCCCATAGGGAGAGAAGAACCAGGGATTCGATGTCCTTTATCACAACATGAAACATGGGCAAATCTCGGCCAAGGAGCTGGCGGACTTTGTGCGGGAAAGGTATGCCAGGCTGTGCCCCTTCCCCCCTTTGCCCCGCCCCTTCCCCACCCTGGGAGGGCCCTGCCTCTCTCCCTGCCCTCTGGGCTTTGGACTACATCCCCCAGAATGCTGTTGTCCTGCAGACCTGGGGGCTGTTAGCTTATTGCTTTTCCCTGGAGGATGTAACTGACTGGCGGGGTGGGGGGAGGGGTTAGTCCCCAGAGAACGTCTCCCTTGCCTGGTTTTCACCCCCTTCCCAGACCCCAGAAACACCTCTCTCTCCCCCCCCCCCCCGTTTATTGTTAAGAGCCACTCCAGAAAGCCCGGGCTCGCTCTCTGCTGCCCCCAGGTGGCCTCTCAGAGTTTTCAAGCTTTTATACTGCTTTATAAAACCCTAGTAAGGCCACATCTGGAATGCCACAACCAATTTTGTTCACCATACTACAAAAAAAATGTTGAGACTTTGGAAAAATTTCAGAGAAGGGCAACAAAGATGATCAGAGGCCTGGAGACTAAAATATATGCAGGGTTTGGGTTTGGCTAGCCTAAAGAAAAGAAGAATTGGGGGGACATGATAGCAGGATTCCAATATTTGAGGGGCTGTCACAAGAGGAGGAGGTCAGATTATTCTCCAAGGCACCTGAACACAGGAGAAGAAACAATGGTTGGAAACTAATGAATGAGAGAAGCGACCTGGCATTGAGGAGAAACTTCCTAACTGAGGACAATTAACCAGTGGAACAGCTTGCCTCCAGAAATTGTGGGAGCTCCATCACAGGAAGTTTTCAAGAAGAGACTGGACAGTCACTTATCTGAAATGGCGTGGGTTCTCCTGCTTGAGCAGGGAGCTGGACTAGAAGACCTCCAAGGTCCCTTCCAGCTCTGTTCTATTCTAAAGCTTTGGAGATCCCAAAGGGGCCTTTTCAAAAGGCAGCTGGACTTCGTTTTCCAAGGAAAAATAGGAATCACGGCTGAGTGACTAAGAACCTCCAAATACTTCTCAGCTAAATGGCAGAGGGGGGGCTAAATCTGCATTGGAGCCTTAGGGGGCCCAAGTCAAAGTCCTGAACCTTTGAAGCCGAATTCAAGGCCAGCCGGCATGGACCATACCTGCTTTTCAGCCACTGAGTTCCTGGCAGCTCCCAAAATCCCAACGAAAGACATCCAGAAGAAAGCGGCTGAAAGAAATCAGAAGCGAAATTAGATGAATCCAGAAGAAATGGGGAGCTGAGCTGTTAAGACACTTTTTGGGGCGGGGGAGGAACCCCGGGTCTGCTTTCTCAAGGTCTCAAGGGAGGCAGCTTTGAACGTGTGGGGCTGCAGGGCTCAGCAGGGGGGAATGGCAACCACAGGTGTTGGGAAGGGAAGTCTTTCAGTGCTGCCTTTCCTCTTTGGGAGAGTTTCCTTGGTTTAAAGGGAAGTTGGGTTTTTTCTAACCTGGTGGGGCTGATTACGGGCATTTCTCCACTTACCAGCCCCATTGGGACCAGAATTTCTGTCACTAAATGAGGCAGTCGTTAATTGCCTGATTTTACAACCTTGGTTATTGAGACACTGCAGTCGTTAAGGAGCTCCCCCCACTGACTCTGCTGGTCCGAAGTCGCTTGGGAAGGTCAACACACGACACACACACACCATAAATACACGCTGGTTGCTGAGCTCCCACATTTTGATCACGTGACCCTCAGCAACCGTTGTAAGTGCAAGGACCAGCGGTAGATCACTGCTTTTAATGCTGCTGTATCTTCAGCTGATAGTTAAATGAATGGCTTTAAGTCAAGAATTGGCTGTAGGCCTTTTGGGCTTATTTCTGGAATAAGGATAAAAAACGAGTAGCAGAATCCAGTTGCGAAACCAGAGCCCGGGGGTCCTAGGCAGCCCCCAACTCATGTGCTTCTACCCCCTTTGCTAGAGTCTGTAGCTGCGGTTGCAAAACGGGAAAAAACCCCACCCTGGCCCAGCTGGCAGCCCAAGGAAGGCAGCAGAACTCGCTTCTGGGCCCCGGAGAAAGCCGCCGGGGGTCTCTGGTAGCCTTCGGGGCAGCCCAGTTACCTTGCCCTGGGCCCCTCTGAAGCGTGACCCATGGCCAAGGGCAGGGGACCCAGGATGTGCCGCCCTGGACCCCTCCAGAAACCCGGGGATCTGGTGGCCCATGGGGCTGAGGGCCTCGGAGGGGCCTATGTGTAGCCCCCCCCTAATTTTGCCCAGCTGGTTTCCCCGCTCCCCTCCTGAGAGCCAGGCCTTACTGAGTGCTGAGTTCCTCTTCTTGCCCACCAGAGGGAGCTGTGGCTCTTTGCTGACCCCATCAGGCCTGGCAGCTTGGGTGCAAATGTTGGCAACTGTGGAGGAGCAGACGGTCAGGCCGGGTGGGCGGGAAAAGGGAGGCAGGAGCAAGCCGGTCGAGAGTTTCTCCAGAGGGGCAACAGCGAGACGAAGCCTCCCCCCCTTCAGATCTCTTCCCGGATCGCCGTTTATGTTGAGTGGGTGCAACGGGGGAGATGGAGGGGAGAGTGCTACCGCAAAGAGAAGAACAAACAAGCGACATCCGTTGGAACTGAGGGGGTAGGAGGGGCGGGGGGGGGAACCAAAAAATTACAGTCGCTGACCGGCAGAGAACTGAAGCCATGCCTAACTTACCGGAGCCCCTCCCTCAATGGAGATAGGACAAGGAGGGAGATTAGGACACAATCAGAAAAGGGGGAGGAAGAAAAAAAAAGAAAAAGAAAGACGTCCATAAATAATCTCACGAAGGCTAAAGAAAAGCTAATTTTGTTAAAAGAAAAAAGAATAACGTGGGTTCAAGTCTCCTGCTGGGAATTCCTGCTCCTTGCCCACCCCTGAACTGGAGGAAGGCTGCCCTGGAGGTTTCTCGGCTGAAATCAGAACGGAGTAACTTTCCCTCGGGATGTGGGAGCTGACCAGAGCGTGTGCAGAGTGCAAATCTGCTTGTACGCTGCTTCAAAACGGCAGGAGTCTCCAAGCGTGGCAACTTTAGGATTTGTGGACTTCAACTCCCAGAATTCCCCAACCGGTGTTTTTCCTTCGAAAGTGGAGGAATAAAAATGGGCCCTTTTTATTCTAATGCACCTTTCCTTCGTCAGTGCCAGAGTTCAGACTCCCGCAAATAATACCCGTTTTTTGGCCCCTGCGACGGAATTGGCAGTCTTGGCCATGCTTAGTCAAAGGGGGCCCAGCCCCAAAGGCCGAGCTTCAGCATGGCTCCAGGAGAAACCTGCAGAGATGGGGAGGCTAATGGAACCCATGGGGCTGGGCGGCTGGGCAGGCAGAACAGACAGAGGCGGGTTCAAGTCCTACGTCCATAGACTCTGGCCAGCCGCTCTCTGTGCTAACCTACCTCGCAAGGATATCATCTGAAAGGGGGGTGGGGTGCCCGGCAGGGGATCCCCCAAGTGGTTGGTCCAAGGAAGGCCTTGCCCCATCTGCCAATGAGAGCAGGGAAGCATGGGCTCTGTGGTGCCTGGAAGATGGGCCTGTCCTCCAGTTCGCAGCCTGTTCCAGGGACACAGGGGTGACGGTGGCCTCTCGCTCTCTTTCTCTCCCTCCTGCCAAGGGCGGCTGTGGAGGAGGCCTATGCCAAGTCCATGGTCAAGATGTCCAAGATGGCCGGCAACAGCACGCAGCTGGGGTGAGGAGGGCCTGTGGCATTCTGGGGTGGGGGGGGGCTGCTCCACCCTCATTTGCGATGGTGTGTGGGGAAAGGGCCTGTGGCCATGGTTGCCAGTTATGTGCCCCCCTGGGCAGCCAGCAGGGCGAGGGTCCTGGCAGGTGGGCCCTATGGGGGTGGGGGGTGGGAGGCAGGGCGGAAGACCCCTCTGGAGGATGTCGGGGCAGAGATTCAGGCGCTTCCCATGTGCCCCCACAGGACTTTTGCTCCCCTCTGGGAAGTCTTCCGCATCTCCTCGGACAAGCTGGCACTGTGCCACGCTGAGCTGGTGAAGAAGCTGCAGGATCTCATCAAGGAGATTGGCCGCTATGGGGAGGAGCAGCTACGAGCCCACAGAAAGGTGACCCCCACCCCCGCCAAGTTGTCCAGGGACCATGGGGGGGGGACATCCCTTTGCGAGCCTCCTCCTCCCCCCCCCGAGGCTGGCCAAGGGATCGGGCCCTGGGCTCTCTGACTAACGCTGCCAGGTCCTCTGGGGCCCCAGTGGGGGCCGGGGGGGCCCTCCCCCAAGCCAGAAGCATGAAGAAGGGCCACAAGTTCTGCTCCTCTTCCTCCTCCGGTCAGTCGAAGGACGAGGTGGCTGGGACCCTGGAGGCCGTCCAGCAGCTTCAGGGGGCTGCCCAGCACCTGCCTAAGGCCAAGGAGGCCTTCCACAGCCGATGCCAGGAGCTGGAGAGGCTACGCAGGGAGGGGGCCAGCCAGAAGGAGATGGACAAGGTGAGGGGGGGTCCAGTCCTGCAACCCTCCTCCTGGGACCCCGGGGGGGGGCAGTTGCCGAGGTCAATGGCCACGATCACCAGCCTTGGTTTGGTTCTCTGGTTCCCTGGCTGGAGGGAGGGGAAGTGGCGGGGGGGCTTGCCCTGACTTTGCCCCTCCCCCGTGTGTCCCCCACCAAGGCAGAGCTGAAGTCCCGAAAGGCCGTGGACGCTCTGCGGCGCACCGTGGAGAAGTACAACGTGGCCCGGGCTGACTTTGAGCAGAAGATGCTGGACTCGGCCGTGGTAAGGAGGGGGCGCAGAATGGGCCCAGCTGGGTGGGATTCGCACCAAGGCCAGTCCACTGTTGGCAGAGGGGGCTGACCGGTGCCCTCTCCCGTGCAAGGGGGGGACTTTGTTGGGCCTCCCCGAGTCTGCTCCGCTTATGCTGATGAGGAAAGGCCCGGGGGGGGGGAGGTCCGGGTTGGTCTCTAGGCCCCCACCCTTGTGGGTCACAGAAGAGGAGGGGAAAGCTCCAGCCTGAGGGAACGGGGCCTCCGAGGAACTTAGGGGTGCAGAGCAGCCCAGCATAGACTTTGTCTGGGGGGGTGGGTCGGTTTGCCGCCCCTCTGCCCCGTGCCCCCCCCCGCCCCCGTGATGCAGGCATGAGGTCTGTCCAAGCAATATTCGGAGGGCTCTGCTCCCCGGCCAGACCCACAGCCCTTCTCCTGCCTCCCCCAGCGGTTTCAGGAGGTGGAGGAGTCGCACCTGCAGCACCTGAAGTCCCTGGTCGGCTCCTACATCCACTCAGTGGAGGACACCCACGTCCAGATTGGGCAGGTGGGTAGCCCAGGGCGTGGCCGGGTTCCGAGGGGCTCCTGGGTCACAGGGGAGGGCAGGTCTGGGCTGCACTGCGTTAGGCGACCCCCGGCCTTCCAATGCTCTGCAGACCCCCATCGGGTAGGGGGTTATGGAATGACAGCCCAAGCCTGCAGAGGGCCCCTGCCTGCCCCACCCCCAGCTGGTGCCACTCTGCTTTCTTGCCCACTCCTCCCTCCCAGTGGTGGCAGGAGGCAGGCAGCCGGAAGGACCCTCTCATTGGAGGGGTGGGGGGTGTCTTCCCAGGACGAGGGAACCAGCAGGGGAAGGGAGGCTATGGGGGAGACTGGCTGCCTTCTCCAAGGGCTCTCTGAATGCAGGAGCCAGTAGTGGTGGGGGCCGAAGGATGGACAGGTGCAGGGGGCACCTGGAATCCTTCTGGGGGCCTCAGGAGGGTCCCCCTCCCTCCCCCGCTCAGGTGCAGGAGGAATTCAAGCAGAACATGGAGAACATCGGGGTGGAGACGCTGCTACGCAACTTTGCCGAGAGCAAGGGCACCGGCTGCCACCCGCCAGGTGAGAGGCCCTGGCACCCCTGGGCAGCCTTCGGGTGCTGTGCAGCCGCCCCAGAGCCCTGCTGGTTGGGCCCTCGGAGCCCGGGGGCCTCTGCAGTAGAGGCAGGTGGAAAGGGAGGGGGTGGGTGGAGGCTGGGTGAGCAGGCAGACATTTCCATCAGTGACCACGTCCAGGAGACTAAGGACCCCAAGGGGAAGGGCCTCTGGGCCCCCCAGGCACCCCATCTCTTTCTCAGAACGATGGACATGGAAGCCTCTGTGATGAAGGAGGGGCTGCTGGACCACATGCCTTGAAGTAGTTCTTGGGGTGGGGGAGCGACTTGGGGGGGTCTGCCCCCCTGCCTCACCTCAGGCTTCTCTCTGCCCCCCACCCCCAGGGCCCCTGGATCTGGAGGAACTGAGCATGATGTCCTCCTCGCAGGAAGGCAAGTACGTCTGGCTCGGATTTTGGGGGTGGACCTGGCAGAGGCCTCCCCACCCCTTCCACCCTCCTGCCACTGGATTTCAGGCACCTGGCCCTTGGGCCGCCCGGGGGCCCCTCCCTCCCCCTCACCAAGAGGCTTCTGGGGCCCCCCTGGATTCAGCTGTGGTCCTGGGGCCCCCAGGGGTGTGAGGCCCCCTTGCCTGTCTCCCAGCCAAGCAGTTCCGCCCCTGGTAGGCTCCCCCTGGTCAAGGGTCCCCCATTTGTTCTCCTGCCCCTGAAAAGCCCCCCCCTGCGTCCCCCCAGGGCCCAAGCGCAGCCGCAGCAAAGCCTTCCGCATTCCCGGACTCGGGCGCAAGGAGCGCGGGCGGGACTTGGGGTGAGTATTATTATTATTATTATTATTATTATTATTTTATTATTATTATTATTATTATTATTATTCAATTTATATACCGCCCTTCTCCTATTGGACTCAGGGCGGTGCACAGCCAAGGATAAAAACATACCAATACAAAATTTAAAATCAATTAAAAGAATTATACAGCTTTGGCCCAAAATTTAAAACAATCCAATTAAAACCCAATTTACACTTAAAAAGCTAAAAAGAGCTTAAAAAGGGGGGGGGGGTTCCACGCCAGCCCTGCTTGATGGAAAGAAAAGTTTTTAGGGCACGACGAAAAGCCCGGAGATCGATATCCTTCGTATCTCCGGGGGCAAATCGTTCCAGAGGGCAGGAGCTGCCACAGAGAAGGCCCTCCCCCTGGGGGTCGCCAACCGACATTGCCTGACTGGCTGCACCCTGAGGAGCCCCTCTCTGTGGGAGCGTACTGGTCGGTGGGAGGCTATCGGCGGCAGAAGGCGGTCCTGCAAATACCCAGGTCCTATGCCATGGAGCACTTTAAAGGTGGTGACCAACACCTTGAAGCGCACCCGGAAGACCACCAGAAACCAATGCAGCTCACACAGGAGAGGTGTCACATGGGAGCGCCCCCTGGCTCCCATAATCCCCCGTGCGGCCGCATTCTGCACCAGTTGGGGCCTCTGGGTGCTCCTCAAGGGAGCCCCATGTAGAGAGCATTGCAGTAGTCCTTGGCTGCCCCCCCTCCCCCCCCGTCTGCTTCGGTCCTGGCTGTACAGCCCCCCCCCCCGCCCACTCACCCTTTTCCCCCTTTCTCCCCAGGGAGTCTCCGGAGGCGGATTCGGGGGTGAGGACGCGCCCTCCAAGGCAGTGCAGCTGAGTGGTGGGCTTTGCTGAGGCGGGGGTCCCAGAGCTGCCTGGACCCCTGTTCCCAAGAGCTTGCTGCCCACTCCTCCCTGTGTCATTTGGGGGGTGGTCTGTGTCACATTCCACCCTCCCCAGCCATGTTCTCTCTCCACAGCCCCCCGAGGTGGACGAGGAAGGCTTCACTGTCCGGCCCGAAATGAACCAGAACGATATCCTTGGGGGGGCTTGGGGGAGTGGAGGGCTCTAGGGAAGGTGGGTCTGGGGGTCTGGATGTGGGGCTTGATTGGGGGGGAGAGCCCCAGAAGGCGCAGGGGTCACTGTACAAGTGGGCAGAGGGACCCCCATTGCCTGCCTGTCTCAGAGTGGGCCACTGAAGCTGACCTCGGAGGAAGCCCCTTGTGGAAGGAAGCCCCCCCAGCCATTTCCCAAAGATGCCAGTCTTCCCTCCCCCCAGGCCCAGACCCTCCCCCAACCATCACTTTCCTTGACTCGGCTCCACGCGAACACAGCAGCCGCTTCTGCTCGTCCAGCGACTCAGATTACGACGATGAGGACCCCCCCAAATTCTATATCCGGATCAAGCCCATCCCGCCGCCCGAGCGAGTGGGCAGTGCCGCCACCTCGGCCGCCACAGGAGCAGCTGAAGGCCTCAGTGGGCAGCCTCATCCTGCCGCCCTGCGTGGGGGTGAGTGGGACCAGGGATACGAGGGGGGGCCCCATTGCCTCCCCCTTCCCTGCTTATCCTGGAGGAGGGCCCAGAAGCAGCCCCCCCACAGTGGCAGGCGTGGCCTTGCACTCCTGACCCGCTCCCCTTCTCGTCTGCAGGGCACCATGAAGAGACACTCCTCCAGTAAGTGGCCCTCCCGCTCTGGGCCCCTGCCGTGGGTGGGGTCGGTCCATCTGGGCACCGAGGGCCATGGAGGGCTGCTCTGGGGAGCCGGTCTGCCAGGCTTGCAGGACAGACCGAGGCACAAGCCACACAACGAACCACACGACCGGGAAGGGCGAGCCCGGCGTCGGTGCGAAGGGAGTTCTTGGGTGCCTCCTCCAAGCCTCGGCCAATCAGGACTTTCCTGACCTTGGCCGGGCTCCAGCCTCCCCAAAGATGGGGCTCCTTCTGGGGCCTGGGAAGGTGCTGACCCCTCTCCGGACCTGCTGACCTGCAGCCCAGGCTTGGGGGTGCCTCTCTCTGCTTTCAGGGCACTTGAAAACCTTCCCTTCGGCTGCTGCGGTGCCCACCGACTCTGGCCCGGCCCCAGGCGCAGGAGAGCGAGGTGAGGCCGCAAGAGCAGGGGGAGGGGGAGGACCCGTGGGGTGGGGGCCCTCCACCCTCTGACCTTTGTGTTCCTGCCCCATCCTCACCCTCCTTCGGCAGGTGGTAGACCAGGGAGCGCTGCGACCCCCAACCTGGTGCCCCGGATGAGCAGGTATGCCCGCATCTCAGATAGCCACCTCTGCGCTGGTACTGGCGTGGCACCCGGGAGGCTGGCTGCAGGTGGGCCGGCTTGGTGCCAGCTTGCTTGTTTGCTCTGGGGGTTAGGGAGTTGTCATTGGGGGGGGCACAGGGGGGCCGGCCAGGAGAGATCTTACCAGGAGGCCTGTTTGCAGCAGAAGCCCCAACAGGAAGAAACCTTGGAGTTAACCTGGCTTCCCGGGGGGGGGGGGGATGAGGCGGGGAGGGTCAGTGGAGTTTCCTCTTGCCCCTCCACCCTCATCTCCTTTTTCCTAGGAGAGGCTAGAATGACCCCCCTCCCCCTCCCCGCCTTCTCTTTTCCCAGCTGTGACGGGCAAAGCAAGCCTGAGGCCCTTCCTGCCAGCGCCTTGTTTGGGCCCCCCCTGGAGTCGGCCTTTGAAAATGAAGCCTTCGCAGGTGAGTCCCCCTTTGCGGGGGGGGGTCTTTGCAGAGGGGGGAGGGGGCTGGGTCAAGCAGCTGCAGCTTCCCCAAAGCCCAGCGGGGCCTCCGGCCAGGAGAGGTGGGGGAAGACGGACAGACACACCCAACCGGCCCAGGTGGGGCTTCTGTGCTCACCCAGCTCACCTCTTCAGCCTGGAGAAGCAAGGCTGCCGGTGGGAGCCCGAGGGAAGGAGGTGGGGGGGTGTGGCCTGGCAGAGGTCAGAGGAGGGACCTGAGGCGTCCGAAGGAGGAGGAGGATGGGTCATGGGGGCCTCCAAGGGTTGCTCGTTCAAGGGCCCTTTGGTCTGCTTGGCCGTCCCTGGGATTCTGGGGCTGCTGTCCAACCCCAGTGTCCAGAGGCCTCCATCCTCTTCCTCTCCTCCAAAGCCCAGCCTTCCTCTCTAGGGAGGGCCGGGGGGAACTTCCCCAATTCGGGTCTTTGTAGGAAGGGAGGCACCTGAGCCTCTTTCCGAGGCCTCGGCGGCTGTTTTATCTGCCGTCTGTGGTGGGTCTCTTGATGGCCGATTCCTCCACTGTCCGTGGTTGACCCCAAGAGGCAGAAACTCTGTGCCCCTTGGGTAACTTCACGGAGGCTCCCGAGGCTGCTTGCTCTGCCTGTGGACCTTCGGGGGGGGCCTTCTCGGTCCTTCTTTGGCCCTTTCTCTTCCCTCTCTGCTCTTGGACTTCCCTTCTTGCGTATCCGGTGCATCTTCGGCCATTAGAGTCAGGAGAGCCCAGCGCAGGTTGCAGGTGTCCCTTCCTCCAGTTCCCAAGCCCTGCTCGTCTTCTCCCAGTCCAGCTTCCTTGACAGCTATTCCACGGAGAGGCTGATTCAGAATCAGAATAGAGCTGGGAGGGACCTTGGAGGTCTTCTAGTCCAACCCTCTGCTCAAGCAGGAGACCCTAGACCATTTCAGGCAAGTGACTGTCCAGTCTCTTCTTGAAAACTTCCAGTGTCGGAGCACCCACGGCTTCTGGTGGCAAGCTGTTCCACGGGTTAATTGTCCTCACTGTTAGGAAATTTCTCCTTAATTCCAGATTGCTTCTCTCCTTGATCAGTTTCCATTCATTGTTTCTTGTTCTGCTTTTTGGTGCTTTGGAGGATAGCTTGACCCCCCCCCCCTTTGTTGGGGCAGCCCCTGAGATATTGGTACACCGCCATCGTGTCCCGCCACGCCTCCTTTCCTCTATGTCCCAGTTCTTCCAACCCTTCTTTAATCATCCCAGTTGCTCTTCTCTGCACTTTTTCCAGCGTCATCTCCGTAATGTGACCAAAAGTGGATGCAGGATTCCAGGTGTGGCCTTACGAAGGCTTTGCAAAGAGCTCCTAATGCTTCTCTCGACCTTGATTGGATGCCTCTGTTTAGGCAACCCAGGACTGCATTACAGGAGCTTGTTTGGCGGCGGCTGCACACGCCCATTCAAGGGGTCGTCCAAGGCCCCCACGGCCCCTCCCCCAGGGGCTCTCTTGGAGCCGGCTTTTGCCTAGTCCCAGGATGGGGAACCTACGGCACGCGTGGCAGAAGTGGCACCCAGAGCCCTTTCTGTGGGCATGCGGCCCGTCGCCAGCTGGTCCTCGGGTATCTGGCGCTCTGGCGCACGCATGTTCCGGTTTGGGCACTCGGTGCCGAAAAGTTTGGCCATCCCTGGCCTAGTCTGTCCTTGCCCCTTTGGCGTCTCCTGCCTGAGCGTAAAACTTGGCTTTTCTCCATGGAATTAAATTTCCCATTGCCGGGTGGGGCCCGTCAAGACCCTTTTGAACGCGTAAGGGGAGGGGATGCAGCCCAGCCACCCGCCCCCTTGCCAGCCTGCTTCTCCGTCTTCTGGCCACCCGGGGGCTGCCTGGCCTGCAGGTGGGGTCCTTCCCTCCTCCTCCTCCCAGGAGCTTCCCCCCCCTGCCCAACACGGTCAAAGCCTGCTTTTATCACGGCTGAAGAACCGATCGGCTTCCTTCTAGCATTTCTTGGCCTTCCAGGGCTGGGGGGGGGGAAGGGGGGGGGATATAACAGGACCAACCCGTTTTGGCCTGCGATGACTCACGTGGGGAAGGAGGCCTTTTCTGACAGCAGGAAAGCAGAGGCTTTTACGCAGGCGAAAGGGGTGCGGTGTTCCCCGCGTGTGTCTTGCGTGTCTCCTCCATGGGGAGAAATCTGGCTTGCCTCTGGCAAGTATGCGGAAGAGGATTTGAAAGCAGGGAGAGGCCGGGAGGGCCCCCCGCCCTGCGGCCATCCCTTCAGGGGACCTTCCCTCGCTGCTTTTTTTATTTTATTTTTTTAATTTGATTTACAATGCGTTAAGCAATAGCCTTCATCCTTTTGTATATTTATACAAAGTCAGTTTATTGTCCCCACAATCTGGGTCCTCATTTCACCCACCTTAGAAAGGATGGAAGGCTGAGTCGACCTTGAGCCTTGGAGAGATTCGAACTCACAGAAATTGCAGACAACTGGAGTTAATCCCAGTGCTATCAGTCTGCTGAGCTATCCAGGCCCTGCTTGTCACCAGGAAGAGGAAACGGCTGCTGTCCATGGAGGTTCTCCGTCCAACGATGACAGTGAAAGTGGGCTGGGGGACTCTGCCAGCCGAGGGGAGCTTTGCCCCTGTGTCTGCTGAGGTCTGGACGCCCCTCAGCCTGGGAGCGAACGGCAGGCAGTGCCTTATGGTAGCACGGCCCTTCCCCAAGCGGGTCCTGGGCGGTCCCCGTCCCCCTGAGGTGACCAGGGCCAGAAGTCTTTGATGCCCAGGCCTCCCCCTGGGGAACAGGCTCTTGCTTCCCTCGCTGGCCTTCCCTGGCATTAGGCACTGGCTTGGCGTGGTGCCCGCTCTCCCGCTCGGTGCCAGCTGCCAGCTCAGCCCTTGAGCTGCACTGCTCCTGGCCCAGCTGAGCTGCAGGAGGAATCTGCCCCCATGGCCGGAGCTGCTGGCCTGGAGCCGCCTATGTACCTGGGATGGGTGTGGATGCTCAGCTGGCACCCTCCTCTTCTGCCTCAAGCCCACCCCCCTCGATGCCACCTTCCTTTAGTGAAAGGCCGGGCAGGTGGGGTGAGGTGCCAGCTGAGCTCCGGCCTGAGGAAGGCTGTGGCCCCCTGAGGGATCCCTGGGAGCGAGTCCGGTTTCCGAGGCTGGAGAATTCAAGGCTTTTGGGGAAAGGAGTCAGCTGGGCCCAGCAAGGGGGGGAGGGGCAAGCGTTTGTGCCAGCGATTCCTTCCAGCTGCAGTCTCAGCTTCCTGCCCTATGGCCCCCCCCCCCCCAGCCCCTTTTCACAGCAGCTGGCTGGGCCAGAGAGAACCGGCAGAGCGGCAGCGCCTCCTGGATCTGGGCACGGGGGCATCCTGGTGCCCAGACTGCCACGCTGGGGAGCAGGTCTGCCCTGGCGCTGGGCAAAGGAGCCGCAGTGGGGGAGGCAGGAGGGGGAGCTAATTTGATGGATAGATCCCTTGGTTGTGGCTGGTCCTCACTCCAGAGCCGCCTGTGGGGGGTGCCCGTGCCTGATGCCCACTGCAGAGGCACCCTGGCAGGGGAGCTTTAGGGCTGCAAGGGAGCCAGATCAGTGGATTTGAGGGGGAGGTCCAACCTTGGGCCACCCCTGCAGGTGGGGCATGGGGAACTGGTGTGGTGAGGCTGCTCCGCGTTGGCCTCCTTGTTCCTGGGGGGGGGGCAGTGGGCACAGCAGCCCCATCAGCCTCTCTACCCCAACATCGCTACTCTTTCGGCTGCTGGGGTGGGCACTGCAGCCCCTGACTCTATTAACTCTCTCCTCTCTCTCCTTCTGTCTCCCCACAGCCCCCAGAGCCTACCTGCTGGCCTCCAGCCCCTCCCCCTTCTCCTCCTCCTCCCCCGCGACCGCGGGGGCCGCAGGCCGGGACCCCCCCCCCCCACCTGGCCATGGGACCCTCCCCGGATTCCCGCCTGTGGAGCTCCCGGCCGGCCACGCCCCTGAGCCCCCCGGGCCAAAGGACCCCCAAGGGGGCCATCGTGTTCCGGGGCAGCCGCGGGACCCTTCTGCCCGAGGACAGACCCAACCCCTGGCTGCCTCAGCCCTCAGCCCCCCAGGATGCCCGTTTCGGGGCAGAGCCAGACTGGGCGGGATCCGGGGCCTCGTGGCCCCCTGCAGGGGCCCGGGCCTTCTCCACTTGCTCCCCTGACTTCTCCTCGGAGGCTGGGTTGGGGGGCCGGCGGCTCTGGGTGTCCCGGCCTCGGAGCCCGGCAGCCTCGGACGGGGCCCCTCGGACCGGGGAACGCGACAGCTGCCTCTCCTCCAACTCGGCCTCCTCCTCCTCCTCCTCTCCGGCCCCCCTCAGCAGCGGGGACTCCACCAGCCCCTCTCCCTGGGCCCCCCGGGGCCGCGACCTGGACAGCCGGGGCCCCTCTGCCTCCGATGCCTCCTCTGAGCACGGTAAGTAGGGGGCCGGCATGCCATGGGGCTGGGGCTTCCGGTGGCAGCAAGAGAGACAGAAGGGGGGGGAGGGAGTTACGCTCAGCCAAAGGCCCCTCTGCCAACTTTGCACCCCCCAGAGCCCCTCCCACTGCAGTGCCTGCCCCCTTCTGCCTGGGGGCCACAAGAGAGCCTCTCAGGATTGGCCATTCCGTCTTTTTTTTTTAATTTGATTTACATGCCGCCCTTCTCCGGAGACTCAGGGCGGCTTACAAGGCGTTAAGCAATAGCCTTCATCCTTTTGTATATTTATACAAAGTCAGCTTATTGCCCCCACAATCTGGGTCCTCATTTCACCTACCTTAGAAAGGATGGAAGGCTGAGTCAACCTTGAGCCTTGGCGAGATTCGAACCAGCAGTAAATTGCAGGCAGCTGGTCTTAATAACCAGCTTAATAACAGGGTGCCTTAGACCACTGTACTACCAAGGCTCTTGGGGGGGGGGCTGTCCCTTGGAGGGCGCTGCTCCCCACAACCTGGGTCCAGGCCCTGTGCAGAGGGCAAAGAGGAGCAACAGCAGCAGCTCTCAGCCCCTTCGTGCTCTGGGTGCAAATCCTGGCATTTGTGTAAAGAGGAACAGCATTCACGAACACGATTGGCCAGCGGAACTGCCTTCCACTGGGGGAGCCTGGTGGATGTTGGCACTGCTGCTTGTGGGAGGGGGCATGGGAGGCTTTCTCAGGCTGCGAGGAAGCTGCTTCCACTTTGGGTGGGGAGGGGGCAGCCCGTCTGCGGTTCCCCTTCAGTTACCCCCTTCCTTTGACCCGCAGCTGCCTTTCCCCCTTCGGCCCCACATGCCTGGCCCCCCACGGCAGCTCCTGTTCGGCGAACCCTCTCCAAGAGACCCTCGGCCATGTCGGCCAGCAGCCTTGGGGGCGAGACGGTGAGTGCTGCGGCCTCCTGCCGGGTGTGCAGGTGGGGTCTTCAGGCGGCCCTGCCCAACACGGACACAGCTGGGAATCCAAGAAGGGGCAGCCATGCCAGTCCTGGCCGTGGCACCACCTGTGCCCGCTGAGCCCAAATGCCCAGCCCTGCGTGCTCTGCAGGCCCTCCTGGCGCCCCTTTGCTCCCTGGTGCCAGTGGGGAGCATCTTGGCTGCAGGGGTCCGTTGAGAGAGGCCCAGCTGTTATGGGGCTAGGCACTGGGACCCCCCTGCTAAGCCCCAATGCTGAGGGTTCCCCACCAGCGAGGTCTGGGGGCTGGATGGACTCCTGCCCTGCAGAGGACGGGGGGGCAGGATGCTCTCGGTGCTCCCCGTGGCTGACCTCTCTTTCTCCCCCAGCCGCGCTCCTTCAGCCCTGCCCCACTGACCGCTCTGACCTCCTCCCAAAGCACCTCCGCCCTGACTGAGCGCGGCCTCTTCATGGCAGGCCAGCCGCAGCAGCCACCAGCCCTAGGTAGGTCCTCTCCGGCTGAGGGGGGGGGGCGTGGCGGGACCCTCCGCCTGGGCTGAGGGCCGGGTGGCTGCCAGAAGCAGCTGTGGGACTCTGCTCTCCTTCCTTCCGTGCCAGGCGTCTCCCGTGGGCCCTCCCCCGTGGTCCTGGGCTCCCAGGGCGCCCTGCCCGTGGCCACAGCCTTCACGGAGTACATCCACGCCTACTTCAAGGGGCAGAACGCAGACAGGTACTGGGCGGCAGAGGGTCAGGAAGTGGGGGGCCCATGGGGCTCTGGAGTGCCTCCAGGCATGCTGGGGTGCCCCTTCCCTGGCCTTGCACAGGTTCCACCTGCTGGACCAGCCAGCCGTTCAGCTGATTGAGTGACCCACTGAGACCCCCAGTCCTCCCTCCATCCCCAAATTCTTCCTGGAGGCCCCCAATTCTTCCACCTTGCTTGCGGGCCCCTGGGCAGGAGAGGCCCCTTTCCTGCCTTGCTCGGCACCCTTGCAACCGGCCGCAGTCTCTGCCCTCTTCAGTGCTGGGGGGGTTGAAGATGCAGCTCCCCATGGGCCCCTCCCTGTCTCCGCAGCTGCCTCGTCAAGGTGACCGGGGAGCTGACCATGTCCTTCCCGGCGGGCATCATCCGGGTTTTCAGCAGCGCCCCGGCCCCCCCGGTCCTCAGCTTCCGCTTGCTGCACACGGCGCCCATCGAGCAGTTCCTGCCCAACGCCAGCCTGCTCTTCAGGTGCCTGCAGGGAGGAGGGGCTGGCCGCGGTTGGGCTGGGGAGGACCGGGGGGAACGACGGAGGAAGCTCCGGAAGCCCCTGGCAGGCGTAGAGGTCGGAGGGGGCTGGGGAGATGGGAGGGGGGCTGCTGCAGTCGGAATCTGGCTGGTCAAACTGACCCCCCCCTCCCGGTCTCTCCTCTCCCCCCCACACCAGTGACTCCTCGCAGAGCGACCCCAGCAGCAGGGACTTCTGGCTTAACATGGCCGCCCTGACTGGGCACCTCCAGAAGCAAGCTGAGCAGTCAGGGGCCGCCCCATATTACAACGTGACCCTGCTCAGATATCAGGTGAGGCTGCGCTGGTGGGGTGGGGGGGCCGGTCAGCTGGGCATCCAAAGCCTTTGGCACCCAGAGCTGCAAGGGCCGGGGTGGCTCTCTGTCCAATGACCTCCCCAGGCTGACCGTGGAGAGAGGCCAGAGCAACCAGGAAGATGCTTGAACCCCAGTTGAGGGGTGTGCGGACCCCTCCCTGAACTGAACTCTGTGCAGTGGGGGCAAAGGGGAGGCCCTGGTGGTCCTTCCAGGAAGTAACATGGGGAGGGGGGCTGGGCCACTTGGGGTGTTTCTCAACTTCCCAGTCTCCTGGGATCTCCTGGTGGTCTCCCATTCAAGGACTAGCCACGTCCGACCTCACTTAACGTCAGAGCTGGGATGTGGTCAGCCAGGAGCTTCCACCCTCGGAAGACAACCTTGTTTTTTAATTGAGTGTACTGTGTGTGTGTCTGATTGTGGGTGGAGTGTTCTTAATAACGTTCCCTGGTTAAGATGATGGGGGGGGGATTCTTGGGGGTTTCTAGCTGGTGCATTAAGGCCGGGGGTTGCCTGTGGCCCCTGGGGGACCCTTCCCTCCCCATGGATATCTGGGGCTCTGACAGGGGGGATCTCCTGTCCTTTTGGACTACAGTTCCAAGAACTCCCAGCCGTTCCCCCTGCTTGCTTGGCACTTGGGAGGGTTGTGGCCCCTGCCCTCCCGGAGGCTGGGTGAGTTGGCCGGGGCAGGGGGCAGCCCTCTTCGGTTCCCCTCGGAAACAGACGGGGGGTGGGAGGGGGCAGGGGTGTGATGCACAGACGCACAGGTGTCCCTGACCCACTGGGCCTCCCCCCCTCCTTGCCACCCGCAGTACTCCCGGCAGGGGCAGGAGTGGGCCCCGCTGCAGCTGTCGGTCAGCTGGGAGTGTGGCTCGGAGGCCACCCGGGTGAGCGTGGACTACCGCTACAACGCCTCCGCCTTGGCCTCGGCCGTGGCCCTCACCAACGTACAGGTGCTGCTGCCCATCGAGGAGCCCGTGGCCAACGTCCAGCCCCAGCCCAAGGCCTGCTGGTAAGTGGGGGAGGGGGCGCAAGGGGAGGGCATTAAGAGTTAGGGTTAAGGGGGCGGTGAAGGCGGCACCTGGGCGAGACTTGGCAGCTGGCACCGGAAGGGCTTCAAGAGGCCCCGAGGGGTTCATTACCAGCCCGGCAAATCCCCAGGTTTCCTGCCAGAGAGCCGCTGCCCCTGGCAACCGAGGTGGAGGCAGGTTGGCATGGCTGGCATCTGCAGCTGCGGGCATCTCAGGCGGCCCTCAGGCTGGGCAAAGGGGCGCCCTTCCCCCTTGGTCGGATCCAGGGCAGGAGCCCTGCCAGCTGTCTCATATTGCCTCCCCCACCCCCACCCCCGGGGCTGCCAAGGCCAGGCCAGCGCTGGCTTTTCCTGAAGATGGCGGAGGGGCCCTTTCTGGGCTTTCCTTCTGGGCCCCTGGTGAAGGGGAGGGCTGGGCTTCGGACCCTCTGCCGCTGTCCTGGGCTCCCGTGCCTCTCCTCCACCAGGACTCCCCTCTTTGCGGCAGGGACCCTGGCCTTGTTCTACTGTTCGTTTCATTTTACTGATCTGCCCCAGAGAAAGTTAACGGTGCTTTGGCCTCTTCAGGCCCAGAGTGGAGTTTGGGGGGGAATTTTGATCCTCAGTTATCAAGCTGGCCTCAGACAGGACAAAACTGGAACGGGGTGGGGGGGTGGGGGGTGATGCCTCACTGTGTCTCCTGTCCCCCTCCTCTAACTGAGGGGAGGCCAAAGACCTCAGCCCCTCCCAGTCCGAGTCCCGGGCACCCTGAGGCCAGGGTGAGAAGGCCAATCAGAGGACCAGGATTGCAGTGGGGGGGGAGGGGGTTTCACATCCCTGGCAGCTGCATCCAGAGCACCCCCTGTGTCGCCCCCTGCAGGAATCTGGAGGAGAAGCGCCTGCTCTGGCGGCTCCTGGATGTGCCCAGCACCCAGGGCCAAGGAGGTGAGCGGGGGAGGGGGGGCGCGCAGGCTGGCCTTCCTCAACTGTGGGGAGGGGGGAGCAAGCACGCCTTCACCTTCCTCTCTCCCCACCCTCAGGGTCCGGCCGCCTCCTGGCCAGCTGGGAGCCCCTGGACGGCCCCAGCAGGCCCAGCCCAGTGGCCGCCCAGTTCACCAGTGAGGGCAGCACTGTCTCGGGAGCCGACGTAGAGCTGGTGGGCAGCGGCTACCGGATGTCACTGGTGAAGAAGAGGTTTGCCACAGGTGAGGGGGCCGGGCTGCCACCGAGGGTCCCTCTCACCCAAACAGGCTCCTGCCGTGCTCTCTCGGCTGGCAGGTGGGCATCCTGGGCCTGGGGGTATCTCTCTCCAGTCTACAACCCAGTCCTTTCAGCTGTCCCAAGAAGGCCCCGCCCCCATTTGCACCACTCAGGTGACCCTGAGGACACAGGTAAACCTCCAGGTGGCCTCAGGGACCGTCCAAAAGGATGCAAAGGACCAGCTCTGTCTGCAAAGAGTATCAGTCCTTCCATCCCCCACCATCCAGTCAGAGTTGAAGAAGCTTCTCAGATGAGAAGTGAAACATCTTCAAAGAAAAATTGGAAAGTCCAGTTGCCTCCTGAAAAAAGCACCTTTGGGGCAGCCGTGACCTGGAGGACTGAGCATCTCCACAGACATTTAGAATAACAGAGGAGGAGGTCATAGTACAGTACAGTATAGGTGGTACCTTGCTCAACGGTGGAGACTGTGAGATCTTGGAGTCCTACTGGACAACCATTTAGATAGGAGCCAGCCGTGTGCAGCAGTTGCCAAAAAAGCCAACACAGCTCTGGGCTGCATCAACAGAGGGATAGAAGCAAGATCACGTGAAGGGTTAATGCCACTTTATAAGGCCTTGGAAAGGCCACACTTGGAATTCTGCATCCAGTTTTGGTCGCCACGATGTAAAAAAGATGTGGAGACTCTAGAAAGAGTGCAGAGAAGAGCAACCAAGAGGATTAGGGGACTGGAGGCTAAAACATGAAGAACGCTTGCAGGGACTGGGGAGGTCTAGTCTGATGAAAAGAAGGACCAGGGGAGACAGGATAGCAGTCTTCCAATATCTCAGGGGCTGCCCCAAAGAAGAGGGAGAGTCAAGCTATTCTCCAAAGCCCCTGAGGGCGGGACAAGAAGCAACGGGTGGAAACTCATCAAGGAGAGAAGCAACTTAGAACTAAGGAGAAAATTCCTGACAGAACAATTAACCAGTGGAACCACTGGCCTCCAGAAATTGTGAATGCTCCAACGCTGGAAGTTTTTAAGAAGATGTTGGATGACCCTTTGTTTGAAGTGGTGTAGGGTATCCTGCCTAAGCAGGGGGTTGGACTAGAAGACCTCCAAAGTCCCTTCCAACTCTGTTACTCTACTCATCTAGTCCAACCCCCTGTTCAAGCAGGAGACCCTATAACCTGGGCAGGATCCAGCCATTAGGGGTGACAACCCTTTGCAGGGTCACCTGCAAAGATCCTTCCAGCGTGCCCATTGCAATTTGAGATACATCACTGTCCTTTCCCCCCCTCCAGCTAGTAATCCCAGACACACACAAACACACACCAGTCCCTGGGTGCTCTTTGCACACGGCCCTGCAGCTCCTTTGCCAGTGGGGTGCCCCGGCCTCCGTGTGTCCCCCAGTCCTAGCCAGGCTTTGCTCCATGCCGGTCCAGGTGCAGCCCCTCCCCCAGGAACTCAGACCGGGCAGCTGTTTCTAGCCTTCTTGGAAGCTTCACTGGTTTTCTTGTTGGAGTTTGGGGGGTGGGGGCAGAAATGTGGTTCTTGAGATTACCTGCAGTGCTAGAGCAGAAGGAGCCTTGGGTGGGATTCTCATCCTTACAGGAAGAAGTAAACCTTTCATAAAGCAGAGCTGCTCAACCTCGGCCAGCCTAGCTTTGAGCTGCTTGCATGGCTGCCTGGGGGATTCTAGGAGTTGAAGTCCACAAGTCTTAGGGACGCCGAGGTTGGGCAGCCCTGCTTTAAAGCGAGGGAGTGAAACCCCTAAGAATGGGGGGTTTGGCTGATTTTACTGTTTTTCCTTTGACCCATTGAGTATGTGGCGGCTCCTGGCAACTGCCGGCACAAGTCTCTGCAGGCTTCCTGGCAAAGTGTCAGAATTGTCCTCCTTCCTAAGGCTGAGAGAGAGAGAAAGAAGCCAAGGCTGCCCAGCTGGCATGCTGCCCTCCCCGTCTCTAGCCTGGAGCCTGAACCGGGCGCCCAGCGGGCTCTCCTGGGTGCTTGTGGTATCCACAACAGCCTCGCCTCGGAGTCTCCAAGGCCTCCTCCGGGCCTGATGGCATCTCGCCCGGCCCCCTCCAGCCTCTCTGCAGCTCTGCCCAGGCGGGGGGGGGGAGGGAGGGGGGGATGCCCATGCAGGAATCTAGGACCCCGGGGTGGGCAGAACCTCAAACCGACAGGAGGGACGTTCAGAAGCCGTTTTAGAAAATAGGATTTCCTATGTAAAAAGAGCCGTGGAAGGTTGAGGCCAACTCCCAGTGGAGAGGGTGGGTGGGGGGTTTCAATTGTCAGTGCAGGTAGTCCTCAACTTACGACCGCAACGGAGGCCAAAATTTCCATTGCTAAGCAAGGCAGCGGTTGAGCAAGTTTTGCCCCATTTTACAACTTTTCTTGCCACAGTTGCTAAGTGAATCACTGCAGTTAAGTTAGTAGCACAGTCGTTAAATGAATCCCTCTCCCCTCATGGACTTTGTCAGAAGGTCGCGAAAGGGGATCGCGTGACCCCCCTGCGACCATCATAAATGTGAGCCAGTTGCCAAGCCTCTGAATCTTGATCAGGTGACCCCGGGGAGGCTGCAGCGGTCATAAGTCACTTTTTTCGGTGGCCTTGTAGCTTTGAACGGTCACTAAACAAGCTGTTGTAAGTCGACGACTCCCTGTAACTGAGTTTAAACGTGCTCGAGATAAACACGTGTCCATCATCCGACCAAAATAAAATGAAATAAAAATTAAAATAAGCTTGAAAGGGCAGACTTGACGGACCCCTAAGTCTTTTCCTGTGCTTCCCCCTTGCAGAGTCTGCTCCCCCCCCCCCCCCCCTCTGCGGGCCTGGCCCCCTTAGCTGGAACCCCTCCCCCCAAACGACCCCCCCCCCCCCCCCCCCCCCCCTGGGTCTTTCGATTCTTCGTCAGGCCAGGCCTGCCAGATCCTCCCTCCTCTCGCATGAGCTCGGTTCCCCAGTCCCTGCCCATCTGGGTAGCCCTTCTCTGACCCTGGGCCAGCTTGACTGGGCCTCTTTAAGGGGACGCCCAGAACTGGGCACCAAGCCTTGTGAGGTGCCAGCCAGGCAGAGTAGAAGGAGACACTATTGAGATGGCGTTGACCACTCCGTTGGCCAGGGCTGCCTCTCATTGCGGTCAAGACCCCCAGATCCTCAGGGGTGGGGAGGGGTCTGCTACAAGCCAGGTCTCCCTGCTGGGCAGCAGCCTTGGCCAGAGAGGAAGGGAGTTGGGGGTGGGGACCCCACCTCTTGAGGACTGTTTTGACTGTGACACCCCCTTCTTTTCTCCTCCCCCCATCAGGAATTTATCTCGCCGGCTCCTGAACATCTGCGGCCCTGGGAACTTTTCTCTCGAAGTCTTCTGGGAGATAAAAATAATATATTTGTGTGTTTTAAATTATTTTTCGCCTGGATTTTAAACATTGGGGCGGGGGTGGGGTGGCAGCCCCGCTGGAGGCCTGGGAGGTCAGAAGAGGACGTGACTTGGACAGCCTGGAAGCCGCCCCCGGTCAGCCGTTCTCCATCCCTCCGCTTTGGCTCCGATTCTCCGTCCGTCTTTCGAAATGTGGCCGGTGGGCCCTGCCCCACTTGGGAAGCAGCCGAAGGGAAGCTTTGTCTTTTAATAAACAGGTTTGCTTTTTTAAGGAAAACGGATCCTCTGCGGTGATTCACAAGTGCAGGTGGGACTCCACTGGCAGGCATTCGTTGTAAGCGGTCCTCACACATACGACCGTCACAGCATTCCCCACGGTCACGTGATCAAAGCGGGGGTGCTTGGTGACCGACGTGTCCTTGGGACAGCTGCAGCTCCTCGGGGTCGCCCCTTAGGCCCGCTTCCAACAAGCCAAGTCAATGGGGGATCTGCTTAATGACTGCTTGGTTCATGTAACGGCTGAAGTGGTTCACTTGGCAAACAAAGGTCATAAAATCAGGCACAGTTCACTTAATGACCACCTTGCTTACCAATGGAAATTCGGTTCCCAGTTGTGGTCGTAAGTGTAATTGAATGGAAGGCGATGTACGCTTAGAAACAAAAGATGGGCCCAATGTGATGCAGGCGTACTGGGGGGGGGGCACTTTTTAAGAAGACCCCTGAGGGTTGTTTGGTGAAAGAACTGGAGCAGCAGAAATCGGCCCTTCGGCTTCAGCGGTGCTGCTGGCGTCCTGCCAGGCTTGACCAGGAAACGCACAGCGCTCTGAGGCGGAAGAAACCACCGAGGCCCCCGAGAACGGCCAAGACCCGAAGCCAGCCGGCCTGCCAAGGTGCAAGAGGAGGTTTCCCAGTGGGGGGGGAGGGAGGGAGGGAGGTTGGGCCCGGAGAGCAGCTGAGGGCACTGCCAGGCACCCACCCCAGCCGGCCACAGGAAGAAATTCAAACAATGCAGGTCCAGATCTTCCTTGAGAGCCGCTCTTGGTTTCCTCGTCGCTTTCCTAAAAAGGCCACCTGCCTTTTCCCAGGCTGAGGAGTAGCTTCTCAGGGAAAGCGGAGGCTCTGAGGAGAAATGCCACAGGCTGCCCTGGTCCCGAGTCAAGGGGCAGCGCCAGCCACGCTTGGATCCAGCCCAGCACCCGGCAGAGGTTGTGGGAAGGGTTAGTACCGCTTTAGGAGGCCTCGGAATAGACGGCCCCGTGTCTTGGTCGGCACCATGCCAAAAAGGAGACCTTGAGGCCCTAGGAAGAGTTCAGAGAAGAGGCTTAGGGAGCCGGAGGCTGAAAGGTGTGAAGAACGGTTGCAGGATTGGGCAGGCCTGGTTTAATGAAAAGAAGGCCCAGGGGTCACATGATAGCAGCCTTCCAATATCTCAGGGGCTGCCCCAAAGAAGAGGGGGTCAACCTCTGCCCCAAAGCATTTCAGGGCAGGGCAAGAAGCAGCGGATGGAAACTGACCAAGGAGAGAAGCAACCTAGAACTAAGGAGGGATTTCCTAATGGGGAGAACGATTCATCAGATGGAGGGGCTGCCCTCCAGAAATTGTGGGTGATCCAAGATTTTTGAGGCTTCCCTGCTTGAGCAGGGGGCTGGACTAGAAGACCTCCAAGGTCTCTTCCAACTCTCTTACTGTGTTTGAAGACACACACACACACATCCCCGGGCCCTTCCAGGGAGCGCTTGGAAGTGGCCTCCTGGGTGGGGGAACAAACTTCCCCTGGAGAAGCCCACGGAACAGGGACTGGTGGTGGTGGTGGTGGTGGTGGGCTCCCAAGAAGGAAGCACAGCCTGACTCCCCTGGGGTGCTCTAAGTGGGGAGGCGGTTACACTTGTTACTGTTTTATTGGGGTGCAAGTAACTTGGAGACATTAAGACCTGGAATCAGTTAGGATGGGGGAATCAAGCATGATGATAATAACTTTGTCATTGTACATGTATACACAGTATACCCATGCAACGAAATTCACTTAACACCCAAAGACCAGGTCCAACACACGTAACAATCCCCAAACACCCCCCCACCCACCCACCACAATTCCCCACCCCTAAACCACCCAAACATCCACACAACAGACCAAGTAATGCTGTCCAACAGCTCACTGATGGTGGCCCTTTAGTTCATTGTTGAGTACAATTATAGCTCCGGGATAAAAACTATTCAGAAGACGTGTGGTCCGAGTTTTAATTGTTCTGTATCTTCTTCCAGAAGGCAACGGTCCAAAAAGATTATAAGCAGGATGGGAAGAGCGTCTGAGAATGTTATGCAACTTTTTGAAACAGCAACATTCGAAGATGTCGTCCCAGGGCTGGTTGCTGGAGTCCGATGATATTCTGGGCAGTTTTAATGATTCTCTGTAGAGCCTTCTTTGTCCGCTACAAAGCTGATCCCATACCATGCAAGAATGCCGTATGTCAGGACACTCAATGGTGCTGCGATAGTAGGACAGGAGGAGATAGATTTATCTTCCTGAATCAAGGCTTGTTTAGGACTGCGCTGTGCCTTCTATTCAATTTATAGGTTCCCCCATCACACCAAAAAGGCAACTCTAGGTGGCTTGCAGAAGATAAAAAGATAAATACGAAGCCATTAAAATTAAGGGGATTTGCTATGCGGCTCCTCCTGAAGTTTTCCTTGCAGGAGGCTCAGCTGCCTCTTCACCCCGAGAGGCAAGTAGGGCCCACTCCCACAAAAATCATTTCCTGAAGCAATTTCTCACAGGACCCCCTGTTTCTGAGCCCCCCCACTCCCAAGAGTGGAGGTTAAGGAAAGGAGTGTGGCCGGTCCTTTTAATCTGCTCTTGAATCTGAACAGTGGGGGGTTCACTCTTTTCTAGAATTGCCCTTTTTCTGAGGACAGCAAATGTTAACAACTTCAGAAAATTTGCCCCAAGAAGTCTAAATAAAGGCAAAAAGTCAGCAAAACGGTTCAGAAACGAAGGAGTAGATTGTTAATCCAAGGCGGATTCACTTCCCCAAAGCCTTAGAAAGGTGCAATTCTGCAAAACAGGAATAAGTATTCACTGTTGTACATGAACCCACAAAAAGCCCCTCTTGCTCAAGGGAAGAGACCCCCTAACCAAGCCAGGAAAGACTCAGCAAGAGCCAGGATGAGGGGGCAGACACTGGGAGGCGGATAGCCCCCCACCCCCCACCCCTAGTCAGGAGACCGACATGGCGAAAACGCCTGAAATGAAGGCAAATGGACCTGGTCCCAAGATAATGCGGCAGGATCCGCTCTGGGTGGGCCACCTGGACCAGAGTTTGGTCTTCCGAACTCTCAGACTCATGCTGGAGCCCAAAGGCTCTGAAGCTCAGAAGAATAAATCTGGTCCCGGTGATGCATCCAGAGTGGTTCCTGCAATACTTAATCTTTAATCACTGAACATGACTGCCTCCAGCCACGGTTCGAGCTGTGAAAATACTAATCTTCTGATCAAGGAAATCCAGAATAGCCGAGTGTTCCCGGAAGTTTGGCATTCAGCCATCCGCAGATAGGCAGAGAGCCAAGAACAGATCTCGAAGGGTTTGGTTGACACCCAGATCAGCAGGAAACCCCTGGGGAAGAAGCCGGACCCCCGTGAAAGGGCTCCAGGGGAGGCCACCTGCCCCCAAAGCAAGGCTGGCAGGGCGGGCTGCTACTATCAATGCTGTTTGCCCTCCTTGCCCCTCATCCCTCGATGAGGTCACCTCGCCAGGTGAGTCTGGCTCTGCGGTTACCAAAACGCCACAGGAGTTTTTTCTTCTTCCCTTGGGATCTCTAACAGAATAACAGAGTTGGAAGGGACCTTGAGGTCATCTAGTCCAATCCCCTGCTCGAGCAGAAGAGAATCCATCCCATTCAGACAAGTGCCAGTCCAGTCTCATCTTCAAACCCTCCAGGGATGGAGCAGCCACAACTTCTGAAGGTAATCGCTGGCTAATTGTTCTCAAGACAGGAAGTTTCTCCTTAATTCTAGGTCGTTTCTCTCCTTGTTCTAGGTTGGTTCTCCCCTCTGCACAGCCCCCCCAGAGGGTCAAGCTTCCCCCCACATTAAGATGGGGAGAGGAGGTGGGTCTGGGCCACGGCTGAGAGCTGCATTCCCGCCTGGGCTAAAACGGGCTGCCAGCAGTTGTAGCTTTCCCTCCTCAATTGCTGCTTAGCAGAGTTGCATGGTTTGGTTTGGTTTAGTTTAGTTTAGTCTGATTTGTATACCGCCCTACTCCCGAAGGACTCAGGGCGGTGAACAGCCACAAGATAAAAACACATAAATACAAAATTTAAAAACAGAATAAAACCGAATTAAACAATTTGGCCGAAGACAGATTTAAAAACACCCCAATAAATTAAAAACAAATTAAAATTTGCATTTTAAAAGGGAAAAAGGGAAAAATTAGGCCAGGCCAGCATGGAATCTTAGAGGTCATCTAGTCTAGCCCACCTCTGGGGAAGGAGGCCATGTCATGTGGCAGCCTGTTCCCCTGGCTGCCAGCTGCCACTTTATTACTTCCCCTTTCTTCTACCTTTCACCTCCTGGTTCTGGCCCTGCCTTCTGGAGTGACAAAGACTGAACCTTTCCAGCTATTGGCAGAGTCTGATCCTTTCCCCCCACCCCTCACTTCCATCCCCTTCAGCCTTCCACATGGGGCCTGGTCCCACTTCCTTCCAGTCCCGTTTCGGGCCGGACTGTCGTGGCCAGAACGACTCCAGCTTCTCTTTTGTCTTCGCCTTCCTGCTCCCCCAACCCCCGTTACCCCTCTCCTTTCACAGAATCTCCCACCCTTCCTGGATTCCCAGCGGCTGCATCAGTCTGGCTTCCCTTCCTGGTTGAGGTTGGGTTCCCACGCAGGTGAGTTTTGGTGTCAGAGCAAAGGCAAAGACTAAATCCAGAGGAGGGGGGCTTTTGTCAGTATTCCCGGGGCCAAGACCCCCTTCCTGACCTCTCAGGGTGACCGGCCAGAGAATGGAAGAGCCTGCCTGCCTGTCAAGGGAGCCTGTTAGCTGACCCATTGCTGAGGTCATGAGGAACCTCCAGCCGGCAGGGGTTGGACTAGAAGGCCTCCCTTGACCCTTCCAACCCTAGGATGCTAGGATTCTTGCTGGACCCAACCTAGCAACCCTTTTATCCAAAGTCCAGGACGGAGGGAACAGCCACGTCCTTTCCAAACTTTACTTTTCATGGTCACAGGGCACCACTCCCCAAATTTGTGCCTGCTTACCCAATCAATAGTCACCTGTGGTTTGTGGGTACCCCCACTCAGCGCTGGCCAAGTCTTCTGGACCAGGTAAAGTTCCAGCAGCTACTTCCGTCCACCGGTACTTCTCTCCCTCAAATATTTTGGGAACCCCCAACCTGCCAGCTGTAAAGAATCTTCTCCCGCTTTGGAGGCCCCCTGGTCTTTCCTGGCTCTGACGCTCAGCCCGTCCAGAGCCACCTCCCAGCACCTGCCTGGGGGCAAAGATGACACAAAACGCAGGTGACATGAGCCACCTTCAAGGGTTGTATCACAAGTGAGAAAATGGCCACCCCTGGACGGGCCTGAAGGACTGCGGGGGAGGCGGAGGTGGGGCCGGGCAGAGGCCGGGTCTGCGGGGCTCCTGGCGGCCCCTCCTGAGAGCCCCTCGGGATGCGAAAGGCTGGTCGGGCGGCTGCTGCCCCCTCAGGGCTGACTCAGGGCCGGGAGGGAGGCGCAGAACCTCCGGAGCCAAAGCCCTCCGGCGCCGTCCAAGCGAAGGCCGCCCCGCCCGTTCCGAGGCCCCGCGGGAGAGCAGAGCAGAGCAGAGCAGAGCAGAGCGCAGGGCAGGCCGGGGGGCTTCAGCGGCCCCCAAGAAGGGGCGGCCCCGGCTCCCCCTCGGGCTGCCTGTCCCGCGCGGAGGGCCGGCGAGGGGGCGGCTTCCTGCCCGCGGGACCCCAGCCTGGCCGGCTCCCCCGGCGCCCCCTCCGCCGCCCCTGGGCCCCGGGGCCCGGGTGGGGTCGACGCCTCCGGGGCGGAGCCAGCCGAGGGAACCTGCGAGCCCCTCCCCGGCCTCGGCCCCGCCCCCTCTTGCCAGGTGGGAGCAGCTGCGGCGCCGGAGGGAGCGAGCGCGGCGCCTCCAGGTAAGGCGGCCACTCCAGCCCCCCTCAGCCCTCGGCGGTCCGGGCGCGGTTTTGGCCGGGGAGGCGGCGGGCGCGGCCAGGCAAGCAGCCGCGGAAGCCCCCTCGGGCCGACCGGCTCTACCGGCCGATTGGGCGACCCGGGGCAGGTTGCGGGGCGCCGACTCCCCCGGCGGAACGGACCCGGCTCAATCCCCCCGTTGGTGGCTGGAGGGGAGGGGGCTTTTGCTGGCCAAGCCGCGCTTCCCTTGGGGGGGGAGAGGGAGGGGGCTGGCCGCGATGCCCTCAAAGGCGGGGAGGGATGGCGGAGTTGTGGCTTGTGAGCGCCAAGGGTTGGTGGGTTGGTTGGTTGTATGCAGGCTTCATTATTTTTACAAATAAGTCAAGGGGGCCAACCCTCCGACGCTCTTTCGTGCTCCTATTTTCCCGCAACAACAACCCTGTGAGGTGGGAGGGTCTGAGCGTATGGACTGAAAAACTGGTCCCCTCTAATGAAGGAGACTGACTTTATTGGAACGGGCGCTTGCACCCCCCCCCCCCAGGATTGTTTAACTCCACCCCCCCCCCCCACTTTGGCCATGCTGCTTGATGGGCTTTGAGATCCAATGTCTGGGAGGGTCCGGCTCCCCCCAGATGGGAAGGAAGACAGGTCGCCAGCCAGGCAGGACCACCCCCTGCCCCCACCCCCACCGCTGGGGCCAGGCAGGAACCTCCAGGGCCACTGGCTGCCTGCTAAGACCTGGCATCAGGAGCAGATAATCCTGTTGGTCCCTTTCTCTGTATATTGGCAGGAAGAGGGCATTCAGCCTGGCCTCACCCCCCCCCCTTCGAACCTCCGAAAAAGTGAGTTTGCCTTGTTTTAAGTCCCCGAGGAATGACAAAAAGCTCAAATTACTTTTGTTTTGTTCTTTAAGAACATAGAACAACTGATGGTTTTGTTCCAGAGGAAAAGGTTATCGTGCCTGTGGTTGGTCGCGACCGTTTGTTTTACTAAGAAAAACTAGATTTGGAGGTTTGCAACACTTCCTCTGGCAATCAGGTTTCGGCTGCTTTGCATCATTGCACGTTTATTCCGCTGAGAAGAGTGAAGGGGGGGGGGCTGCCCCACTATCAGTTTCTGAGACTCCACTTTGCGAGGCAGGGCCCCCTCCTCTCTGCTGCCATCAGGAAGGTCCCTTCCCCAGAGTCCCTGCAGCCATCAGCGCTTGCCCAGGTGGCATTGCCCGCTTCTGGGAGCAGAAAGGGGGGGAGCCTGGCAAAATGGCCAAGGAGAACTCCCCGATGCCTGTTCCCTCTCTCAGCTGCTGACCAATTTCCCCTTCTGCTACTTTCTTCAAATACAGAAGTGTTTTAAAAAGTAAATGTGCAATTTTCTTTAAATAGGAAGTGGCTTTACATTTGAATCTTTGCATTCAAATAGCTGATTTGAAAATAAAGGAAGGTCTGCAAACTAATTGACAAGACAGGTTATGTGTTTGGAGTTGCACTCTCCAACTCCCTTCAGTGCCATCACCTCTAAAATAAATAGCTCAAGGATGGGACAATGGCAGCCAGATTGGCAAGATGCCCGTGCCAGGGCCTCGGCCTTCACACCTGAAGGGGCTCAACGCTCCCCCAGACTCCAGATGCAGCCCCTCCCATTGATTCCAAGAAGGGAGGTGTGCTGCTGTGCTTTAGAACGGGTGGGGGTGGGGGTGGGGGTGTCCAACTCTGGCAACCTTAAGACTTATGGACTTCAGCTCCCAGAATTCCCCAGGCAGCTGAAGTCCACAAGTCATAACTTTGCCAAAGTTGGACACCCCTAAAGCAGAGCTTTAGAAATTGCTTCCTTTGGGGTGGGGGGAAGCAGTCCCAAAGGCCCCCTCCCCTCTGCAGAGGAGACCTGGGTTCCTCAGATGCCCCCCCCCCTCTGCAGAGTGATGTCTGCTCCTTTGAAGGAAGTGAGAAGCGGTTGCAAAGTGGTTTGGTTTGGAAAAGGGAGACAAGGACAGTCTTTGATCCTGGGAGGAAACACAAATCCCAGAGTGGGCCGTGCAGAACTGGTTTTCTTTTCTCCCTGCTGCCACAGGAAGGGGCCTGCTTTGGGTTGTAACTCCCCCCCCCGGGCCCCGTTTCAGCAGGAAGCAGATCTTTGCCTTCCCAAGACATCCCCCACCCCCTCCTGGACCTGACTGCCTTGGGGCCACCGGCCTTCAGAGACTCCCAAAGGTCTTGGAGATCAGCTGCAAAGGGTCTGGGAGCTTTGGGGGAGGAGGCTAACCCTACCCCCCCTGCTCTTCCTTGGGCCACTCCCTGCGGCAGAGGCTGCCTGTTTCAGGGGCTGTTGCTTTTTACGGGGGGGGGGGGGAGGGCTGAGTGGCAGCTGGGGGCTTCTGCCCTTGGAGGGTGTGAAGGGGGGCGGAAAGCAGAGGAGAGCCAGGAAATCCCCAGGAGGAGGCTGGCTGGTGCACCATTCGGCCTTCAAGGTGCACAGAGAAGTTGCTACAACAGTGAGGAATGATGCTGGAGGGACAGGGGGCCTCCTGAGGCCATGGAGCCCATCCCATGCAAAGGCTCGGTGTCAGCACATCAGCCAAAGGGAGACATTTGTAGCCCTCCCTCTTATTTTTGAAAAATGTTCAGGTGGAATCTGCAACCTGGGTGGCTCTGTGTGTGTGTGCACAAAATCTCAAAGGGGGTAAAGAGGTCAACACCTTTCACACACCCCTCTTTCTCCTTCTCTTTCTCCCTCTCCTCTCCTCTCCCCCCTCCAATGCATTGATGGTTTGGCTTTAAAATGAGAACAAAACATCAGAAGAGAAGCTGGGTGGGACCCCTGGACCACGTAGCCCATCGGCCTCTCCTCCCCGTGGCCCACCTTCCACTGCCCACCGGTCTTCACGGCCATCCAAGCCAAGAGCCACCCCACCTCCATGAGTCCCACCCTTGTTGGAGGCCCTCCCCCACGGGGGGGAGGGAAACGCCACAACTGAATTACGGCTCCCTTTGGCCTCTCTGGATCCTCCCCAGGACGCTGGGCAACTGACTCCTACTTATGACGGTCGCAGTGTCCTGGGGTCGCGTGATCTCCTTTTGCGACCTTCTGACAAGCAAAGTCCATGGGGAAGCCGGATTCACTTAACAACCGTGGCAAGAAAGGTTGTAAAATGGGCCGAAAACTCCCTTAAGATAGATTTGGGGCTGGGTTGTGGTCGGAAGCTGAGGATGCGTCTGCCTTGTGCCTGAGGGCCATGCGAGGGGACGTGCGCAGGGCTTCCCTTGCATCAGGCTGGAAACTCATCCGGTGGGGGGGGGGGCAGGGCCGGCAGGTGGAAAGTTTTCTGGGCTCTGCCTGAGGCTCCCTCGGCTGCGGCTGCTGCTGCCCGTCTGCCTACCTGGCCAGACCGGCTTGGAGGAGCCCTCTGCGCATGGCGCGGTTGCTCTGTGTGGTGACACACAGAGCAATCGCAGCATTTGTCCAGGGTGAGGCCAGGGCACCACGCCAGAGACGGAGAGCTCCTGAAGCCTCTCCTGGCACGGCTGCAGCCGGCCCTGAAAAGGTCAAATGCCCGCCCTGGGGGAGTGGGTGCGGGTGGAGAGATGTACGCACACACACACACGCACGCACACACACACGCACGCGCACACACACGCACACACACACAGAGTGGGTTGCACCTGCTTTCCCACTCCCTGCCCTGCCCTCCTGTTGCTGCTGCTGGTCTCCCTCCCTGGGTTGCTCTGGGCCTCTTTGGCAGCGGGGCGGGGGGTTCCTTCTCTTCAGAGCCCCCCCAAGCCTCCTCCTTCCACTTCACTGCCCTGTCCTTCAGCTCCCCCCCCCACATGTGATTTCAGGTCACTCATTCGGGGGTCTTGCAGGGATAAAGTCCTGGAGAATCCAAGCCCCCCCTGAAGACCCTCAAGGGGAGGGGGCCGCAGCCCTCTGCCCATGAGCTCTTCTCCTCCAGAGGTTTCCTCCAGCATTCAACTGAACCCTCCCCCCCCCGGATTGAAACCCAGGCAATGGGCCCTCCCCTCCAGAAGGAGAGAAAGAGGGCCGTGCCCTCATGGGCATCCAGAGACCTTGGCTTTCTCCTCGTCGTCCAACCTCACGGGAGGAAGGCCTGGAGGGCGTCCGAGAGATCATCTAGTCCCACCCCCACCCAGGCCCTGTCCCTCTGAATTCCTCTTGACTTCCCAGAAGGTAAACCCAGGCCTTGTGGCTTGGCAGAGCCAGCCTGCTGCCCTTCTGCCCAGGATCGGGGTCTTCCCCTCTGCTGGGGGTCCCTGTCACTGGTGGGTGGGGGCAGGCAGAAGCGGAGGGGCCGGGGTGAACCTCCCTGGTGGGCCTTCTTCCTTCGGCCCTTCCAGGCTTGTGTTTGTGTGTGTGTAGTCCTCAATTTATGACCACATTTGACCCCAAAATTCATGTTGCTAAGTGAAACATTTGTTAAGTGAGCTTTGCCCTTTTTACGATCTTTCTTGCCCCCGCCATTAAATGAATCGCTGCAGTTGTTAAGTTAGCAACATGGTTGTTAAGTGAATCTGGCTTTCCCAGGGACTTTGCTTGTCAGAAGGTCGCAAAAGGGGGTCACGTGACCCACACGGGCACTGCGACCAGCGTAAGGTGGGTTGGTTCCCAAGCGTCTCCATTTTGATTGTGTGACCATCGTGGAGGATGCTGCAATGGTCGTAAGCGTGAAAAATGGTCATAACTCACTTTTTTCAGTGCTGTTGCAACCTTGAACGGTCACTACGTGAACCATCGTAAATCGAGGAGTGCCTGTGCACACACACACCCCCAACGCGCACACTCTCGGCAGGCCTTCCTTCAGAGCAGGCCCCGGAGGGGAGGGGAGGGGAGGGGAGGGGAAGGGGTCCGGCTGGCAGGGAGGGGCTGTTGTGACTCTGGCTCTCCTGCCAGGCGATGGAGCCCGAAACATGTCAGGAGGGGAAGGGGAGCCTGGGTGCAAACCCCCCTTTCGCTCTTTGGCAGCAGCCCAACCTCATCCCATCCGCTAATTGGCAAGAAAGGCTTCCAATTATCCGAGTTCTTGCAAAACGGCTCCTGCGTGGTGGCAAGGACACCTTTTGCCTCCAGGGGCGCCAGCGGCGTCTCATTGAGCCTCCCCTTGTGAAGGGGGTTAGTCTAGAAGACCTCGAAGGCCCCTTCCAGCTCTATCACGATTCCCATTAGCGGCCTCACCAATTTCTTTTGGCACCGAGGTGGGTCTGGGACGGTGCTGAAGCTGCAGTATAACTTTTTTTTACAGACTCCTTTCGTTTTCTCAAAAAAAAAAGAAAAAAGAGCCCAATGCTCCTTTACTATCATATGCAGGCAATCCTCAACTTACGTATGAAATTGGAAGCAGAATTTCCGTTGCTAAGCAAGCGGTTGTTAAGTGAATCATAGGGTCCTTAAATGAAGCCAGCTAGGAAGGTCACAAATCACGGGCACCCTCGGGGACGCTGCATTTATCGTAAGCGCAGGCTGGTGCCAAACACCCAAATTTTGATCATGTGATTGTCAGGGGAGGAGTGCTCTGATGGTCACAAATACGAGGACTTGTCGTAAGTCACGTTTTTCAAAGTTGTAATGTTGAACCGTTGCTAAAGAAATAGGTTGTAACCCGAGGGCTGTTTCTTTTGCTCTAAGCGCGAGACGAATCTGACATTTATTCCCCCAGGGGATTTGAGTGGTTTAAAATTAAATTAAAATGTATTACATTTCAGAAATTACATTTCAAAATTAAATTAAAAAAATTTTTTTTTTAAAATTACTTCAATCGGAATAGAGCTGGAAGGGACCTTGGAGGTCTTCTAGTCCAACCCAAAGTATTACTTTTTAAGGACTGCATGCCAGCTGCTCTTCCCTTCTCCCCATCTGCTCCCCTCTCTCTCTGGGCCGCCTCTGTCTCCCCAAACGTTGCTCCCGTCCCCCACGCAGGTGAGAGCCCCAGCCAGGCCCCCCTCCTCCCCCATGCCCCCCCTTCCCACAGCCAATTCTGCCCTCTTCCTTTCCAGGAAACCTCTGGGGAGCAAAAGGCAGAACTGCTGAGGGGAACCCCGGTTTGGGCTCAGGAGAGTCCCTGGAAGGAGGAGAAAGCAGCACCCGCTGGGGTGGCTCTCCCCCCCCCCCTCTCTGGGGCTGCACCTGGTTCCCGGGGGGGGGGGTGAGAGAGGCCCCTGGGCAGAGGAGAGGCGCTCCTGGGAGACGCCCCGGGTGTGGCTGGGTCTCTCTCTCTCTCTGCGCACAATAAATCCTGTGGGTGGAGAGAATCTGTCAGCTCCCCTAAGCTTCTGGGTTGTTTTCATCGAGACAATGATAATTTGGTGTCTTAGCAGCTTAAAGACATCTTAATTGCATATATGTGAACTTTTCCGGATGCTTTTACTCTTCCGACCGTGTCCTGCAGTCTCCGACTCACAGCCGGGTGATGCAACGCGCCTGGCAGTGGGTTCAACCTCCCTCCTCCCTGGCTTCTTTTCCAGGTCACGATGTCACGACGCTGGGGCTATAAAGTGGAAACCCTCGTCCTCAGCGTGGTCGGGTTTAGCTGCCTGCTCTTCCTCCTCCAGTCGCACAAGAGCAGCCCCCTCCTGGAAGTGGCAGAAACCCCGGTGTCTCCCACGGCCACCACCCCCAGAGCCCCAGAGCCTCTTCCCGAGTGCCGGCAGAACGCCTCTGTGGCTAACATCTCCGGCTTCACTGAGCTGCCCGACCACATCAAGGACTTCCTGCGTTACCGCCACTGCAGGGCCTTCCCGCTGCTGCTCGACCTGCCCGAGAAGTGCGGTGCCCCGGAGGCCTCCCACCAGGTCTTCCTGCTGCTGGCCATCAAGTCCTCCCCAGCCAACTACGAGCGCCGCGAGATCATCCGCAAGACCTGGGGGCAGGAGCGCACCTTTGCCGGCGTCCACATCCGGCGCATCTTCCTGTCTGGCGTGGCAGCCAACGCCCGGGAGGCGCGCAAGCTCAACCAGCTGCTGCTCCTGGAGCACGCGGAGCACGGCGACGTCCTGCAGTGGAGCTTTGTGGACAGCTTCTTCAACCTCACCCTCAAGCAGCTGCTCTTCCACGCCTGGCTGGAAAGCCACTGCCCGGGTGTCCGCTTCGTCTTCAACGGGGATGATGACGTCTTCGCCAACACTGACAACATGGTCCACTACCTGCTGGGGGTGCCCGGCGCTGGGGATCAGCACCTTTTCGTAGGCCAACTCATCACCAACGTGGGCCCCATCCGTGAGAAGTGGAGCAAGTACTACGTGCCGGAGCAGGTCACCTCCTCCAAGTCCTACCCACCCTACTGTGGGGGTGGGGGGCTGTTGATGTCCGGCTACACCTGCCACGCCATCTACCAGCAGGCGCTGGGCATCCAGCTGTTCCCCATCGACGACGTCTACCTGGGCATGTGCCTGGAGAAGGCAGGGCTGGCGCCTGCCTCCCACATAGGCATGCGGACGGTGGGCGTGAGGGTGCCCTCCTCCAAGCTGGAGTCCTTTGACCCCTGCTACTATAAGGAGCTGCTCCTGGTACACCGGTTTTTGCCCTATGAGATGCTGGTGATGTGGGAAGCCATCCACCAGCCGGACTTGGTCTGCGGGAAGAAGGTGGAGATTTACCAGAGTTAGTGAGGTGTCATGAGGAAGGGGTGCTCTGCCTGCTGGGGGAGGGGGTTGCCCTGGTCTGGAAGGGCCCCAAACACTCTTGCTGCAGGGGCTGTCGCAAGGAGTTGTGACCAGGGGTTTGGCTTGGACAATCTGCCCCATGCACTCCCTTCCTCAGAAATGCAAGAGAGGCTTTGGGAGTGCTGGCATCAAGCTGGCATGAAACCCGGGGCTGCCGATGTCTTGGGAATTGGGCAACCCTGCCTCATTACTCGCTGGCCACAGGATCCATGGAGGGTGGCCGATTCCTGTTGCCCAAATCCATCCTGCAATGACAAAGTCCCCCCAGATCCCTTTCTGGACGGTGGATGAGCCTGGCCCTGGGGGGGGAGGGTCATGGGTCAGTGTTCTCATGGGGGAGGGGGCATGACCACCTTCTGGGTTCCACCCCTTTTCTAGAAGACAAGCTGCAAATGGGGGTGAGCATCACAGCCTCCCAAGTCAGACTGATGTACACTGATTGTAGTGCCTAGTTTGTCCCTCTTCCTCAAGGGAATTATAGCTCCAGTCTTGTTTCCTCCTGAGGCAGGCTGAGGGGCCACCCAGGCCAACTCTGCTCAGGTGTAAGGCAAGCCCCCCCTCCCTTCGCAATTGGATAGCAGAGAGGCCAGCCCACAAGGCCCCTCTGGGTGGGTGGCCGGACCCCGCTGGGGGGCTTTGTCCCCACTTGCTCTCTCCAATCTCTCAGGTGCCAGAATGTGCCTCTGGTGCTCACCTTTCTGCCTGGGGGGCAGCTCAGGTGGCCCCCCTCCCCTTTGGAGAACAAGCAAAGGCTCTTCAGCTGCCAGGAAAGGCCAGGAGGAGCTGTGGGGAGGGGCTCAGTTCCTGACTTAGGTGGACCAGAGTTGTGGGAGGATGTTGGGGGGTCGCATCCTGGCCTAGGCTCAGCCCCCACCCGCAGCTGCAGGGCCACTGCCCCTTCCCCACAGAGCTTCCCCACCTGGTTCTAGCCTACCTCCCTGGGTCTCTTGCCTTCTGTGAGGTGTGGGGCAGTCCTTTCGGTCCCCCACCCCCTTTTGAGCCAGAAAGGCTGAACCTCAACCGCAGGGTCTTTGCCCATCCACCCACGGATGGAAAGGGCCTCTCCAGAGCCTTTGCGTTGTTGCCTTCGTGGCCGGTGGGGGGAGGTGCAGGCCATCTTGGGCAGGGGTCCCCCTGGGCGGGGTGGGGCGTGTCCCCCATCCCGGAGCAAGGCCGGGCCCCGGTGCTGCGTTGCTCGACCAACCTGGCTGCATTTCTCCCCCAGTGCAGGGAGCCTCTTGACCCTCAGGGAACCGCTTTTCCGGAGGGGTGACCCTCGAGTGGGGGGTGCCCTCCCCTCTTTTGCGGACTGATGAAAGAATAAAAATGCCTGGAGAGTTCTTAAAATCGTTTCTTATCGGCAAAGGGAAGTTGAAAGCAGCCGCCACTCCTTTGGGCTTTAGCCAGCTGCAAAGCCTTCGGACTGAGCTCAGGGTGCAGGTGAAGCGGCCAGGGGTCAAAAAACACTCTGTGCAAGACACCCCTGTGAAGTTGCTCAGCAGGCCTGTCTACTATCGGTGCTACCGACCTGGTCTTGCTCTGGAAATCATGGGGCCATCTGGGCGTTTCCCTGTTTGCACACTGTCTTCCACTCTCACTCCTTGCCCAGTTACTGGGGCCCTGAAGAAGTTGTGCAACTGAACCGGCTGCTTTCTGGTCGCCCTTTAAGGGCCCGGCTGAAGCGAAGGGCCGGAGCAACAGTGGCAGGTGGGCCCCGTTGGCCACGGCTCCCTGGACCCGCTCTGGAGCCTCCTTAAGCAAGCCAGATGTCAGGTGGCAGGTCGGCCCCCTGGAACCTTTTCTCTGCTTTCATTGCACCTTTTATGACTTCGTCCTTATGTACTGTTCCAGTAAAAGGTAGTTATTTATTTTACGATCTTCCTGGCTTTGGAGGTGAAATGGCACTGAAATGTAATAAACAGGCTGATGAAAGGAGAAGTTTCACCTTGGGTTGCCTCTCTGAACCTAGAGGATGGCAGCCTGCGTCCTGGAAAGGAGGTGGAGGTACTCAGCTGTTACCCGCGGGCGGGCGGGCGAGGCGCAGCACCACACCCAGATCCCACTGTTGACACTCCAGGACTCCGTCTGAGGTGGACTTTAGTCCCCATCCACGGGAGGGCTGGGCATTGCGGAAGCCGACCTCTAAGAGCCTCTGGGAAGGTAAGCCTGGCAGGTACTTCGGGTTCCACCCTGAGAAGCGCTTCAGACCTCTGGACAATCTTATTTGGCACCCACTTTGATGACAACAAAAATAAAAATAAACATCCTCCCCTCCAAAAGGCTATAAATGCAACCGTAAATTTATTTATTTATTTTATTTTATTTATTGTCATATTTATATGCCGCCCTTCTCCCGAGGGACTCAGGACGGCTCACAGAATAAAACAACCCAACAATAAATAGAATTAAAATGTTAAAATCCAATTTAAAAACCCCAAATCCCCCAAATTAAAATGCACGGCAGATCAGGGAATTTGCTGAAAGAGCCATGTCTTTAGGTTGGCGCGGAAGGTGCAGAGGTCGGGGGCCGTCCGGAGCCCAGTGGGTAAACCATTCCAGAGGGTCGGTGCGACCACAGAAAACGCCCTCATCCTGGGGGCCACCAGCCGACACTGTCTGGCCGATGGGACCCAGAGGAGGGCAGTCCTATGTGAGCGCACTGGGCGGTGGGAGGCCGGTAGGAGGTAGTCCTGCAAGTATCCTGGGCCCATGCCATGAAGGGCTTTATAGATGAGCACCAGCACCTTGAAGCGGATCCAGAGGACCACCGGCAACCAGTGCAGCTCGCACAACAATGTTTTTATATGGGAGTAACGGGAAGCACCCGTAACTACCCGCGCGGCCGCATTCTGGACCAGTTGGAGCCTCCGGGTGCACCCCAAGGGCAGCCCCATGTAGAGGGCATTGCAGTAATCCAGCTGAGAAATAATGAGAGCATGAGTGACCGTACAGAGGGCATCCCTGTCTAGGAAAGGGCGCAACTGGCACACCAGGCGAACCTGTGCAAAAGCCCCCCTTGTCATGGCCGTCAGATGGTCCTCCAAGGACAGCCGTGAATCAAGGAGGATGCCAAGATTGCGAGCCCTTTCAGAGGGAGTAAGCAACTCCCCTCCCATCAAAAGTGATGGGGTGACTAGATCAGGAGATGCCGAGCTACACAGCCACTCGGTCCTGAAGGGGTTGAGTCTGAGCCTGTTCCTACCCATCCAGATCTGCACCGCCTCTAGGCACTTAGACATCACGGAAAGGGCATTCCTGGGTTGATCCGGGGTGGAGATGTAAAGTTGGGTATCATCAGCATACCGATGATACCTCACCCCGAAACTATGAATGATCTCACCCAGTGGCTTAATGTAGATATAAAAGAGCAGGGGGGAGAGAACCGACCCCTGCAGCACCCCACAAGTGAGGGGCCTCGGGGAGGATCTCTGACCCCCCGCCCAGACAAACTGTGTACGGCCCGAGAGGTAGGAGGAAAACCACTGTAAAACAGTGCCCCCCACCCCTAACCCCCCGAGTTATCACAGTAAGATACCATGGTCGATGGTATCAAAAGCTGCTGAGAGGTTAAGTAGCACCAGGATGGAGGAATCACCCCCATCCCGGGCCCGCCAGAGATCATTCACCAGGGCGACCAATGCTGTTTCCGTGCTGTGTCCACGCATGAAGCTTGATTGTTATGGGTCTAGATAATCAGTTTCCTCCAGGAATTGCGGGAGTTGGTACGCCACCACAGACTCAACAACCTTCGCTATAAAGCGAAGGTTGGAGACAGGACAAAAGTTGTTCAGGGAGGCCGGATCCAGGGCAGGCTTCTTGAGGAGGGGATGAACCACCACCTCCTTAAGTAGGGTGGGGAAGACCCCATCTCTCAATGAAGCGTTGATAATCGCCCGGATCCAGTCTCCAGTCACCTCTCTGGTTGCCGCAACAATCCAGGAGGGACAAGGGTCCAGTAAACATGTGGAGGCCCCAAGTCTACTAATAATCCTGTCCACTTCCTCCATAGAAACAGGATCAAAGTCAACCCAGATGTTACCTCCAAGATCTGCTCCCATCTCCTCGTCAGATCCTGCCCAGTCAGAGTCTAAACCCATCCGGATCTGAGCAATTTTGTCTTGCAGAAATTGAGCAAAATCCTCAGCATTGCCCTGCAAGGGGTCCTCCCTCGCTCCCTGATGAAGAAGGGAGCGGGTCACTCGGAACAAGGCTGCTGGGTGATTTTCTGCAGACGCAATGAGAGCAGCGAAATAATCACGTTTCGCCGCTTCCATCGCCACAAGATAAGACCTAATATGGATTCTTAGCTGTGTTCAATCAGATTCGGAATGGGAAGACCTCCAACGGCCCTTTAGGCGTCTCTTCCGACGCTTCATTTCCCTAAGGTCCACGGAGAACCATGGAGCTGGCCGGGATCCCTGTCGGAAGGCAAGCCGCAAGGGGGAGATTCGATCCAGTGCCCCGGTGGCCGCCCGTTCCCAGGCATCCACCAGGGCCTTTGGCAAACCACGGGATAGGTCAGTGGGAAATATCCCAAGCTCCGTCAGGAACCTATCAGGCGCCTGGGGCAGAACCAACGAGTCGGTTCTGTCTCCCAGTGGTGGGGGTTGGCGGACGGAAAGTCTAGCTGAAGGAGGGAATGGTTGGTCCATGACGGGTAGCACAGAAAGTTCACCCCTACCCTGAGCATTTATACACTGCCCAGAGATGAAAATCAGGTCGAGTGTGTGTCCACCACTGTGAGTTGGGCCCTGTACAACTTGAGTCAGGTCCATAGCGGTCATAGAGGCCATGAACTCCCAAACCAACTCAGGTGTCTCACCAGCTGACGGGAGATTAAAATCTCCCACGGGAGCTCAACCGTCAGTTTGGCTAAGACGTCGAGTAGCATGGGCAGGACTGAAGACATGCAGCTGGGAGACAGGTACGTAATCAACAGAGCTGACTGCACTCCAGGGTTCCATTTCAACAGAAGGGACTCACACCCGCCAATCTGAGGGACAGTGACCTCCCTAGGTCTAAGACCTTCCCTAATGACAACCGCCACCCCGCCACCCCTCCCGTGGAGTCGTGGCTGGTGTACTACACGGAAACCTGGTGGACATAAATCAGAGAAAGGAACCCCTCCCTCCGCGCCCAAGCCAGGTCCGCACCCCCCTTGGCAATCAAATCACAGACAAGGGGGGCCTTATTAACAACAGACCTGGCATTAACATACACCAGCCGGAGTCCCGGGTTCCGCACTCCCATCCCCCCTGGGGCGCAGGTAGAGCTATGAGGGCCGGAGTGCTGAACCCGCTGCAAGCGGGTTATGTTACGTTCATGTTATGTGTTCAATATAATAGTAAATTCAGACAGATCTGAAAAGCAGCAACTGTGCTTTCAGGGTCTTGCAAATGACAATAGCGCCCCCTTTTGAACACATGTAGAAGTACCAAATGCAGCTGAGCCAGGACAAAAGTTGCATTTAAGGTCTCTCTGTGATGTTGGTTCAATTTAAGATACGCAATTTGTATCTTAATCAAGATATGCAATTCAATTAAGATATGAACATAGCTGAAATAATTAAATGCCCCATCTGTTGATCATTTTCCTGCCTGCAATGCACAAATTAATATCTGGTAGCAACTCCTGGGGGAAGAGGGTCCGGGGTGGGGGTGGGGGGCGAAGGCTGTCCTGGCTGCAGGGGAGGAAAAAGGTCCGATGTCCGGCAGGGGCTGAGCCAGGCTGGGGTCAGGCAAGCTCCCCTCCTCCAGAGCACCAAGAACCAAGCCTGTGCTTCACCTTTAGGGTACGGGGCCACCCTGGGGGAGCCCCTCCTTTGCCCGCAGCCCATCACTCCCTCCCAGGATTGTGGGGAGCGGGGGGGGGGGGGGGAACGAGTGCAGGAAGCAGCCCTTCATTCAGACCTCAATTGCTTTGGCGGGAGGGGGGGGATGGTGTCAGAGTGTTGCAGTGAAGCTGGGCGCTGGAGCCCTCTGTTGGTACCTTTTGGTACTTCCTGAACCCTGACATGATCGTGTCCCCATAGCTGAGGGGCTTCCACAAAGAGGACGGGGGTCAACAGCTACTCTCTGAAGCACCCGAAGGCAGGACAAAGATTGCAACGGATGGAAACTCATCAAGGAGAGAGACGACCTAGAAGGAGGGAGAAATTTCCTAACAATTAACCAGTGGAACGGCTTGCCACCAGAGGTTGTGGGGGCTCCATCCCTGGAGGTTTTTAAGAAGAGCCTGGACAGCCATTTGTCTGGAATGGTAGAGGGCCTCCTGCCTGAGCAGGGGGGAGTGGACTAGAAGACCTCCAAGGGCCCTTCCAACTCTGATATTCTGTTATGCCGGCATCACTGAATGGAGTCTCCGGGACCCTTTCAGGACCAGGAGTGGAAGTGGGGCAGACCTGTCCACCTGCTCTTGCTCTTCTTCAGGACCCAGAGGGGGCAACCCAGCCCTGCTGTCCTCTTGACCTCCCCACGTCCTGTGATGCCCACCACCATGTTTATCTGCAAGAATGAGGGGCAGGAGGGACGGTTTTAGGGTGGTTCTTCCTCTTCTTGGAAATTGGGGGAGAACTTCCTGTGGGCTCAGTTGGGGAAAAGATGGCCTGGCCAGATGAAGAAGACCCAGCAGGGCCTCTTGACCAAGGACCTTGTTGGAGACACCTGGTTACCCTTCCCCACTTATAGATGAGGGCATGGTGGGGGGAGGAGGAGGAGGAGGAGGCTGATACCCAGCAAGAGAGAGGCTGTGCCTAGCTCCTTGCCAGCTCTGCCCAGGCTCAGATTCGAGCAACAGGCCCTCCGGGGCTCCAGGCTGGCATGCCAGCTGCCCTCCAGGCCCTGGTGTTTGCACTGGGAGATCTCTTTGAATGCTGCTGTGGAGACTTTTAATCTAATCCTTCAATGTCTTAGTGTGGTTACAGAGTCTGGGAAGCTGCCCGGAGTCTACTGATCAGGTGGGGCAGACGGGATGCCATAAATAAACAAAATATGGGCCAGATCCCGGGATGGATACAAATCAGCCCTCTGGGCCTCCCCTCAGCCCCCAAAGCCCCCCTGGCAGAACGCCATCTTGTAATCCCTACCCATACCCAGAGGAGACCCGGAAACCTTTCTTGGTGGGGGGGGTGGGGGTGTTTCTTAAAGATTCAGAATTCATCTTAAACCTTAAAGCAGGGCTGTCCGACCTTGGCCCCTTTAAGACTTGCGGACATGGTGGCTGGGGAATTCTGGGAGTTGAAGTCTACAAGTCTTTTTCCCCCCTGTTTTATTTATCTTATT